GGAGGTTAGGCGATTAGGTGAATGATTTCTAGATGGTCGGCATAAACCATAACCCATTATTAATATCCGCCGTTTACGTGACTTAATTGCACTGATTTAACAAATCTGGCTGAGAGATTGATGGTAGAACTGCTACCATTGAAGGTTGGTTTGGATGATGATGTTCCAAGATTTATGAGACCACGGTTTTGAGACAAGACAGTTCCAAGTGTTACGGGACAATCCAAGTACCACATCAGAAATACAAGGTAAGGAACCCTTGTATATAAGTGTCCACCTAACCCAATTAGTACGAGGCCTTTTAGGGGGGACACCCAAGATTAAATTTGTGCGGGTTTGGCCCAAATCGGACAATATCATACTATTGAGCACCTCGGTGTTCGACACCAAAAAGCATGAATCGTGTAAGGAAAGAGTGAACGGCTGGTGGATGAGAGCATATGCATGAAGAATAAGTCAAAAGGAAGATGAAGAAATCAAAGAACTCTTCCTCGTAATCAATGTTCACTCTATCTCTTTTCACCATCTCCATTAATACTCTATTTACTATTATATGAAGGAGAAGGTTTAATAATTATTGTTCATCATGAAAAGAGATTGAGTATGGTCCATTTCTCTATTATGACTATTCCTTTTTCCAAAATCTCAATTTGGGCTTTGGGTGGGTTGGATCCCATAACCAATAAACAGTGCTATCCTCAATGGCCACTCCAATTAAAAAAAAAAAAGTGTTGTCATGTGGGAACTAATGATAGCACGCCATTGTCTCTTTTGTGTAGTGCAAAACAATGCTTGTATTTGTATAGATAGATTGTAACTCAAACGTGGTTGACTATGAAATTGTTGATTGTAACTGGATTGATTATTCGATTCTTGATTTAATTACAAGGAATTGTGATGATCATGACCATGATGATGGTTCAAGGAGGTGGGGAAAGTCGCAATGAAAGTATCGTATCACATGGGTTGATATAGTTTAAAAAATCTCTCACGTCTTGTGGATAAGGTTTCTTATTATCTGCTATTGATCCTTTTTTTTTTTGTTTCGTAATTGGTATCATATAAAATGAAAGTCAAGCTCGATATAAAAGGAGAATAAACCAGTTTATAGTTGAATAGATTACTGGTACGTGTCGGCGTCGTTAGGCTGTAAGATCTTTTGGATAAATTCGATACTAACCCAACGAGGATAAATCTCATTTAAGCACAGGTGGCACGTTAACTATGTCGTATAATTAGTTAATCCATTATTATGTTTTTGTTTCCCCCTTGTCGTGATTAGTGAAAGTAAAGTAAAGAAAGTGCAAAATGCTAGCCGATTAAGTCAACATATACCAAACTATGGTATACTAAGTGATAATGAGTACTCATCACAAATAATTACACCAAATTTAATATCGTTGCATCGATTACCTCCTGAAATAATGTTGTGGCGGGAAAATATTTTTGTAAGGGGCAAAGGAAAGGTTGGAAACGAATGATGAGTAGAAATGGTGAAAAAGTCACGTAACATTGAGCAACGAGCCAACAAATGAACTAAAGGAAGCCAAGGTCAAGCTGTAGCTCCATGTAAAATGTAAACTATTACTTTTATTTCATTTTGCAAAAGAAATCGAATTCATTCGATAATGGAGTGTAAGTATAAGCAAAATACAATTACGATGAGCGGAGTAATAAATCAAGATAGCAATCCAATTTTTCCCTAACAAATGAAGAACATTCGTAGATGCTAGTCACGTGGAAATCCTCCCGAATCGTGCCGAGAGATTCAAACCGAAAACCTCTCTCATTAGACGGTTGAACAGGCAGAACAAAAAATTCACTGACAATCCAAATGTTTAGCTGTGTTTTTTTTTTAATAGTGAACTCGATTAAAAATTGCAGAGAAAAAACCAAAGTTAAAGTACAAATTTTTAGCTATGTTACGTTGATGCCTTCTTAAAGAGCTTTTGGTTCCATGTATAATGTAACTGGTGAGGCAAATTAATTAAGGCCCTCCAATATTCAAAAGTATTAATACAAACTATGAAAATGTGAATATATTTATAGTTCAGTGACTATTTTGTAATTGGGCCACAATTTTTCATCAGTGATGAATGCACTACCTTTTTTGTTTTATCTTAGGTAACAAATCATTTAATAGCCACCACGGCGTCGGTCGCTAAAACACGACCAATTATTCCGGCGTCCAATTGGTATATACGTAAGAAAGCATTAATCGCCAAGATCGTCGCCGGCGGAATTGCTTTTTCTCCTGAGGAGGATCTGATTTTCTTATTATATGTGGAGACGTATTTTATATAAAAAAAAGTAGCTAGGGCAATGATGAAGCAATCAATTAGGCATTTAGGAATGTTCCCATTAATACCACACAAATAAAACAAATGTGAATTTGTGATCGCGTAATTAACCTCTATCCCAAATTTCCAATGGATTAATGAAAATACTCCCTTTCGATAATTAAAATACGGGTCATACTTATAAATGAAGACGTGTATTAGTCTTTCGAGAGAAATGAAGACTTCACATTTAAAAATTTCAGAGTGTCTCATACCAAAAAAAGTAATCGTGAAATTATTGAGAGTCAAAGTTTTACGTTCATACATTTCACCCAAACTATAAGATCCATCCATTTTTTTTAACAATCAACACACCTCACAATCCAATTACTACAAATACATACCATTTAGTAATCTGCGCACTCCAGCACATCAATCATCAACTCAAACAATCCCAAATTAACAACCCATCCCATCACTTAAATCATGGAAGATTTTCACTTAATTGAACATATTCATTAAATTACAGCTAATGGGAAAATTAAACCCTAATCGCCTGTTAATGGTGTACGGAAATATCTTTTTTTCCTCTCTTATAAGTCTTGGCAGTACTACTAAGATTCGATTCCACACATCAACCTGTAACACACTCCCCTCATTTATTTAAATATTAAAAAGGTGACAATTAGGCAAAAATAAAGGGATTATTGATTCTCTCCACATTATGACCAACTCATTTCGACGGATTTGTCAGGATTTGCCAAAAAAAAAAACTCCCATAGATTCGATTTGTGTCAATTAATGGCTCAATTAGTGGAAGAATGATTAGTACTTCATTGGCGATCAGGTGGGTATTAGTGAGATCACAAATCCATAAATATTAGAACACCTCCAGCTAAGTACATAAGCAAGCCTGTTGATTACTTTACAGGTGCCCACTTAATACCATTAGTTCCTTCTGATTAGGCTTTTTGATCCAGAAAAGGTGCCAGCGTTTTAATATATGTTTAATTTTGTATAAACGTTAAACCACGACAGCAACGGGAAGAAGTGGAAATCGAACTGGGCGTAGGTGAGGAGATTCAAATGAAGCATTTGCAAACCAACGGGAGATGGAATCTTCCTTCGAACATTCAGATAGACATCTTCATACCATTGGGAGCTAGGGTCACATTATGTTCTTCATTATTACAGTTTTGTATGATATGATTGGAACTTTATTTTCCACGTTATTAAGGCTACGAGATAGTGGTAGTGTGATACTCTGCATCCGATTGAATTTACATTTTTATGTGAATTATATTTCTCAAAAACAAATGAAATAACAAACTATAAGTCAGGTTAGTTCAACGATCTGTAATATCTCGCAATGAAGTTACTTAATTAGTACTTATTCACAAATAAAAATGTAATCTTCTACTTGTTACTTTTTTCATGAATATGTGCCATTGGGTAGGGGGTGTGCAATAGTTTAGCCCATCAAATCAAATCGGTATTTGGGTTGATCCAAATAAGATCAAATATAATTTTAAATTTGAACTTCGATCTCATGAATTTTTTTGGATATTAAAGAAGAATGGAAAGTTTCATTATCAGGATCTAATCAAATCGGACCGACTACATGGCTTGCAATCGGTTTGGTTGTGGTTCGTTGCACATCGTTGGCCATGATAGCTTGATTACCTCCTAAAAGTGAGAATTATAGAGGATTATACATTGAGTATATGGTTGGCATGTGGAGTGAAATTATTTGCTAGTGATCATTTGGGATTTGCATGCTTTTAATTATTTAAGTTTGTTGGACCACTTAATTAGCTTTAACTCTTCTTCCATGCCTTTGGCCCCCAACGTGGTGCCCTTTTTTGTCCTTAACCTTCATTTTCCCACACACTTAAGTTTCTCTATGCTTGTTTAGCATCAACTAATCCATTCCTTCTCCTTTAAACATTGATAATTAAACTAATTAAGATGATGGGTAATTAGTTCACTTTTCTTCCCTTTTCTCAAGTATTATATAGGGTATATATACCCTATACACTTATACCATTCAGGCACATACATAAACAACAATATGATCATAATTGTCGACATTTTGATCATTTGATTTGTATCGAAATAATCTTGATCTTCAATTGTATAGCAATGGATAAGAAAATACATGAATTTATGAGAACCCCATTTACAATTTGTACATCTATTTTTGGCAATCATTATAAGGACAAATTTATGAGACAAATACATAGATAGTTTATGTATTTAAATAAATTGAGAGTCTATCCCAGTTCAGTAATAATGCGATGGTGAAATATGTAGCATCTTATCATACTTACTATCTCGTTGTGTATTTCAATTAGTTGGGAGTTGATCAGTCCAGAAACTATACGATAGTGAAATATGCATCAAAAGACATTTGCTTTTGATATTATTCACCTATAGTCTGGGAACTAGAAGAGGAAATTAACTAATGGCTGGTCCCTTTTGTCATATGCTCGGCATGTGAATATACAGTAATGACATCTCATAAACTTTGGTGTAAAAGGCACGTATGTTCTTCATAAAGAGAGAACATGTCATATAGATCAAAATAATGGCATGCTCATGAAAATGATGTTTGATGAACCACCTATATTACGGGTACATACCATTTGGCAAAACTAACACTAATAGCCACACCCTTATAAGTATAATGTATAAAAAGAATTTTGACATCTCGATCTAGAGCCTGATCGTTACCCTTGATTCGTACATACCACATCAGTCTGTGTATAAACACGAGAGAGAGAGAGACAAAAGATGCAAACGGATTTGAACTACAACTACATGCTAGCTTGAGTGTTCACATACTCCTTGCCAAGAATATCCGATAACTTATATATCATTAATACAAACCGATACTCAATCGATTGAGAGCTGCAAACCCGAATTGTATACTCACATAAATTTAATGAATATTCATGTAACCGCTAAATATAGCATCGAATTTAAGAGAGACTCTCCTATATATTTTTTATTTATTCAATGAGGCTCTCCTATATAAGAAGTGAATGAAAGGGGGTAGGGGGGACATTAAAGGAAGCTCGATATTGACACAAAGATCCGTTTGTTATGATATCGACAAATACCATGCATTTGGTCTAATTCATTTTTCAAATTATTTTGTTCATTCCATTCACATATCTCAACAATCAATTGATATGTTTTTTTTTCTTCTTATTCCAAGCTCAATATTGTCTCACAGCCACAAACGTAATTATCATGGTGATTACTGATTAGGGACCAATAACCTGACAATTTGATGAAATGACCACTAATAAATGCACCTACTAATCACACACTAAACAAGCTTTAATTAGTCCAAGAAAAAAAAGAGGCAGGACACCAACTCCTACAAAAGGTCAACATATTTGAAATTGAAACCCACATGTAGCGAACCACAAATTGGACTAGCTATATCATTGTTAATTTTAATTTGGAGATCAAAATTAAATATTGTAGCAGACCTAAAAAAGAAATCCGCATTCAAAGTAGATAACATCACATAATAATCTTTTCAAGAAAAAAATAATTATTAATCATATAAAAGTAACATCTTTTTAGCATTTTTGCAAGAAATTCGTAGAATTTTTCAAAATACAAGCTTACCAAACTAGTTGAAGATTATCGAGCTGGGTGGGTTTGGTTATAAAAAGTTTGGCTTTGGTTACAAAAGCTGGCCGGGTGCCTTGGGATAAGTGAACGAGTGGTCGCTATTGGTCGGCCCGTGTTTAGGATTTTCGGCTTTCTTCAACCTAACTGGACCTTTCTTAAATTAGCAAGTGAGGCCCACTTTAACCACCGGCCCGTTCAGATCTGAAACATTTGGTTTACTCTTTACACTTTACAGACCTCTTAAGCCCAATTAACTAAGCTCTTGAGCATATCAGGTATGACAACACAACTTCTCATGCTGCTCAAGTTTCCTTGCTTCTCACTTCTCATTTTCTTTTGCTTCAAGATCGACATGTTTACTGTAAAGATGCCAGCTTTTTACTAATGTTACAAACCTGGTAAACATAAGATGATGCAACAACCAACGGTTGTTCTACTGTTATACATTCCTACTATGGATTATTGCCAGTGGTCTATAAAAACAAGATCCCAGTGGCAGTTTTATCAGAACTACAAACATTCCCCGAGTAAAAATGATCTCCCACCTTTGTATTTCCACATGATGGGTAGATCTCTGGAACTATCACATACACAAACTCGTGCAAGGAGAAACAATATCCACACTATGTATTCTATCAACTAGAGAGAGAACTGATTTATTCATTCATTGTTGAAATTGAGCTTGTTGCCGCAGCTCTTAGCGTCGACCGATGAACCGAAAGCTTGATGGTGTGACGCTGTTCTGACATGCAAACATCTTTGCACTCCTCGAGATCCGCATCACACGTGAGAAGCACCCACTCGTGATCGTCGTCCAAGTACTTGAGGTCGATTCTGCAGGCTGTATCGACATTGAACCGGGACAACAGCTCTTGCTGCAACTCCACAAACCCCCAGTTGGATGGCAAGCTGAATCGGATCGTGTCTTCTCCAAAGGAAGCCTTAACTCGGAAACCATTCCCTTCTCTTAACCTCCTGCAGCCGCGTTTAGGACAGCCATTGAGCGTTCTGTGGCTCTGTGATCTGCGCAGATGGTGCTGCGTTAGCTCCTCGTGATGGTTTAATACAAGCAATTCTGCGTCGCTGTGTGTTCTCTTGAGCAAACTGCTGGGGTTTTCAGTAAGGGATAATGCATCTTGCTGACATGAACTGCAACCTGAGCTCTGACTGCTGGATGTGGATGCTGATTTCGAAGCATTTGCTGCTGCTGTTACATTGTTGAGCATGCTGCTCTCTGGTTGCTGAGAACAGTTGTTTTCCTTTGGAGATGTCAAGTCAGGGAAAGCAGTGTAGAACGAACCGATTTTAATGGATCCTTCTGCACCTTGCACCGAGTCGATTACAAGTTGGAGCTTCTTCAGAGTGTGGCCAACCTTCTTGATCTTACGAGAAGGCCATCGGTTGATCCCATATTGCCTGCATATCCTTTTCAGAGTAGTGGGGCACACTGCAAATGAAGAGGTTTATGGTTTAGTTTAGTTGTAAATAATACAACAGAGAGTACAGTTTCAAGTAATAGTTTGGTACTGGGGCAAGGAATTGGGCAAAAATGCTAGATATAATGGAGTAATCAAATCATTATTTATTGACTAGTGAGTAGTGACATCTGCGTAATTAACCCCTAATCAATCTATCTTCATAATTCAATTCCTGAAATAAAAAGAATTAGTAACTAACTACAGCATTATATGCTTCTTACCACCAAGACACTTGGCAGCATCTTTAAGGCTACCAGCAAAATACTGCCTTAGCACTTCCAAGCTAACAGTCTTCTCAGTTTTGGTTCGTCGCTTCTCGCTCGTCCTTCTAATACTGCTCGATGATTGATGCTCAGTAGAGACGGGCCTAGCATTCATCTCCTTCTGATTGGTCTCCCAGTATTTCATCACCTTAAACTCCTCTTGAGGTTCTTCCTTTGCACATTCCATTGAGAAAGAGAAAGTGTCACCTTCCCCTTGAGCCTCCATAAATCGGCTTATCCAAGAAGACTCTTCTGGAACTGAAGCTCGCAGGTCCATCTCTTCCTCTACCTCTTTCTCCATCACAACTCGTAAGCTACGAGAAGCCTGCTGAACAGTGAGGGGAAGCAAGTCTCGAAGCTTTTTTCTCGCTTGGCAATCCTTTGGCAAGAAGAACTCCAGCACGAAATCGGCTGGACCGCCAATTTGACTCTGTAGTGGGATTGCCACAGCAGCGTTTAGGCCAAACACCATGGCCTGGTGAGAAAGGGGATATATTGACTTGCTGAATGCCGTGACATCATTTGCGAAGCATTGTTTGTTCACTGTGAATGCTTTGCCAACGATTCCTTGGCCGAGGAAAAGGTACTGCTCAGAGCAAGCAGCATGGAACTCGTGGAGCTCTGTGTCTGTCACATGGCAGGCTGAGTCCACGGTGGATATGTAGCATGCGTAGCTCTCGTCGAAATGGCGACATCCACCTTTGCCTTGTCGGAAGCATGGGGTCCATGTTAGTGCTAGAGGTAGCTTGTGAGTGCTGCAGACAGATGCCAAAATGTCTTGCAGTTCGGGAACTGCTGCTTGACAGAACTCCTTGCAGCCCTGTATAAAGAAAGCCAAGTTATACCCCATAAGTTGGTTATAAATGAGGCTAAGTTGGTTAGTCAGACAGTGATAATTGTGGTTACCGTTACACTAGGAGTAGGAGGGACAAAGTTGTTTGAACTGCTTAAATCAACAGCCTGCAGACGAAACCATGCTCATCAGGTAAGAATGCAGTAAGTTACCATGCAAATAAGAGTATAAGATAAGTGACCTCAATAAACTGTAAAATTTATTCCTTGGGGAGTAAACAAGAATGTAGAAACTATTTCATGAAGCAGCGGGATGCAATTTCAATTGTTCAAGAATGCTATAGGATCATGGAAATAACAAGATTCAGTACGAAATCGAGCTTCACGCGAGGTGTGTCTAAGATTTAATGGGCTTTTTCATTAAGTTTGTTCTTTCTATCTTAATGCATACCACTTTGGCCGTTTTACCGTAGTATAGTAGCAAGATTCACAATAAGAACACATTTGTATCTGTAAATGAAGCATGTATAAAAAGTACATTACAATCATGGAATCAAATGAGTAACAGTTGCTGAAAGTAGATCAAAAATTGAGAAGCAAAACAAACATAGCAACACCATTGTGCTCAAGATTTGAATGATTTAAGCTTCTGATTTATAACCAATGGAAGACTGGAAAAGAAGACAAAAGAGTCAACCTCAAGAGCTTTGCAGACATTCTCTAGCTCAGGGCGATACTTGATATCTCTGGTTGTTGTTATAACCTCAACAACCCCCAAGCAACTCCCACAGCTACGCTCGAAAACAGGAAATGCAAGAGAGCCACTGATGCTTAATTGAGCCGCGTAGTTCCTTCGTGGATACTCCTCGGTTTTGAAGTACCGAACATCTGGTGTCCACTCAGGCAACTTTCCCAAGAAAACTCGACCAGGTAGCCCGACGAACTCCTTTGAATCCGCCTCAGCTTCAAAGTGATATCCTTTTGAGACATCTCTATAGCTAACGAGGTTCAGGCACTTGGGAGTAAGGAAGTAAGGCTGGTCTTCGGTGGTAAGAACATGCTTGCCTCCGTGGTATATGGGCACCCATATCTGCACGAGGACATCTCTATGTTCTGTGTACTCTTTCAACTTCTTTATAGCATACTCCAATCGATCTTTGATCGAAGAATGGCTCTCGTATCCTGCTACATACGTGATCGAAGCGACATTGCAACCGTTTTTGGAATCCATTTCAACAGGTTGACCTCCTTTGGCAGTTGAGTCATCATGAAAGTCAGCTTCTTGATCCATTTTTTGTTGAGCAGTGAAGGGATTAAGGGAGGGGAAGAATCTCGACGCGGGATATAGATCGTTGGAAGACGGAGGGTACTGCTGTTGTGGGAAGGTGAATCCATCAGGAGTCCCCATCCAACATCCTTCATCAAAGAGTTGCTCCATGAAATCCAAATCCATGGTGCTAGTGGTGGATGGGAAGTTCCCAAAGGCAGAGTTAGCACCATCATCATCCATATCCAGAACCTTTTTGCTTCAGAGTTTGCAACAAAGCTATAACCAAACCGAAAATTGGTTAACTACTCAGAGCTCATCATCATGAGCCAAAGCACAAGAGAACAGTGAAGATGAAAAACAAAAAGAGGAACTTCCAGGATGGATTTGTATTGCTCATATCCGAATACCCATCACGCCCCACTCGCAGAAACATCGCTCAATCAAATAAGTGATGTGGTTTGTTCAAGTTCAACTGCAATCACAGATCCATTTTAGAGGGAGCACCAACTATTTATCCAAGTATTGACACCAAGTCACACACAAGAACAGCACAAACTAGAAAGAATTTTATCTTTTCTATCAATAACTACAACTTTGTGAAGGACCCAATTGGAGATTTTGCATGAAACCATCACCACAAGGCAAAATCAGCAGGCAAAGCTTGAAGATAATTACAAACTTTCACAGCCATGAAAAAAACCATAGGGCAAGGGAAAGGAAGTAACTTTCGAACAACAATTACTGGTTTCTAATCCTTTTCGTAGTAGCCAGAACCCAATTCAAGGAACATAGAGAAAAAAGCTGAGAAACTGTGAAGAAGGGATACTAAGGAACCCAAAGAGAACTCACTGTGCCAAGTGAAAGAGTTCACTCTCTTGCCGTAGGAATCAGTTTCTGAACCATGAGAACTGGCAGTGCCACAAGCCCTAAATTAGCAAAACAAAATCTCTCTGAAGAACAGATGCAGCAGGAAACCGAGAATTCAGAGGAAAAAACTTTCTGGGCTCGGCCAAAGGTGGAAGCTTTTTAACCACCAGCTGAAAAGATTAATTGGGTTATTGGGTTCTGGCCTTCCATTTTTATTATCCTTTTTTCTTCTTTATTTTAACATGAGGTATCAAGTGATTCAAGTGTGCTTGCTTGCGTTATTTTTCCATTTTCTTCCCCTTGTGTGGGAGTAGATGAGAAGAATCTACCCTGATACCCAAAGTGGATCACCCTACCTCTATGAACCAGTTTAGACCCATTAGCCTTTGTAATGTAGGGTATAAAGTCATTGCTAAACTGATTGCCAATAGAATTAAACCCCTCATGGCCAAACTGGTTAACAAAAACCAGTCCAGTTTCATTCCTAAGAGACATATAACTGACAATATCATTATCATGCAGGAAACCATCCACTCTATGGCAAGGAAAATTGGCAAAAAGGGATATATGGTGCTCAAGGTGGACTTGGCCAAAGCATATGACAGGATTGGGTGGGAGTTTCTCCATGAAACTCTGCAGGCTGCCAGATTACCTGACTTGTGTATCAAGTGGATTATGGAGTGTGTGACCTCCACAAGCTACCAGGTGCTGTGGAATGGAGGGGAAACTGACAGCTTTACTCCATCCAGAGGCCTCAGACAGGGATGCCCTCTCTCTCCCTACCTCTTTACTCTTTGTATTGAAAGATTGAGTCACTGTATTGGTAGTGAAGTTAAGAAGCACAAATGGAAACCAGTTAGGCTTTCCCCTGGGGGTCCTGCCCTCTCCCACCTTTTCTTTGCTGATGACCTGGTCCTTTTTGCTGAAGCCAGTATTATTCAAGCTGACATTGTGATGGAATGTCTGAATAATTTCTGCCTGGCCTCTGGGGAAATGATCAGTAAAGAGAAATCTAGGGTCTTTTTCTCTAGAAATGTTAAGAACAAGGATAGGAATGATATCTGTAATAGAATGGGAATCCAAGCCACTACAGACTTAGGCAGATACCTGGGGGTCCCTGTGTTACATGGTAGAATTACTAAGAGTACCTATAAGTTCATACTGGATAGGATTGACCAAAAGCTCACTAGCTGGAAAGCAAGAACCCTCTCCTTGGCTGGCAGGGTTACCCTTGCTGTTTCAGTGCTCAATGCACTCCCAACCTATGCTATGCAAACCACTTGCCTCCCTTTATCCATCTGTGATGCTATTGATAGGAAGGTCAGATCTTTTGTTTGGGGTTCCATTGAGGGCAAAAGGAAAACTCATCTTGTTGCCTGGGACAATATCTGTAAGCCTAAGAGTCAAGGGGGTTTAGGTCTTAAATCTGCTAGGCATATGAACATGGCTTATATGATCAAGCTTGGGTGGCATATGCTTAATAATGCCTCTGATTTGTGGGTTCAGGTCCTGCAGGGGAAATATTTTAAGCACCAGGGGGGAGATATTACCACTATGAAAAAAAGCAATCACTCTAATCTATGGAAAGCCATAGTTAGAGGAATGAGGCTGATGAGAGAGGCCACATGCTGGAGCATCAGGGATGGGAGGAACACCCTTTTCTGGAAGCAACCTTGGATTGATCACAGCACAATCCTTGCTGATTTTGCCACCACTGACATAAATGAAGAGGATCTGGACTCGACTGTTGCTGACTGGGTGACTGAGGAGGGTAAGTGGGACTGGAATAAACTAGGACAATATCTCCCTAATGAAGTTATCTTGACTATTGCAGGAGTTGATGCTCCTGACCCTGAGCTGGGAGAGGATGTCACCATTTGGGGCTTGGAGAAGGATGGAAGGTTCAGCCTGAAGTCAGCATACAGGCTGGTGGCTGACATAGAGGAACAGGAGGATGATGGAAGATGGAAAGCTGTTTGGAAGTGGAGAGGGCCAAGCAGGATCAAACACTTCCTTTGGCTGGCAACCCATGAGCGCCTCCTCACCAACAAAGAGAGGGAGAAAAGGAAGCTGACAACTTGCAACTTGTGTAACCACTGTAATGAAGAAGAAGAAACAATAGAGCACATTCTCAGGAAGTGCAAAAAAGCTAAGAGCATTTGGGAAACGTTCCAGAACAAGGAGTCTACTGTGAGCAGAAGCTTAAACTTCACTGATTGGCTGCTACACAACATCAAGTGTGAAGAAACTGCCACAGAGTTTGGGATCATCTGTTGGCAACTTTGGAAGCAAAGAAATGAAGAGGTGATGGAAGGGTGTGCATTCAAGAAAGAGAGTGTCACAGCTAAAATCAAAGCATGGTTCAATATAGTGAATCAAGCTCAGGCCAACCAGCAGAAGACAGCAGGTTTTGTCCCAAAGAAGAGAACCCCCTGTGATGTTGGATGGAAACTGCCAGAGGAAGGATGGATTCAACTACATTCTGATGGCTCCTTTCATGCTCAGAGTGGGAAAGCAGCAGCAGGAGGTTTGTTCAGGGATCACCTAGGTAGATGTTTGGGCGCCTATGTGTGTAACTTTGTGTAACTTTAGACGATGCTCAATCACTGCTGCTGAGCTGCGAGGAAGCCTGGAGGGTTTGAGGATTGCTTGGAAGGCAGGCTATAGGAAGATCGTTCTGCACAGCGACTCTACCACTGCCATTAATATCATTAAACACAGGAATGATGATGTGCATCGCCATGGTTCAACTGCCAGGCATTTGAGCTGTATTTTGGATCGACAATGGGAGGTTAGAGTGTCCCATGTATATAGAGAAGCGAATTATGCGGCTGATTACTTGGCCAACAAGGCTCATGATTTTGATTTTGGCACACATCATTTCAATGTGTGTGATAGAGACTTGATTAGGTGGATCAACCATGATGTAATGGGAATCTCCCATGAAAGAGCTATTATTAATACGAATTAGACGCTCGACGTCTGTCGTTTTACCCAAAAAAAAGATGAGAAGAATCTTTCCTCCCAAACACAAAACGAACGTAGGACCCATCCAAGACAAAAACAAAACAAGAAAATGAGTGGATGGGTGCCACAAGGCAAAGAATTCTTGCTAATTGCAGAGCCTTTTGGCCACACTCCTCAGTCCTCTTCTGGGCATTTGTCGGCAATTTTTCACCGCAATTTACACCTACAACCGATTTCTTGCGATTAAAACGAAGATCTCATATCATGGTAGGACGGGAACTGAATAATAACATCTTATGCTGAGACTGGAGCGAATGCGAATTTGAGTATGAAATTGTCATTCCTACAACCTGCTAGCTAGTTAAAGACGCTAGCTTTTGTAGTTGTCATTCTCTTCTGCCCTTTTTCTTCAGATATTCTCATAATCGCATAGCATTTTCTTTTGTTCATGTCGTGGGTTAATGGCTTTACAGCCTATTCTTATTCTCTGAAAAGCTGGGAAGTGGGAACCATGCCATGCATGGAATAGGAGGCAAAGAGGAGCTTTCAGTTTGGGAAAAAGGATTCCTAATGTACTATATAGCCTTCAATTATGAAGAGAGAATGATTCTCTTTCAGCACAAAGAATCTGAACCAAGAAGAAAGAAAAGGAGTTGTAGCACTCAAAAAGTTTCTGCCTTAAAACAAGGATTGGAATTAAACAAGCTTTCTTCTCTTCTCTTACAAGCTGATAAAATTCATTTTCACTATGCATGTGCATGTGCTTTGCCCATACTTGTTGATTTCAGTGTAGAGATATATTCCCATTCCATGTGACAATGTGATCCTCAAAATCTGGGAAAAAAATTAGAATGAAAGAAGCAAATGAGGGCCTCATAAATGCATCTCCTACAATTTGTTCTTCATAGTGACGAGAGATCTTGCATTCGAGAACGAAAAGTGTAGTGACAACTGAAGTTTCCTGTGATTCTTATAATTAGAGTGTCTTGATGTTCGATTATTATGCTGATAAGATCATTATAACCTACAAGTATGAACTAACGTACTGTTCGATCCAACATAATCACCACCATATCAATCCAACAACCAAAAACACAAGAAAAGACGATTTAACTGTATCAACCGAATAATAATCACACATGATCTATATATACCATCATAATAGCTTAATTCGTTTTTCCATAGATTCCACTCTTTGGTTTTCATTTATGTACCCACACCACCAAACAAAACAAGCTTAATAGGATTGGTCCATCAAAAGTGACAATTAAGTTGATGAGATCATCCCCATTTTCCTATAAAAAAAAACCTTGATGCATGGATCTACCTACCTTTCATAAGTTTGTATCAATAATATTTTCTGAATATTCAAGAATATACAACCTTTTTTTAAAGTCATAATCCAATGTGTTACAAGGTAGTTGGAGATTGGCCACAGCAATAACAGTCCCACACGATAGCATTATTAATTATCTGGGATCAAGTTTTAAGGGTTTAAGTTGCCCCTCTAAGATTCCCAAGGGGCCATTGAATCTCTCTCTCTCTCCATTCAATCTCCAATTCGCCGCGTCTAATCATCTCATAATTAACATGGTTAATCGTTATTATATGGCCTAATCAATTGATTAATGACGGGGCTGATCAGTATGGTTTCTTAATTAAGTATAGGATTCCATCGTGATTAAGTGATAGTTGTACCAATACTGTTGGTCTAGAGATAGATGATGGAATCCACATTATGCAGTCAAATCTGGCTCTTGGTTGGGGGTTATGATTTTGATAATGATGATTGGGGTTATGATTCTCAACCATTAACAACACAAAAAGGATAGATATCGCGAGGCGTCGAACTGTGTACATTAAGTACCAACAACCATCTCTGTAGGTGTTAGACTCTTACACGGGGGGCGAGCTTATAGGTGTTCGGTTAATGATTAATGGCAGACTTTTGTGTACGGGTATTCAGTGTGAAGTGTAATTATATAAATCTCGAAAAATGGAGAAAGTTTGTTGGGAGAGGTTTAATATAGAGAAAAAGAAGGTATATACAATGAGATGAAGGAGATAATTATCGAAGTCGAGATGGAAGTCCAACGACAAGACATGCATGCATGTCTCGATAAGCAAAGCTTCACGGATGAAACGAAGTTGTTCAATAATGAATCTTATATACTAGCTAGATAGTTATCAGATTATGATTTTTATAGCTATCGAATGCCTAAATGTCTTGTGGTGAGACGAGTTCAATCCAAATAAGTCGAACAGTTGGATCAAATAGTAAATAAATTTTATATATTAGTTCAGAAGGAATTTGTATGATTCAAAATAAGATACAATTGGATGATGAGATCAAAGTTTTGTAGGAGAGGTGTGATCTCATTGCTCAAAGGAAAAGCAACATAGCCTACTTTTGTTGCTTTAGAGGAAACAATCTCCACAACAGAGCATTGAGCTAAGCAAAAACAATTCAAACCGAATTTACTTTATTTTTAATTATTATATACAATTGATTTAGTAGACCATTTGGTTACAAAATTATAGTTATATAGTAAATTAATCACCACAGCATTGATAACATCAGCTAAGCTATATGTGAATCAGGGGAAACCACACAATCTACAATTAATTAATTATAATACAAATTATCAAGCCTCTTAACACGATTTTTTCAATAGATGGTGGGCCGATGCTATGTCATTTTGATGGATGCATTTTATTAATTAATCAAATGAATAATATTATATTATAGCCGACCTGTTGGATATAAGCAAGTTGTGGTAAATGGTGATGTGAAGCACAGAGTTATCCGAATTTGATCTTGTAATTAGGAAAAAAAAATTAGAAAATTTACTTAGCTTGTTCTATAATGACAAGTGTTTGGTTATAATTAGCAAAAAAAAATTATTGCAAGTGTTAAGGAAATTAATTAAAGGTGTTATCCACTCATCACATAATAATTAATAATAATATTGGAAGTCTTTGATTATGATATATATTTAGTAGTTGGTTTACGTGTGTTTTTCATCTGAAAACTATTCGAACCTTCTTGAACTCTTAGTTGGGTCCAAACCGCACGTTCTAAATAATCAAAGATGGTACAATAATTATGTGGGTGATCACTAAGGGACTCGAGCGATCATGTTGGTTATTTCTGGCGATCCTTTCTAATATACGTTGCTTTAAACATATACATATTATTATTATTATTGAAGCCTAGTTAGTTAGTTAGTGACATGCAATATTCGTAATTGAGTCCGTTAACTATGAATATTTAGGGTTAGAGTTTAGAATTCAATCTCATATTTTCGGCTATACCACATTAAATTGATATATTTATTTATATTGATTAATACATATTGAGAAATGAGGGTTGTGGCTTGCACGAGCCACCAGTAGAATCAGAGGAAGATCCCCTCACGATTCATTCTCCTTAAACAATTGCTACCAAAATTCAAACTAGTGATCTTCTGAATCCATATCTACGCTTTTACCATCTCCACCTGTGGTTTTTCTCTTCTATATTTTCTTTATCATCAAATAAATAATGTTTACAGACCAAACTAATTAATCTTGGTTGAGAAATTAAACTTAATGGCCTAACAGTTCTAGACATGAATTATGCAGCTACTACTACTGCTTAGCACATCATCAATGAGAGTGACAAAGATCATATAATATAATTATGGTGCTAAGTCATTGTCAAGCTTACATCCTAACCCTAAATGCATAAAATAATGCATCCAGTGCCTCAATTATTCAGTTAGGGTTGAGAAATGAATCCAAATAGAACCCACCCCATGCCATCATCATCCAAGCTACTATAATTTTTTTTAACACTTTGAATGGGAAAAAAATTCTCTACAATTTGTTAATAAAATGGGAAATTAAAAGGTCAATTTTTTTCAAATTCTTCTTTTATACGATTAATTATTTTCCACTATTTTAAATTATTAAAATATCATTTATTTATATTTTCTAAGATACCCTCTTGCTGACATAGCTTCACAAAAAATGAAAAGCAGTCCAATCAGCAGATTCATATATATGTCAACCTTTTGGCTGGAGTCGAAGCCGCCCAAATCCATACACAATTATGCACCTAACACACAACTGCAACCCCATAAATTAATAATCATCGAGACTTTTAGTTTGCAGTAATTTCTTACTTTTAGGTGCATCAGTGACCCTGCAGAAACATGTCAAGGAAGGTTTAATTTGTTTAGTGAGTGATTAATCGTCTATCTACCCAATTAAGCACAGTAAACTTTGAGAAAGAGTATTGAGCTTGAAATTAGTCTAATAATTATTAGTGATCAAAGATGCAGCGCATGCTCTCATTGAAACTAATCGCAGATTATTAGCTTAATAATCGGCATCATGATCACCCTTTTTTCAGTCCTAATGGCTGATTTAATTATCATATTAAAACCTCAATTAATTATTATTAAGTTTAAGGCTGTTGGTGGGCAAACAAGCTAGGACTACTAATTGAGATGTCTTACCCTTTAGGATCTTGAAAGGATAAGATTAGTATATACTTTAATATTCACTTAGCATAGAAAGCCAAGATTCTAATCTCTATATTTCTATTAACCAGCATCCACATGCTGATTGTACGTACAAAGTGTATGGGCACAAGGCAAAAATTAATTAGGCTTAATTAGTACTTGAAACATTATGTCATGTATAGAATCAATTACTTAATACGCGTACAGTGTGTACTAATTATGATTATGCATAACTTCTCCACGTGGTGATCATAAGTACCCAACACCAATATGCATTTTAGCCGACGATGAAATTTATTAATCGCCGATTTGAGGGAATTTTCTCTAAGGACATTTTTCGTAAGTTTTGGGTGTCGAAAAGTTATTTTTCTTTGGATTTTGAAGACTACAGATCATGAATTTGGCTTGAGGCTATTTTTCATCGATGATTAAGTCTATTACACACCGATTTGGGCGGATTATTTCTGGGTCCATTTTTTGCATATTCCAAAAGGGTACACCATCACATATTTCGGGCAATTTTTTTGACATCCATTTTCCTTGGATTTTGAAGGCTACAGATCACATATTTGACCCGAGCCTATTCTGCACCGATGATTAAGTCTATTAAGCACAAACTTGGGTGGATTTTTTTTCGGGTCCAATTTTGGCAGATTCCAAAGGGGTACCATCACAAATTTCGGGCAATTGTTTCGAAAGGCCATTTTTCTTGGATTTCCAAGGATACAAATCACGGATTCGGCATGAGACTATTCTCCACCGATGATAAAGTCTATTAAGCACCAATTTGGAGGGATTTTTTCCGGAAGATATTTTCGTAATTTTTTTCCTTGCTGACTCTAGGATTCGAATATACAGAATGTGGCGTATGAAAAACGAGAGTCCATTTGTTTCTAAGGGATCTTAACATGCCAGTAAGTATTTCAACTATAATATTTTAGAACACAACAATTTAATGATTCTTTTGAAAATACATAGAGATTTAGATAGAAAAGCATTATTTTTTATTCATCTTAAATTTATTCGGCCGTATAATAGATAAAAACCACGACATAACTTCAAACACACATAATTATCTCATTTTTGTAATTATAACAAGAAGTAAACTAATATCATCCATAAAAAAAAACAATACTAGGCCATAGTAATTAAAACTTTACTATGTGATCGATTCTTCCAACTTGTTAAGTCTGGCAAATCAACAGCAAAAACAAAACTTGGGTTCCAATTCCTACAAAACCTGGTCCAGATTCATTAAGATGATCTGTCTGTTTCAACCCACTTGGTGAAAATGGACAGCAAGTGTGACAAAGTATCAAAACACTAATTTACTACATTCAAATTATGAAATTACAGGTCTAGAATGTATGGAAATTAATTAACTAATGAGCTCAAGGTGCTGTTCATTAGTGAAAATGACCGTCACAAAGTTGCAGCCTTTTCCTTCTCGCAAAGAGCATTAAGGTGATGAGGTGTGAGTTCGAAATCCATTCACACGAACAGAGATTAAGCACTTTTGAGCTTAAGTTATGAGTCAGTGACCATTATTCCACCCAATTAAAGTTATCCACCTCGTAGAAAACATCGTTGAATATAAATATCGTCAGAATGGATCAAGAGATCTTTTAGCTACACGTAGTAGTAACGTCTTGTTTATAATCGAATTACACTGATTTGCAAACTTAAATACAAATATCGCTTGTTTCGTTAATTTTTTAATATGCAATTTATCAAAGCATGAGAAATTGGTAGATAGTATATATGTCATTAATCAAACCGTTTCCACTAATTACAAGCCTAATGACACAACAAAATGGGCCATATTCTTGATGAAAACCCTAGCTAGAGTACCCCAAAAAAAAAAAAAAAAAAAAACTCAACATCATCAAACCAACTCCAACCATTGGAATTCTCAGAAGCTTTGGGTGTAATAATGGAGGGAAACCCTAATGGCATTCCTGTCTGAGAACCTATGCATCTCTTTGCACTCCTCAAGATCATCATCACAGCTCAAATGAACCCATTCTCCATCTTCATCCAAGTACTTGAAGCAAATCGACTTGACATGATCATCGACGCTGAACCTCTTTCCAATCTCTTGCTTCAGCTCCATTAATCCCCAATTTGGCTGTAGCACCAGCCTGACATTCTCGTCTCCTAAGCTCGCCTTCACCCGAAACCCGCCCCCTTCCACCGAGCTCCTGCAACTGCTGATACCTGCAGGCTTTAAATAGTTCTTTGCGGCATTTTCACAAACACTTGTGATGGTAGTTCCAGGATGATCAACAGGGGGTTTATAGTTCACTGCGGCATTTTCACAAACACCCGTGACACTACTTTCAGCTGGTTTTGGTCGCTTGGAATCTGCGGATTGTTGTGATGTTACTGGAGAAAGTACCTCAGGGGTGGCGATGTTATCAGCAACAGAATTCAATTCAGGGAAAGCTGAGTAGAATGAGCCGATTTCGATGGTGCCTTGAGCTCCATGAACAGAGTCGATCACTCGTTGAAGCTTCTTCAACGATTGGTCGACTTTCTTGATCTTCCTCGACGGCCAACGCTCGATCCCGTGCTGCCTGCATATCCTCTTCAGCGTCGTCGGGCAAACTGCAACATCACAAAACAGAGAAAATCTTTAATTTGACGTGAAAACATCAATTGATCAAATGGATTTAAGCCAGAATCTTTCGTGTCTGAAACTTACCTCCGATGTCTTTGGCGGCATCTTTGAGACTCCCAGCGAAGTACTGCCTCAAGACTTGCAAGCTGATGGTCTGATGGAATTTGGTTCTCTTCTTGCTGTACCTTTGCCCTGTTTTCCTAGCGCGAAGAGCTCTGTTTTCCTCTGGCTGACGCTGCTGGCTCCATCCCAGTAAAATCCCGTTCTTTTCTTCAAATCCAAACTCCTGCTCGTCTTTCCACTGATTCAAGACCTTGAATTCCTCGTTGAGCTCCTCCTCCTTGGGAACGCAACCCCACGAGAAATACCCACATCGCCCTTTCTCCTGTGCATCCACCATGTAAGCGAACCAGGAGGAGGAGGAAGCTGCTTCTTCCTGCTTCGGAGAGATGGACTCTTCGCGAGGAAATTCCTGTTCTGAAGCCGCGATGGCAGTTTCCAACATGGGTTCTTCTTCAATGACTATCTGGAAGCTCTGGAGAGCAGGCAGAGGGTCCAATTCGTTGAGAACCACAGCGGCAGAGTGCGAACTGATCAAGTCGACTTCCTCCGGCCAGTAGCAATCCTCCTGATACAGCAACGATTCCTCCACGAAATCCCAGTTCATGGAATTTTCAGATGAGTATGGGAATTGGCTGAAATTGGGATCTTGATTGAACAGGCTTCCGTCCATGTATTCGATTAATCAAAGGATGGCGGGAATCACTGGTTTCCCCTGAACCCAGAAGTGAAAAAACAGGGGAAAGGACGAAACAGAGAATATTCAGAAGGGAAACAGGGGAAGGGGTTGGAAATGGAATGGAATCCACTCTGGGGAAAGCGTGAAAAGCTATGATTATGCGGAGATTAGGCGCATAATGATGTGCTTAATATATAGCCAAAAGGCACGTCGCCATGGAAAGTCAACAACAAGCAATTTATCTGGTTGATGATGTCTGCAACACTGAAATGGGAAGAAATGAATTATCTCGTCATACCCAAAACCACGGCTGGGGGTATGTGGCCAAAACAAATCAATTAATAATGGCTATGATTTGAGTTTGGTTGAGATTATGAACAACTAAATTGATTGAATTTCAACCAAAATCATAAATAAACTGATTTGATTAGATTTTGACTTTCTTTCATTATTGTTTCCGATGACTTTCCTTGTTTATTTGTAGTTTGACTTTCTTAATAAAGAAAGGCAATGGCTTGGTTTGACATTTTTTGTTGTTGATAACATTTTTAAATACTTCTATTTTGGGTAATTGAAGAAACTAAGATTTGATTATTTATGTCCTTTTATTCAAGAATTTGATATCATAGTCAATACCCATTGTTGCAATGTTCATTATATGTAACTTGCTCGTCAAATCAAGATTTCGGAGATGTTTTCATATATTCATTTGGGACCGAGATAGTTTATGAGATATGGCATCAAGAACCGTTGTCCTCAAGAAAAAAAAAGACTCCAAACTATAAACTAGCACGATGACGGATGCTCCACCTTTTCTAAACAAAAAATTAAAGGACGTAATTAATGAAATGTCGTTGCCAAAGTACTCAGAATGATTCCTTAATATAGATTTTGTTGAAACAAGGTCAATCCAAGACATATCGAATGATGACATAAATCAACAAAAGTGATAATTAACATAAATCAACACAAACGAAAAAATAATTTTGCCAAGTGAATTAGCCTTAAAAAATAACTAGTTTTTTGGCCCGCGCTCTGCCGCGGTAAGAAACTAATGATTTATTTGAAATCAAATTATTCACAAAATTATTCGATTAAGATACCTACCTAAATTTCACGTATTGTATTAATCATTGCGAATAACATATGTCATTTGTTTGTGTAAGTGATACATAATATATAACTATCCTTACATAAGGTTTACGTAGTGTTTCATTATTATGGAAGACTTGCATAATATTTTGTTAATTGATACATACAAAATGATAATATGTTCAAAAACTTTACATAATGTGTTAATCGTTAAGAAAGACTCATGTAATATCTTTGCTTACATAATAGCTATCACTTTATAAATTTCACTTTATCTAGTGTCTATAAATTTTAAAAATGAATTTTTATTTTATTTAATCGTTATAGAATGTTGCTGATATAGAATTTTTATATATAAATCTTTCATAATATGCGGTCTAATAATAAAATCAAGTTATAGAAAGTAACGTTTTATTAAATTGGTAATTTATGTAACTGTTATAGATGTTGTTACATAAATCTTTCAACATGTCACTATAGTAGAAAATTAGAAAACTATCCAAATCATTAATATACGACTTTGACACAAGTACTTATAAGCAATAACTAACTACCATAGTCTTGTTAAAAGAAAGAAAAAAGTAAAGCGAGAATTGCAGGGAAAGAAATTAAAGTTTGGTTTGGGTGACCACTCGATTACATTTCAACTCATTTTCTAAATTACCCTTTTTTGTAGTGACATGTTAAAATGTGATCTCTCTAGTGTTTATATATGAAAAACTTCTCTTTGTGTGGCAGGTATGGTATAGGTATGACTTATAAATATGGGTCGGGGAGGCTATAACCATACTTGCCCTCATAAATCCGCCCCATACTCAGTCAATGCGGGAATTCCCTGCGTTGGCTGGGCTGGGAACGGTCGGGTACCCACGATTGTGGTTTTGATTTACATCCCAGTGTAATTGGTAAATAATAAATAATTATTTTTTGTAACCTTTATGTAGTATCATAAATATTTCAAAAGAATTCTTTTGGTGAATAGAATGCTAAAGAGCATCCTTGCCACTGCGGAAGACTCACATAAATTTTTTTTAACTAATATATAATAAATAACTATATCCCTATAGGTTTTACGTAATTTATTTATAAAATTTCAACTAAATATTTATTTATTTGTAATTTATGTAATTATTATATAATGATGTTATTTAATGTGTGATTTAATAATAAAATCAAGTTGAAAAAAGTATCGCATTTGTAAATTAACTTACCTTCCATTTGATTAAATTATCATGTAGAAATAGTTTACCTTTCAAAACTTTTATGCAATGCAAATTGATGTAATGATCAATAATAGTAAAGGAATTTTCGTTCAAACTTATATTATAATTCATAAATTTTTTATAGAATGGTGTTACGTAAATGTTATGTAATGTGTGGTTTAATAATAAAACCAAGTTATGAAAAATATTGCATCTTATTGTTATATAAAAGTTAACAAACTTTAGGTAATGTTTTAATTATTAGGAATATTCAAAAAATGGACTTTGGCTCTCTGCTGGTATGGACTGATGCTTATGATAATAGTAGATATAATAAGAAATGCAGCAAGAAGTATAAAAAAAATGAGGAATTTTGGCGTTGGAAGTTTGGGTGGGTGCTGCCGCATGGTTTAATGTCCTTAGTGAACAGTGAAATTGGGGAGATTTTTTCGTAATGAACAGTGCATTAAACTTGCACTTTTAATTAATTGATTATATTATATAGTTTCACTAAACAAATCTTGCATGGCGGATGATGGCATAAATCAACACAAACCAAAATTGACAAACTTATTATAGAGAAATGAATGGATGACGAGAGTTGCACCAAACCAATAAATCCAACTATTAATAGAGAAAGACAAACAATGCCTAGTAGATGCTTACTCACTCACTCAAGGAGTCGTGTTTCCGCATCTTCTTTAATCACTTTCCCATTTCCCCTTAAACAAACGATTAACGATAATGATGGCATCAAGGAAGCCTCTAAACCTAATCAAGCAAATAAACTTCTACTTTATCTCCTCGACAATGCGACCCGCTGTTTCATTCGAGTTTTTCTGATTGAATTTCACTGTGTTTTAAACAATCGGATAGCAACTTTACAGAGGTGAACGAGATCTCATATGAGTTAAAAGACTTTGCGTCCCTCACTGCACAGCTGGCGATAACTAATCTCTCTCTCTCTCTAAATAATTGACATGTGCAGAACCCAAATCTCTATAGGTTCATAAACGATGAAAAAAGTAAACTTTCTTCATTCCATGAATGACTTATTACATTTAACACCATTCGACAAACGATAAATCTGAAATAAGTTCGTCAAATTTTTGAAATTTGAATCTCAAATCCAGCAAACAAAGAACCACTCACTTATAGTTTTGTATTTATTTGTCATTATTCCTTGCTAATTTCCCTACCTACTACTTGATTTATTCCTCAACCACCGATCACTTAATTTTATATTTAAATCACACTTTGTTAATCAGTCTTTTGGCAGATTTGCGGAGGCATATTGCCGCATTTTCGTCATTGAGTTACATTCCCATTTGTGTGTCATTATTGACTTGGATTGAATAGTCTTGTAAAGAGATAGATGCATGCATTGAACCTCAGTGAAGAACTTCACTATCAACATAGGGGTCATGGCCGTTCAAACCAAGTTTGTAACATCTAAAGGAATTGATTCATTTAATTAATAGTGGTCACCTATTGTTTAGTGAGATTAGTAGGGGGTTGATTGCTAGTTAAGGGTTTGACAATAGTTCAACCGGGACTGGATGGATTTGATATCGAGCTCTATGGAACGAAGGGGAGACGAACATGTTAGAATTAAGATTCATTCTTCAACATCTCCATAATTCGAGTCGTTGATATTGTATATCATGACATGGTATCAGAGCCTACGATAACTAAGATATTTTGTGTTTCGAATGCTAGTGATTCCAAACATTAGTAGTTTATCATTTAATCACAACGTATGGCAGGCCGGTGCAAATTCCTCTCCCCAATAAGTTGGAGTTATTGGTTGGTTGACAACGGTTTGATCTAAATTTGTACGAAACCATTCGATTAGTTTCGAAGTTTTTGTCCCACTTTGATTTTCAACAACAAAACGATCCATTGGAGTCGATAATAATGTGCATCCATATATTTGCACAAACAAGTTTTATTAGCACTTTCGTCAATAACATTATAACCAAAAATTAATTATTCAGCTCGAAATACAAGACCAAAAGTGTACCTTCTCCTAGAATACACGTTTTTCATGTCATGTGATTCTCATAGTATTCTAACCCAGCCGTCACTTTGTTGGCTTTTGGCAATAGAGAAACGGCTGTGATGATCATTGGCTGAAATTGGGTCACTGCTCCTTCCAAGGAAACATTCAAGAATATCGAGCTAAGCTAACCTCTTTCTTTTCCCCCCATTTGCAGCTTAATTGTAATTATATGTTAATCAAGAGTTCGTAAGTGCTTACGCCCTTCGACTAATTGTAATGCCCAGGCCCTCACACCCACCATTACCAAACATCAATCACTGCAACTAGGATTTGATGGTAGCTAATACTTAATATTCCAATTAGAGTTTCACAAAGCCAAACCAACTAAAGCTCATAACATCATGATAAATGATAGAGTGAAAGAAGAGGTGGATCATCAATTAGTACAACTAAATTATAAGTCATGAAAACTTGATGCTTGGAACCTGCCAATTAGTTAACCTTTCAATTGAATTATACATATAATCCTTTGTTTTAAACTCGACTAACTAAGCATATAACATTTTATTTTAGATAATGGAACTAAGCATATAACATTTGATAAACGACAGGACGAAACATCAATATAGAGAAACTAGGATAGAAATCTGATCATAGCGGTTGCTTCCTGGCGGGCAAGTAAGCTTACAACATTTACATAATCACACTCTTATAATTATCACCAACATTCATCACAAACAAACAACCATTTGAGGGTAAAAAAAAAAATCACTTCACTATTTATTAACACAAGAATGTCTATATCACAAACTTGACTATATATGAAAACACTCTTTTCCTTTCTACTAAACTACACCTATATAATCTTCTTCTACAATCACACTAACCTAATCCGCCTCTCAAATAAGGGCGCAATTGGCTTTACAGTCTCACTAATCACACTATTATATGAACAAAAAAATATACACGCAACACTAACACAATCTTCTAATTGTCTAAACTAAACATGATTAGTGATCACAATCCACACATGAAAAAATAGGCCCTAAAATGAAGGCCCAAAATCAAAGGCCCAACCTTAAGTCCAGAGTTGGGGGCGAAGAGCATTCATGCTCTTCATCCTTCGGCGGGGGAATCACAGCCGGTGCTGGCACCGGCGCCGGCAAATTCAGGTCCACCATCAACATCGACGACGAAGATTGCGACCTTTGCTGCTGCTGCTGCTGTTGAATACCTCTCTGATTGTCCCAATGACATCTCTTGTGCCCGCCGAGCGCCTGCCCGCTCGGGAAAACCCTTAGGCAAATGCTGCATTTGTGATAGCCGGGGACGGAACCTCCGCCGTCGACTCCCGCCATCACAACCGCCGCCGAATGTGCATCACCACAAATTTCGGCTAATGAACTGTTCTGCCTAAAATCGTCTGCTGCGGGGACAATTGTGTCGTTCTGGAAGCAGCCCTTGACGTTCTTGTGGCTGGCGCGGTGCCCTCCAAGCGCCTGGTGTGACCCAAACACCTTCTTGCAACTTGAACACTCGAACCGACCCGAATCCTCTCCTTCTTCTTGTTTTTGACGGTGGAAAGGCACAATTGCGCCGCCAAATTCGTCTCCTTCCACAGCGGCTGCTACTCTGTTTCCCCAATTTTGCTCTCCTGAAACAGGGGATTGGTGACTGCAAGCGGTGACGGCGACGGCGGCGGTGAAATTGGCCAGGAAGAGTAAGCAATCAGCCACCTCGTGATCCGCTGCGGTCATCGTTATCATCTCCTGTGGGTCCCCACGCGGCCCTCCAATGTGGGTCTGCGGCAGCGGCGGCGGCGGCGAGGGAGAGAAAATCATCAGGGGAGTCTGCGGCGTAGGGCGGCGGCGGTGATTAGGGGGAGGGTTAATCCCGCGCCATTCCCTCTCAGGGTGACACCTCATGTGACCGAAAAGAGCCTTCCAAGACGAGAACTTCTTCCCGCACTCTGTACACGGCTTGTCCTTCGGCGCTGACGGGTCCGCCTTTTTCCCTCCACCGCTGCTGCCCGCCTTGTTCTTCCTGACACTCCCACTTGCCACCGACTCCGCGGCATTGTGGGTATGCAACAAAGAGGAAGAAGAAGCAGATGCAGGGGAAGGAGTAAGAGGGGAACCAAACGGATTCGCGAAAATTGGCGGGGGAATTGGATTGGGTTCGAGCAGAATCTTGTTCAACTTGGTTCGCTTCTTCCGATGGTGGTTCGGGTTCGGGAGAGACGAAATCTGCGGCTGAGGAAGAGGGGGAGGAGGAGACGACGAAGAAGAAGGGAAGATGGGGTTAGAATTCGCGTTGTTCTGGTTGGTCATTATCTCGAATCGATCTGGGAAAGACAGGGGAAGGCAGGAAAAAAACAGAGGTGTAATCATGAAGTGGAGAAGGGCGAAAAAAATTGGAAGAAAGGGGGAAGCTTTGCTTATGTAGTGGTGGGGGAGAAGAAGGAAACTCGGAGATTATCAGTTGCAGTTTGTTTGATAGAGAGAGAAACGGTTACCAATCGGGAGAGAGAGAGAGAGAGAGACAGACATGGCGGTTTTGCTCTGTGTTTTACAGTTAGTGGGGGGTAATGGTCGTTTGTTCGTGATTATCCAAAGAGACTCACCTTCTCCACTGGTCCACTTACCATACTGCCCCTATTTGGGCGGGAAAATCCGAAAGAACACCAATCAAAGTTCATAGCTTTGGTACCCAGAAAAAAGAAAAAAGTTTGGACCTTTTCGTTGATTATAGGGTGAGCAGTGAGCTAACTTGGGAACATGGGGGAGTGGAAGGAAGGTGGTGAGACGAATTTCAGGGTTATGGTTAGAGTTTTGCAAGTTCCACATTCCTGCTAATAGATACATGTTACGTCTGGTTTGGATTCTAAAATTGGGGATTTTTTTCGGGTCCAATTCGATGGAACATTTTGTATCAAATAGAATTGAATCAGAGCATAAATACTTTTGATTAAAGTTTTGGACTTCATTTCATCTTTTTTTACAAGTCAAATGATATTCAATATGATCCGACTATGATATCAGATTGGTTCTATGGATCAAACAAACACCGGCTGCTTGATACACAAGTTTAGTGCGGAGCTAGATCAACGATCAATATGAGAAATATCAGCACGTTTACACAATTTAAGTTCATATCATATCGTTTGAGTTTGCTAATGGTTTTATCAGATAAACGAGAAAATGATAACTGCCATTTCATTACAGAAAAATAATATCATGTCTGAATTTTCGACACAAAAAACTGTCCATGAGTTAAGGATTCACTCAGATCCATAACAACACTTCTATCTGATACAAATTGCTTTCAGCTAGTCATGAAATCTGTCTCAACAAGTTAGGAAATTGCCTAATTTACTTTCCTCCCATGGCTTCCTCCTTGGATGTAATTAGTTTATAACTCACTTCACTTCCACGATATACAACAGCTAACAGTTAAGAACTACAAAAGACAAATAGAGAGCACGGCGAACTAGCATACAACAGCTTGCAAAATTGTCGATCGAACAATGGGAGGAGGATGATGACCATAGTGGTAAGAGTAGAAGTAGATATAACCAGAAAGAAATCTGTATGAACACAGGGTGTAATTTCCCTCTGGCTTTCGCATCACTTCCTCTGCTGAATTGTGGTTGGTGCTTTGAGATTCCTCCCCAGTACGTTCAGGAATGCCACCCGCTGTATCTCCTTCGCTGCAGCAAAGAATAGACATTGAGACTGAACCAGTCATTTTATGATGCCTTTAGCTATCTGCACATGGCAACTTAATCGGCTAGCAATAGAAGAATATTATGCAGATGGAGAGTGATGCATTTATACGTTTGTGGATATCTTCTAACATAAGGACAGTGCTTGCTCAGTTCTGATGACAACCAGTGTGCAGAAAACGACCATTAATGGTGTGATTCCTTAAACTAGTATGTGGAGTAGCATGGTTCTGATGCATAAAAGAAACCAATACTAGTCTTAACAAACAGTTTGGGGTCCTTATTGGTAGAATTAGCAGGCGTTTCGAGCTATCAAATATGCAATGAATGTAAGCAAGGCAAGACTAAACATAAATAGTTGGAGCATTTAAGTAAATAACCAGCCAAGTGATGCTAATAACCAATAGGTTAAAAGTGTTTAGATTCTTAAAACACAGGTTTTCTCAGAAATGGCAGCAGACATCAAACTGGTTTATGTTACCTTCCTCCAGAGAGAGCTGAATGGATCGCTTCTCTAACTCGACTGCATGTCTGTTAAGCTCAACCGAGGAAAGAGATTGGAGCACTGAGATTGCAACACAGAATACAAGCTGTTAAGGAGCAGTTGAAGAACTAGCATTGTAAAGTATTCGACTTGACAGAAAAACTTACTCTGTATGTAGTCCTCTTGATCCGATTGATCAATTTTCTTTAACAGAACTTGTAACTGGCAATATCGTTCTTCCCAGTGCATATCTCTCATCCCATTCCCACTACCAGACAAAGGTACAGAAGAAGCAGGAAAGGGATGATAAGTGGACTGCACCGATGCAAATCTCGGAGTACTAGACTGTGTTATAGGAAGGGAAACCGAGGTCTTCCCAGATGTACTTATCGTGGTGCCAACGGGCATAGGTGCCGTTAATGCTGAAAATCGAGAAACCTTAGGCTGCTCCTTAGTCGGTGATTTTAGCTGGTTGGTCTCCCCAGAGTGACCAACTTGTTTTTGATTAGGGGAGTTGGCACTAGTCTTGCTCGTTTCGGCTTCGGATTTACGACGCACATAAACAAGTTGAGCACTTGCAACATTACCATTTGGGGACTGATTATGTGCTATTGGACTCTCAGGTGAGGGCCTCTTGGTGCCAGAAACCTTACTGATAGTATCCATGTTTTGTCCACTGTTCTTAGTCAATGGAGAGTTGCTGATGAAGTTGTGAGCCCTATTTTGATTCTGCACATCTCTCAAAGCTGCTTTCTTTACAGCAACTGGAAACTGCTTGTCACCACCAGCAGAGAAGTTCTGCTCGGTTCTGCCCAACCCATACTCACCAAACTTGGGGTTTATCATTTGCTGAACCATCTGAACGAAAGATATCAAATTATTCTTAATCAACAACAACATTCAAATCAAACAAGGAAATGTTAAAGCAGCAAGATTTAAAAGTTTACAATAGACTAATCAGCAAGTCAGTGACTTCAAATTCTTTGAGAAATTGGAGTCACATCACGAGCCTTAACAACACTCCTTGCAGAAATCGATTATCTAAAAGCACAAAACCAAAGCCAAGCACAGAGTTTTCAGCTGATTAGGTCAGATAGAACCACCGTTGCAGATTGGAATGGATCCAAGGAACTTCAAACTCTCTCAAATCAGCTACTAGCCTAGTTTTGAAGTAAAGATACATCAGGAAGCAAACTAGCTTCAATGTCATTGCTTGCAGAATGAAGAGATCGATAATCCAAAACCAGAAAACCAAACCAAAGCACAGTAGTTTTCAGCTGATTAGGGCGGATACAACCACAATTACAGATTGCAATCGATCCATGGAACATATAGATAGCAAAGAAAATGAACAATGTTAAGCAACTAACCGCAAAACATCATAATCCATGGAAATCAATTGATTGGTACATAAGTCTAAACGGAAGCCATCTTAGAGCAATCGTTCACAATCTGAGCACCAGTTCACATTACCCTAGAGCTAAGGCAAGTTCGTCATCAGTTAACCAAATGCAATTGAGCATCTAGAGCAAGTTCTGCCCATTGTAACAGAACTAGAGAACCGAATAGAGCACAAAATTGAGCAACGAGGAAAGAGCAACAACATTTCAAGAGATGGGTTGTGGTGATCACCTGAAATAAACAATACCCCATCAAATTGAGAAGCAGAATTGTCGAAGGAAATCGAGCATACCCTGCAATGAATGCATGCAGGAGGAAGTTATCTTCGATAGAAATGGAGGGAAGGGGAAAGAGAAATCAAAAGCGGGGTTACACGAAGAAGAAGGATACAAATTTTAAAAAACCGAGAGCGAAGAGCATTACCGTGATTAGCTTAGCTCGTTGATTCCGGAGAGGGCCGAGAGAGAAAGAGGGGGAAGAAGAGAGAGAACGAAAGGGGGAAGAGGTGTTTCAAAAGAACAAAGCTTTGCCTCTCTCTCTGCTTTCACAAGACGAAGTCGGGGATTTTATCTTGTTTAGTCCTCCGACCTTTGGAGAATATTTACTCCTAAGATGCCAAAAATGATCACATAACTGCGGATATATAACAATATGGTCACCAAACTATAAAATTTAGCATGGCAATAGCTAAGTCAAGGAAATAGGGAATCAAGAAGTGGGCTTCGGATCACGGCCCATAGGGTGTTATTGGGCCAGACTTAGTGCCCGTAAGGCCGTAGATACAAAATCCGTGGAAGCGTCCGCCGGAGTGTGAATCAGAAAATGCCGACTTGGATGACGGAGAAGGAGGCCGGACCGGCGGCGAGGAACAGATACAGGGTACTGATTACTGAAACATGGGAAAAGCATTCCTAAAGGGATCATCGTCCTCCATGGTTACTTCCTTTCCTCACTTCACTTTCCCTTTGGTTCCACCAATTGTAAAGACTGAATTTTTACAGTACTTACAACCAACCCACTAAGCAGTTTCTTGTTCTAGACTGTCTATTTTGATCACCAGTTTCTGGATTTCTGCTGGATCACCAAAAAACTTGGTCTAAAACAAAGAAAAACAGACCACAAAAGTGTTCCAACCATCAAGGGCCTTTGTTAGTCGCCCTGCAAAAGGAAGGACAGTGCCTTCGAGCAGCCCCTTGGAAGCAAAAGAGGGGGGAAAACGCAGTACCTAGCTAGCAAGAAATTAGAGTCGCTGAACAGCTCATATCTTCTTGGCCTTGGTTAGAATGGGATCCCAAACACCTCTCAGTTCATTGAGCTTCTTCTCGTAATCTTCTTTGACGGCGCCTAGATTCTCTTCCAACCAACGTGAAGCTGCTCCAATAGAAGAGATCTCCACCTTTCTCATCACCCACCTGCTGCAGCCCATCACCACTAAGAATGGCGTTCTTGACATCGTAGATGTAACTCTCTAACTCGATCCTGGCATCCACACATGCCTTGGCTGTCTTGTCTTTCTCTGCCATCTCCTCTGCCTCTTTGATCATCCTCTTAATCTGATACTGCGTCAAATTTCCTTTGTAGCTGGTAATGGTTAGGGACTTAGATTTTGCTCCTGAGATCTTCTCCCTTGATGTCACTTTGAGTATTCCATCCTCGTCGATCTCCAAGGTATCCTCTACTATTGTAACTCCCCTTGGAGCAGGGGTGATACCGGACAGAACAAAGTTTCCTAGCTGGATACAATCCTTGGTCAGGGGTCTTTCACCTTGAAACACCTGCAAAAATTTACCTGAATTTAAAGGTTGAAACGCACCAGTATGAACATAAACTATCTTTTGGAATACCTCAACCAACCTTGGTACTCATTGAGGTTTGCTGATCTTCATTGGTGGTAAATTCCATTGACATTTTTGTAGGAACAGGGGTGTTTCTTGGGATAATTACTTTCATCAAACCATAAGCGTCCTCGATTCCCAAACTCAATGGAGTGACATCAACCAAGGTAACACCTGCGAGCAGTTTCGGCGTAAGTAATCGAAGAAGATGGTCGAATTAAGAGTCAGTCTTCACGCAGTAAAACGTTACCATCATGTATTGCATCTCCATGGTCGCTGAGTTTGACTCCAAAGACAGCAGCACCAGAAGCCACAGCTTCATCAGGGTTCACTCCTTTGCAGGGCTCCTTCCCATCAAACATGTCCTTCAGCATCTCCCTCAACTTGGGAATCCTGGTGCTTCCTCCCACGAGTACTACCTCCTCGATCTCGCTCTTCCCCAACTTGGCATCTTTCAGCGTCGCCTCCACCACCTCCTGCGTCTTCTTAAACAAATCCAAATTCAATTCATTGAACTTGGCCCGCGTCAGAGTCTCCGAGAGATCCATCCCCTGAAACAGAGACTCGATCTCGACCCGAACCTGGCTTTGATTGCTCAAATCCCTTTTGGCTGTCTCGCATTCTTTGCGGAGCTTCCCTAGAGCTTTTTTATCTTCACTGATATCCTCCTTACAGAACTTTTTTTTGATTAATCTGATAAAGTATTCCATCAATCTCTGATCGAAATCTCCGCCGCCGAGATGAGCGTCCCCGCCGGTAGCCAAAACACGGAAATCCTGGCCATCTACTTCCAGCACACTGACATCAAACGTCCCGCCGCCCAAATCGTACACCAGAATCTTACTCTTGGTTTGTTTCCTCTTCCGGTGTAGGCTATTAAGACCATAAGCTATGGCAGCTGCCGTTGGCTCGTTGATGATCCGGAGGACGTTTAGGTTTGCTATTCTGCCCGCGTCCTTTGTGGCCTGCCTCTGCCTATCGTTGAAATAAGCCGGGACCGTGACAACCGCGCCGCTCACTGGCTGACCAAGGTAAGATTCAGCAGATTCCTTCATCTTCCCCAATATCATGGCGCTTATCTGTTCCGGGCTGAACCGTCTTTTGGTTTCTCTTCGGCCTTTCGATTTCGCTAATTCTATTTCCACGTACGGCTTCCCGCCTTTGTTGACCACCAGATACGGTAAGTACCTCAAGTCCCTCTGAACCTCTGGGTCGTCGAACTTTTTACCGATCAGGCGCTTGGCGTCGAAGATAGTCCGGCGAGGGTTGAGTGCCGCCTGCTTCTTGGCGGCTTCTCAAATTAGGCGCTCGGAATCGGCGGCAGAGAAGGCCACGAAGGAAGGTGTGGTTCGGTGGCCTTGGTCGTTGGCTATGATCTCCGCCGTGCCGTTTCGAACGACGGCGACGCATGAATTGGTCGTCCCTAGGTCGATTCCGATCACTTCTCCTTTCACATCCACCTCCGGGGCCATTCTGGAATCAGAGTGCAAGGGCAGGGATTATGATTTTCTGGTGTTCTTGCTCTGTTTTCTCATTCGCGAGCAGAGGAGAAATAAGAAGCGTGTTTACTACGAGAGTCGGACTACTTCGCGGGTAAGTTTTCGGTTTGATTTGATTGCTCTGTCTGCTCCAGTTTTATAATTTTAATTTGTTTTTTCAAAGCTCAAAAAGGGGTCTGGTAGCGTGTGGGCAGGTCCACTTTACAGCCAGGAGATTGATGCCCAAAATTGGGCTGATAAGTTGGGACCGAGATAGGAAATCTAGAAGTGGGCTTCAGCTAAGTTAAGGAAGCAAAAAATTACGGCCCATAGGGTGTTATTGGGCCAGATTTAGATGCCCGTTATGCCCATAGATACAAAAATCGGTTGGTCGTTGGCGGTTGATATTCTTCGGCCATTCCCCCTCGAAAACATTTACTGCCGGCTGCAACGGAGTCCCAATCGGAGGTGGCGACCGCCGGAGCTTGAATCAGAAAAGTGCCGACTAAGATGACGGAGAAGGAGGCCGGACCGGCGGCGGCGTACTTGAGGAGCAGATACTGGGTACCAATTACTGAGGCACGGGAAAAGCAATTCAAAAGGAATCATCATCCTCCATGGTTACTTCCTTTCCTTTCCCCCCACTTTCCCTTTGGTTCCACCAAGTTGCAAAGACAAAAAATTTACAGAATTTACAAGCAACCCATTAAGCATTTCTTGTTCTTAAATGTCTAATTTCATTCCCAGTTTCTGGGTTTCTGCTGGATCACCACAAAAGTTGTTCTTTCCTAAAGACCAAAACAAAGAAAACCACACCACAAGGGCTTTTGTCAGTCGCTTTACAAAATGAAGGCCAGTGCCTTCGAGCAGCGCCTTGGAAGCAAAAGAGAAACAAGCGCAATACCTAGCTAGCAAGAAATTAGAAGAAGACTTCCCAGCATTCACAAGTTTGGTTAGCGTAGGATCTGAAAAGCTCATATCTTCTTGGCATTGGTTAGAATAGGATCCCAAATGCCTCTCAGCTCGTTCAGTTTCTTCTCGTAATCATCTCTGGTAGCGCCTTGGTTCTCTTCCAACCAACGTGAAGCTGCTCCAATAGAAGAGATCTCCACCTTTCTCCTCTTATCACCCACCTGCTGCAGCCCATCGCCACTAAGAAAGGCGTTCTTGACATCATAGATGTAACTCTCTAACTCGATCCTGGCGTCCACACGTGCCTTGGCTGTCTTGTCTTTCTCTGCCATCTCCTCTGCTTCTTTGATCATCCTCTCAATATCTTGTTGCGTCAAACCCCCTTTGTAGTTGGTGATGGTCAGGGACTGACATTTTGCTCCGGGGATCTTCTCCCTGGCCGTCACTTTTAGTATTCCATCCTCATCGATTTCGAGTGTCTCCTCCACTTTCGTGACTCGCCTGAAATCAACGAATCCAGGCTCATGTTTCTCTAGAAAGATTCTGATTACAAGCAAGACTATACCATAGGTATTGTACTTACCTTGGAGCTGGGGTGATACCGGACAGAACAAAGCTTCCAAGCTCGACACAATCCTTGGTCAGGGGTCTTTCACCTTGAAACACCTGAAAAATGCACCTTGTTTTACTTTAATTATAGGAGGCGCACCAGTATGAACATAAGCTAACAATTCGAATGCCTCCACCAACCTTGATACTCATTTCAGGTTGCAGGTCTTCAATCGTGGTAGATTGTATTGACATTTTTGTCGGAATAGGGGTGTTTCTTGGGATAATTAAATCCATCAATCCATAAGCATCCTCGATTCCCAAACTCAAGGGAGTGACATCAAACAACATAACACCTGCATACAGTTTTGTTCAAGAAATCGAAAAAGATATGATCCAACCAAGGGTTAGGAGCTGTAAGCTGTAAGAAATCGAAAATCGATTACCATCATGTACTGCATCTGCGTGGCCGCTGAGTTTGGCTCCCAAGACAGCAGCTCCATAAGCCACAGCTTCATCAGGGTTCACCCCTTTGCAGGGTTCCTTCCCATCAAACATCCTTTTCAGCATCTCCCTCAACTTCGGAATCCTAGTGCTTCCTCCCACCAGGACTACCTCCTCGATCTCGCTCTTCCCCAAGTTGGCATCTTTCAGCGTCGCCTCTACCACCTCCAGCGTCTTCTTAAACAGATCGAAATTCAATTCATTGAACTTCGCCTGTGTCAGAGGCTCCGAGAAATCCATCCCTTGATACAGAAAATCGATCTCGACCCTAACTTGGTGTTGACTGCTCAACGCCCTTTTGGCTCTCTCGCATTCCATACGGAGCTTCCCTAGAGCCCTTTTATCTTCATTGATATCCTCCTTACCGTACTTTCTTTTGATTAATTTGATGAAGTATTCCATCACTCTCTGATCGAAATCTCCGCCGCCGAGATGAGTGTCCCCGCCGGTAGCCAATACACGGAACTTCCTGCCATCTACTTCAAGCACGCTGACATCAAACGTCCCGCCGCCCAGATCATACACTAGAATCTTACTCTTGGTTTGCTTCCTCTTCCAGTATAGGCTAGTTAGACCATATGCAATGGCCGCTGCAGTTGGCTCGTTGATGATCCGGAGCACGTTTAGCCCTGCTATTCTGCCCGCGTCCTTTGTTGCCTGCCTCTGCTTGTCGTTGAAATAGGCCGGGACAGTGACAACAGCGCCACTTACCGGCTCGCCCAGGTAAGATTCAGCAGTTTCCTTCATTTTCCCCAATATCATGGCGCTGATCTCTTCCGGGGCAAACCCTCTTTTGGTCAATCTTCCTCCGCCTTCTTCTGCCTTCACTTCGTCTATTTCCACGCACGGGTTCCCGCCTCGGTTCACCACCGGATACGGTAAGTACCTCAAGTCCCTCTGGACCTCTGGGTCGTCGAACTTTTTCCCTATCAGGCGTTTGGCGTCGAAGATTGTCCGGCGAGGGTTACGTGCCGCCTGATTCTTGGCCGCTTCACCTATGAGGCGCCCGGAACCGTCGGCAGTAAAAGCCACGGAGGAAGGTGTGGTTCGGCTGCCTAGGTCGTTGGCGATGATCTCTGCCGTGCCGTTTCGAGCGACGGCAACGCATGAGTAGGTCGTCCCTAAGTCGATTCCGATGACTTGTCCTCTTCTTACTTCCTTCTTCGAGGCCATGCTGGAATGAATGAACTTCGCCGGAGCAATAGAGTGCGCGGCAATGGTTTTGATTTGTGGTGCTCTCGCTGTATTTTCTCTTCGGAGAGCAAAGAGGAATTCGAAGCGATTGCTAGTTCAACCTGTCAACAACAACAACAACAACAACAAAAAAAAAGAGAAGCTTTTGCCTCGAGAGTGGGAACTATCCTGCTGGTAGGTGTCGATTTGATTTCTCTGCCTCCCATTTTAAATTTTTAAATTTTCAAAGCAAGGGATGAAGGGAAAGGGGTCTGTAGCGCGTTAAAGGTGCATTGGGCCAGACTTAGAGCCAAAAATTTGGGCTGGAAAAGTTGGGACGGAGACAGGAAAGGAGGGCTTCGGTAATTCGTTTTGTCCTTAAAGGTGTATTGGGCAAGAATAAAAGCCCATAAAATACTCAAGGAAGAAACCACTTGTAGTAACCATATTTAGCCTACAAACAAAGGGCAAAGAACCGAGTCTGAATGGCAGTCAGATAACGATAAGTCTATAACAACTGAATGGGAGCACAAAGTAAGCCCAGAAAACAAACTGGAAACACCTGACCTTCTAAACATAAATGATAATAATAATCACTTCTTTTATCTTCAACAATTTTACAAATACAATTTCGTGACCTGAAGAAAAAAGATGTAGCAGTAGCAGTCTAGGGTGTGTAGTAGTAGTAGTAGTAATACATGATCGATGAAGACAATGACGACGGCGATGATGATGATGATTGGACAGTCAGATAAAAACTTACAAAAACTTTTATCTGAAAGAAAGGAAGAAGAAGAGAGACAAGGGAGGAAAAGCTGCGAGCAGTTTAGACGCAAAGGGAGGAGGAGGAGGAGGAAGAGCAGGAAGACATCTCAAGGTCCGTTGTTCCCACCCAACAGCCGTTCCACTGCTGCATGAACGTTACCAGCTGTAGCACGCAACGCCCTGATATTCTCCTGGGTGTCGAAGAACCCCATCTCCTGAAGCTGGGTGAGTTGGGTCGCGTATAGTTCTTCTGGTGGCACTGTTAAATGCCAGCAGGTTAGGAAGTTTCGATAATCATTTCTGCTGTAATTGACAGAAATAAGTGAAGGAGATGGAAGGAGGGTTAGGTATACCATCTGGTTGGTTCGGAGTAGATAAGCCTCCAGCACCAAGGCCACCAAACATGTTCATCAACAACTCTAGTCCAGCCGCATTAGGCATTCCTGCCACATCAAGTTATACATCATGACAAAAGAATGATGAAACTGTCAAGTACAATGTTGAGCAAAGTTTTTGCCACTCCTGGGTACCTGGAGTAGTACCCGTCTGTGGAGATTCCCTGCAAATGACAAAATAAAAAGGTACGTATCAAGAGAGAATGAATGACATCTTCCAGGCATTCAACAATCGAGAACTGGGTATTCAAAAGGGGGATCATCTTACTGGGTTGACTGCTGCCTGTTCATCTGAGACATAAGTGACTGCTGCAGGGATAGCATCTGTTACAAGTACATAGAAGGGCTGTGAGACCAGGGCAAAAATACTAACAAAAACATGACCACATTGCTAATGACAGCTAACTCTTCAAAGAATAATGTTTCACAACCACAATGACCCTTGATGTACACCTAATGTTAGTATATGAAAGATACAACAGGTTGGCTAATCAACTGGATTGGGATGTCTATCATCTCGCAGCAAGAAAGTTTGATAATCATCATCGCAGGTCAGAAATAAAGAATATCAAGTATGACAACTGAAGACCAAAACTAACAATCAAAGACTCGGGAACAAACTGTCAAAAAAGAACCCAGCTATCAAACATTGGTCACTACCTGGTTCATGTATTCAGGGTTGGAAAGCATGTTTTGCATCATCTGTGAAACAGCTGGATTCTGCAAGAACTGATTTAAATTAGTAGCATCAGGCATATTCCCCAACATTTGTTCCATTCCCGGGAGACCCAGCCCTCCCAGGCCAGCAAGACCAGCTGCCCTGGCATCCCCAGCAGCAGGAATTGACCTTGTTGTAGTGGTCGTCTGGCTTCCACCTTTCAAATATAATAAAAGAGAACTATAAATGACAGTTCCATGTAAAAGAGAGAATATACATGACAGTTCCATGTAGGGTGTATGCTGTACGCATATACAGTAACCTAACATTTAAACTCCAATCACAGCCCCTCATTAGAAATACAATCTTGCAGGCACAGTTGAATCACAATAGTAGAATTAGAATCCGATAAAGTTTAAGTTCCAGTCTCAGCACTTCATTAAGACAATCTTGAATGCAAAGTAGAATCACAATTGTTGAATGTAATATATATTGATGAGCCAACAAGTGGGAATATGGAAGATAAATGCTAATGCTTGGGTTTCAAAGGCCTATGATGAAGCAAGAATATTGCATAGAGGAAGCTTCTTAAGAGCATAAACCATCATCTTACCAGAATTACTGTTCCAAGGATTAGGCAGTGGGTTTGTATTTGGAACAGTTAAACCAGGGGTTCCCTCTGCACCGGTTGTTGAAGAGTTATTTGATGCATCCCTGGCTTGTGTCCCACCTTGGTTTCCAAGAAGTGCCGCGAAAGGGTTTGCATTCGGGTTATTCCCTGCATTAGTACTACCCATCGTGGTTGCATTGAGAAATGGTTCCTGGACATTTTCATACATACGCCTGAGCATGTTAAATCCCTCGGGAGAAGCTTCGATGTTGCTCATTGCTCGGTCAGTATTTCTCATCATCTCTCGCATGAGTTCAGGATTCCTAGCAGCTTCAAGGGTCTGCCTGAGAATGCTTGGGTCGTTCAGCACATGTGCAAGCTCGGGGTTCCTGTCGATGATTTCACGCATTTGAGGATTACTCATAATCAAGCTTCTCATCAACTCGGGGTTGTTCATCAGGTTCTGGATAGCAGGCATGTTCATTATTTCCCTCATCATGTTCGGGTTCTGTGTCAGCTGCTGCTGTACTTGCTCAAACTCTGGGAGCCCAGTTCCAAACAAGTTAGGTGCTCCACCAGCGCCTCCACCAACGCCTCCACCACCAAGCATATTCAATCCGAGTCCAGGAAACAGAGATGAACCAAGCCCAGCAGCACCAAACGGCCCACCTTCGTTGGAGCCCACACCCCTTGTAACGCCTGGTGTAGTATTCTGGCTTGCGGGATTAGCTGCAGTTGTGGGAGCAGCACCAGATGCAGGAGTTGATGAAGCTGGAGAGAAACCGCGAACCATATGGACTGTGTGATCAGCCTGCAGACCTTCGACCAAAGAAAAAGAACACAAATGGAGAAGGGTCAACCTCCAGAAGCAGAAAGATAGGCCAAAGAGTTGTGTCTATCATAAGATGAAGCCTAGGGTTCATATCACAGTTTAACTAAGATCTAAGGCATAGCAAGTGCTGATGTAACCTAATCTACATCGTCTAGTCAGAGAAATCTCAAGCCTGAGTACTTCTCGACGTAAAGGATATACTAAATTTACTACACATAATCCCATCTCATAATCATTTCGAGACGACCAAAATGCCCGAACAGAGATCACTTCCCCTACAGTCTTGCCACCCTTTTCGTATATCTACAGAATTTGGCAAATACTAAGTGCTCCACAAACAGCAGAAAGCAATAGATCATTAGCACAAATGATTAGAGGAAAGGCATTTCAACCAATCTCTCCCTTCAATCACATGCAGGGCGTTAAAATCCAACTGAAACAATCTGCCTCCATCAACCTACCCAACACCCAAGTGTCAATAGCTGCATTGAACCAAATAAATTGAAATGCCATCTACTGAGTTCCCCATTCAGGTTTTAAGCAAATATTATAGCGGGCAACACCCTACTTGAAGATCCAGGCCAAAACACAGTTAAAGCAGCTAACCAAACAATCATAACAAAAAATTGCAAGCCAGGGAGGATAACCCACCATAGCTAACAAGGGTTTGGTCGTCCTTGAGTATACGACCCTTGTAAATCAACCTCTGCTGCTCAGCAGCCACATCGCAATTCTGCGCCAAAAGCAGCTTAAACGCCTGCACAGTCGACTCAAGACTCGTCCTCACCGTGAATTTGGTGCCGTTTGAGCACCTGACATTGACCACAACCAAATCCTCCCCACCTTGCTGGGGCTGCTGATCACCGCCTGCCTCACCTCCGGCGGGTTTCGTCGAGCTGCTCGAATCTCCTTCTGCTCCCATCTCTCTAATTCAATACTACCACAAGAAACACTCGCAACTAATCGAGCAAACCCTAAAAAACAACCCAAATCGCCGATCGGAACTGATCAGCGGCGGACGATCGAAAAAAAAAAAAGCGCGGACGTAAAGAAAATCGGGAAGCAGAAAATTGAAAGGAGGGGAAGAGGGTTTTTGTACGAGAATCGGAAGAGTTCCTTCTTTCTATCTGGCGGAAGGGATCGCAATTTCGGGAGGGGATTGAAGAAGGGAAATTGCTGTGTGCTTGTTGTTATTTACGTTTCGCGGAATATTCTTTTTTCCTCTCGTACGATATCGACTTTCTTTATCCTTTTACCCTTTTCCTCCTAGTAATTCTATTTTCTTTATTATTACTCCTGGGAAAAATTTACTAAGAAGTCCATGAACTCTGTTGAACATTTATATCAGTCCATATATTTTGTTTTCTTAAGAAAGAGGGGTTTAATAATAAGTAAATAACTAGGTTAGGACCGGATTTTTTTATGGTCGAGGTCGGGTTATAATCACATTCATTTATATTCGATCCGGTAAGTTAATAATGTTTTATTATCTTGTATGCTAGATCTTTGTTTAGCGGGGTCCAACAAAATTGAACTAAACAAAATTCTTTAAAATTTGAGATTAAAAATTCAAGCTAACCATATAATGGTCTAATGTGAAATTAACCTCGTCTATCCGTACACATGTCTATGCCATCATCGTGTATGAGTCAGCATGTGAGGAAAACAAATCTTTTCGGTCTTAAATATGAGAATTTAGACCTGAATATTTACGGTCCAACAAAATTAGGCCTTAAATATGATAATTTAAATAAATTCCAACCAACTTCTGAAATGTACACATATGTCTCTTGTTGTAGCCAACTTCTCCCACCAATCTCATTAGGCAAGTCCAAGTTCTTCCCTTTTAGCCCATTTGGATCATCATGGTTGAGGGAAGATAACTTCATGGAATGAATTTTCCTTCTTCTTTTTTCTTATAAGGACACTTACACTTTCAATCCATAACAATGTTCATGAATGGAGCCTAGCATAACAAAACCCTGATGAAAGAAACTACATAAGACAAACAAGTAAGGCAAACAATTCAAGTTTGAAGTGTTCAGTAGTTGAGGAAGGAGCAATGCTGATGTAACCTCTTCATATTCTACAATTGGCAGCTGCAATGACAAACAACAGATGGTTGGATTGTGGCCTCGAAAAACTATAATTATGAGGAAATATAACTTTACAGAAAGATGGCAGAAGCTTGCTGTGACTGCTTACTGCAGTAGATGAACTGATTGAGATGAAGACTAATTCTGCCTTGTTTTGCTGTATCGAACAAAAGGTTCCTGGCATTACAAACAAGACATGAGGGAGGCATCACCATATGTTGAATCTCAGTTAGCGAAAGCAATCGGATTGCTGTCTTCAAAGAATAACAAACCGAGCTGACTGTGCAAAGATGCAGAGAGAAATGAAATCATCCAGACGTTTGTTTTGACTACTCATGGGCAACAGGCAGGACTTACCATGTGTAGAAGATCTTAGCTAAACCAAATAAGCAAGAGCCGTGTCGTAGCTAGAAAAACTAAGCTATCTAATCAAGAATAATACATAGACAGAATGAACTGCAATGCAGCAATGGTAAGTCTATCATCCATAAGATCAAGAAGAGCCACATTAGGGTGGCGGAGTTTTCTTCTTGCATCTATATAGCAACATAAGGACTTCTAGTGAGTGATTTATGCATGCCAGAAGGGGAAAAAGAGAGAAGCACAGGGAGCTGCCATTGCATAGAGGCTAAAAGTAACCTAATTACCTCTCTAGGTCTGAGAAGGCGTGTAGAACCTGCAAGTGGACAATCAGCAAAAGCTATGAACAACATACATTTCATTCTTCATAACATGCATTAGACATTGGTTCGCATCAGAATGAATATGAGTAGTAGATCATCATGGAGAAGTAGGAGGAAGGCCGCCTTCGAAATGAATCAAACATCGGTAGGATTTGGATGCCAATAGACTATTCACAAAGCAGGCAAGCAGTTGTCATTTTCCAAATCATAAGAGTGCAAAAGAACCCATTGCAGCAATTACTACATTCAACTGCAGTTCTAACAGCCAGAGACCAACTGAAGGGCCATCTGGGCCATTCTCGTGAAAGACCGAAAGATTACCATATCATTTCTCCAATCATCACATCATTCTGGTTATAGACCAAGAGGAGAAAGCTCTAACCTTTGTGAGGAACTTGTTCAGTGCAACGAATTCTGCAAATGCAACTCCAAGAAAGCAAAATAACAGTTCATCAGGAAACAAGAGGAACCACATGTCCAAGCTCATTACGAAAGTTGAAAACTTTGCCATCTCACCATCAAAGCTCATAGTCCTATTCCTATCAAAATCGTATATCCTGATGAAACAACACATAAACCACCATTAAAACCCCAGCACAACAATAGCCCGATTCAGGCAGTGAGAACTGAGAAAGTGGGGGATGCTGCAGAAACGCCATCTGATCATTTGTTGGACCCCAGAAATAGTGAATTCCAGGTTGCCAACAGCCAAAGCACTCTGATTCAAATGATAATCATCAACACAACCATCGATTTCATTTAGCACTCGGGCGATTTTGAAGTGAAAAATGGATGAGAGGATTGCTGAGTTGCTGTGATGCTCCCAGCTTTCTCCGAGTCAAGTCGGTCGAACCATTCTCTCAGAATCGCCGGCGCGTTCTCCGTCTGTTTTCTACCGCCGGCTATGGTTTTCTTTTTCCGTTTATCTAATATTCCGCAGAGGATAACTGCTAATTCAAAAAACACATCATTGTTATTATATAATTTATTTATCTATTATTCTGCCCAAATATATGGAGTGGGTGAATGCCAATAAGCTGGTCAGACTTTTCCTTTTTCTGATTTTCTTTTTCGCAATCTGTAATTTGTTCTCTCTTTTACGTATCTCTCTCTGTGCTTTTTCTTCCAACCCGACTCTCTTCTTTTTCACTGGAATCCTCTATTTTCTATTCCCAATTCGTTTCAAATTTCTCGTCTTTTTGTTTCTGGGTTTAACCGGATCAATTGAGTTGAAGATTCCACCAGAAAGTGAAGGAAGAAAGTTCTGATCTTGCTCCCTGCTGGAGGGAAAATTCTCCCGGGAAAAAAAAAAATATGCTTTGGGGCATCGGCAGAGAGGAGGAGGATTCAGAAATTAGTTGAAGGAGTGGGATAAGGGAAGCAGGCGAATGAAGTATCAGGATCTCTTGTCTCATTGCTACAACCTGCTGGGATACTATCCTCCGATATGGGCGTCTACGCTCGCCGGTGCTTTAATGGCGGTCAGCCTCTCATTGTCTTGTTACCTCCTCTTCGAACACCTCTCTGCTTACAAGAACCCTGAGGTTTTACCCTTTCCCCGGCTTCTGAATTCGATCGTGAATTTTGGCTCTACCTTCGGTTTTCACTTCGGTACTGAATGTTCAGTTTTGTTTCATTATTACAGGAACAGAAGTTTCTGATTGGAGTAATTCTTATGGTTCCTTGTTATGCCATCGAATCTGTAAGAGAAGCCAGAGTGTTCCCCTTCAGTCTTTATTGTTGTTCCCTTTTCTCCGCCATTAATTTAATGAATTGGGTTTGAATTTTTGACAGTTTATATCGTTGGTGCATCCATCAATTAGTGTTGATGTTGGAATTCTACGGGATTGCTATGAATCCTTCGCCATGTATTGCTTTGGGAGGTACCTTGTTGCTTGCTTGGGTACGTATGTAGTAACTTCTTTAAGAGCTCTTGTTTTGTGCTGTGAATGATGCAGGGTCCTTTTAAAATTCAATGCACAGTGTGTTCTATAGTTTCGTATTATCGTGTTTTTCGGAATAAGATTACTGCATTGTGGCAGCAACTAAAGCCAATTGTTGGGTGTGAGATGTTGCTGGAGTATCATGATAGCATTATCGGAAGCATATCAGTTTTTCTACCTTGTTTAGGAATTCTGGGGTGTAGTCTTTGCATATACTTCTTTTGATGAATGTGATGCCAGGCCTTGTCAGTTCTAGAGTAGCCACTTGAGCTGTGTATTTCCCTTGAAGCTCTTCCCGGAACTTTCAGAAAACCATGAATCAGGCTAAATAGGTTTGCCTTTGAGGATTTTGATTAACATCTGACAGCATTTTACCCTGATTTCCTCTTTTTCATTTCAAAGGTGGAGAAGAAAGAGCAGTCGAGTTCATGGAGAGACAAGGGCGAGCAAGCACGAAGACTCCACTTTTAGAACATGCTCACGAGAAGGGAACCGTTAAGCACCCTTTTCCAATGAATTATTTCTTAAAGCCATGGAGGCTTGGCCGGTGGTTCTATCAAGTTGTGAAGTTTGGTATTGTTCAATATGTATGTCCATACTTCCCCAGAAATTCACACATTAGTTTACTATTGTTTATGTGTTCCAAATATTCCTTAGTTTGAAACTTTGTTAACTCTGATCTTTGGCAGATGATCATTAAGGCTTTCACTTCGATTTCAGCTGTAGTTCTCGAGGCCTTTGGAGTCTACTGTGAAGGCGAGTTCAAATGGAACTGTGGGTAAGCTGTATTATGAATGCTTAATGGAATGTTTTGCGTGCTTCGTGCTCAAGGAAGTTATCGAATGTGCAATGTTTTTTGAACTGGCTTTGACTAGCATTTAATTTTGTACCATCTGAGTTTTAGGCTATTGTCCTTGGTTTTTCAGGTACCCTTACCTGGCAGTAGTTCTAAACTTTAGCCAGTCATGGGCTCTCTACTGTTTAGTGCAATTCTACACCGCAACAAAGCAGGAGCTGGCCCACATAAACCCGTTGTATAAATTCCTAACCTTCAAATCAATCGTGTTTCTGACTTGGTGGCAAGGAGTCACGATCGCTCTTCTCTCCTCCCTCAATTTGTTCCGAGGTCCCATTGCTCAAGCCTTGGAATTCAAGTCAAGTGTGCAGGACTTCATAATCTGTGTTGAGGTATATTTGGTTATGATTGATGAATGCTAAAATAATATCATGTCGTCATAGTTATAGTCCAATTGGTAACTCAAAATCATATATTGATTTTTTTTTTCTTTTAGATGTTTGAGGTCTAACAGGTCTGATGAATTCATCCAGGACAGATGGGCATTGCTTCGGCTGTTCATCTATATGTTTTCCCAGCAAAGCCATATGCACTGATGGGAGATCGTTTCACCGGAACAATCTCTGTCCTTGGAGATTATGCATCAGTGGATTGCCCTATAGATCCCGATGAGGTCAGGGACAGCGAGCGCCCTACAAAACTACGCCTCCCCCAGCCTGATGAAGATATCAGGAGCGGGATGACACTGAAAGAAAGTGTTCGGGATGTGGTTGTTGGTGGCGGTGGATTTGTAAGTTCTTATGAAACTATGACTCCAATTGTTATGAATAGCTCAATGTCCTTAACTCCGGTTCTCTCCTAACATTGCCATGTTGTGAGCTTCCACACTGGTTGCTATTAACCCTACTTTAATGGAGACTTGAGCCCGGTCATTTGGCTGGTGGATTTAAATGGACTGCTAATTCAATATGTTAGCTCAAAAAGCTTTCAATTCTTAACAATCTAGCCATCTCCAGCCACCCCCTATCTCTGTATGAGTCCAGTTACCAAGTATTTGACTGAAGCCACTTCATCTTTACCGTGATTCCTGCATTTGATTGGTTCTGAATGATTCACTTTTCATACCTTCTGCAGATAGTAAACGACGTTAAGTTCACAGTAAACCAGGCAGTGGAGCCAGTGGAGAAGGGAATCACGAAATTCAACGAGAAATTACACAAGATCTCCGAGAATATGAGGAAGCACGACAAGGATAAGAAGAGAACGAAGGACGACAGTTGTTTATCGACCTCGCGGAGAGTCATTCGTGGTATAGATGACCCTCTCTTAAACGGTAGCGTTAGCGACAGCGGAGTAACAAGAACGAAGAAGCATCGACGCAAAGCAGGCAATAACAATAATAACAGCGGCGAGAGTGGGGGAGAAAGTAGCAGCGATCAGAGCTATGGTGGTTATCAGGTCAGGGGCAATAGGTGGATAACTAAAGATTAGAAGAAAACTTGCAAAAACCGAAGAACCGCCTTAGATGATTGTTGCAATTTGTATAGAGTATCTATAGAGAGCTTGCTGGTTTTGTAATGCTGCCATGACTCTGAATGTATTAAGAAAATTTGATGATCTTGTTTGGAAGAACTCCCACTTTGTTTCTTTCAGTTGAGTTGAGTGATCTTCATCACCATTGCAGCTGAAAGAGTTGAAGCTTGATGGGAAAATTACACGCAATGGGATATACTTAAATGTGGCCCAATAACAACTTATGGGCCTTAGACCGAAGCCCACTTCGATTTCCTGTCACCGACCCAACTTTTCCGCTTCAGAATTAAAACCCCAGAAATTCACAACCGCTGTCACCGCACACTCTGTTTCCACGGCGAGGTTCCAGCAAAGATGGCCCCTAAGAAGAAGGAAGCAGCAAAAGGACAAGTCATCGGGATCGACCTAGGGACGACCTACTCATGCGTCGCCGTCGCTCGAAACGGCACGGTGGAGATCATAGCCAACGACCAAGGCAACCGAACCACACCTTCCTCCGTGGCCTTCGCGGCCGCCGATTCAGAGCGCCTCGTCGGAGAAGCCGCCAAGAATCAGGCGGCACTCAACCCTCGCCGGACAATCTTCGACGCCAAGCGCCTGATTGGGAAAAAATTCGACGACCCAGAGGTTCAGAGGGACCTGAGGTACTTACCATATCCGGTCGTCAGCAGAGGAGGGAACCCATACATTGAAATCGAAGTAGTGAAAACAGAGGAAGGCGGCGGGGGAGGATTAATCAAAAAAGGGTTCGCACCTGAAGAGATCAGCGCCATGATTTTGGGGAAGATGAAGGAAACTGCTGAATCTTACCTCGGTGAGCCGGTGAAGGGCGCGGTTGTCACGGTGCCGGCTTATTTCAACGATATGCAGAGGCAAGCCACAAAGGACGCCGGCAGAATTGCAGGGCTAAACGTCCTCCGAATCATCAACGAGCCGACCGCGGCGGCGATTGCCTACGGTCTCAATAACCTAAACCGGAAGAGGAAGAAAACCAAGAGAAAGGTTCTGGTGTACGATTTGGGGGGCGGGACGTTTGATGTCAGTGTATTGGAAGTAGATGGTAAGGAGTTCCGTGTATTGGCTACCGGCGGTGACACTCATCTCGGCGGCGGGGATTTCGATCAGAGAGTGATGGAATACTTCATCAAATTAATCAAGAGAAAGCACGGTAATGAGGACATCGGTGAAGATAAGAGGGCACTAGGGAAGCTCCGAAAGGAATGCGAGAGAGCCAAAAGGGCGCTGAGCAATCAGAATCAGGTTCGGGTCGAGATCGAGTCCCTGTTTCATGGGATGGATTTTTCGGAGCCTCTGACGCGGGCGAAATTCGAGGAATTGAATCTGGATCTGTTCAAGAAGACGCTGGAGGTGGTGGAGGCGACGCTGAAGGATGCCAATTTGGGGAAGAGCGAGCTCGAGGAAGTAATATTGGTGGGAGGAAGCACCAGGATTCCGAAGCTGAGGGAGATGCTGAAGGAGATGTTTGATGGGAAGGAACCCTGCAAAGGGGTGAACCCTGACGAAGCTGTGGCTTACGGTGCTGCTGTCTTAGGAGCCAAACTCGGCGGCAGCGCAAAAGCATTACATCATGGTAATTTTTTTCCATTTCTTACTTGATACGCAATACTGCATACAATTAGTGTAGAGCTGCGGGTAGTTCAGAGAGACTATAACTAGGTACTGGAGCGAGTTTGGCGCGGATTTTACTAAACCATCTCCATTCTCATCCTCATTTTCAAATAGTGAAATCCATATCTACCTCATACTCATGCGAGTGGAGGTTTTGCCACCTCATTTCTGAACCCGCGATTTTTTTGGGGTACCCATGGGTAATATGTTTTGATTTCTTACGGCATGAAGACATACTCTTATTAATTGTGTGATCTTTTTGTGTTTCTTACACAATACTGCATACAGTTAGTGGTAGAGCTACGTGTAGTTGAGAGAGGCTACAACCTCCTAAAACGAAAATTTCAAAATTTGTATGAGGTGGAGATGGAATTCTAACTACATTTCAAATTGAGCATGTATCTAAGTGTATCACATCTTCAAAAACATTATAAAGTAGACTTTTAAAAACATTTTAAAATGATAGGATGTAGACTTTTAACCCCCTCCTCCATTGTTTAGGTTGAATCTGAGAAATTGTTGCATGATGTTATTGTTCACGTCTTCTCACTCGAAATCCTGACTTCATCCTCAGGTGTTGCATTGATTGATGTCACTCCATTGAGTTTGGGAGTGGAGTGTGATAATAGTCTTATGTATGTAGTTATCCCAAGAAACACCCGTATTCCGACAAAAATGTCAAAGCAATTCACCACGAAGATTGACCAGCAAACCACAATGAGTATCAAGGTTGGTTCAGGCATTCAAATAGTTCGCTTTTGTGTCGTACTGCCGCGTTTCTTCATTCAAGTATAATAAGGTTCATTTTTCAGGTATTTCAAGGTGAAAGACCCCTGACAAAGGATTGTATCGAGCTTGGAAGCTTTGCTCTGTCCGGTATCACCCCAGCTCCAAGGTACGTTCCTATACCCAATGGTAATCAGAAATTCATAATCTTTCCAGAGAAACACGAGCCTGGATTCGTCTAATTTCAGGGGAGTGACGAAGGTGGAGGAGACACTCGAAATCGATGAGGACGGAATACTGAAAGTGACGGCGAGGGAGAAGATCCCCGGAGCGGAGTCTCAGTCCCTGACCATCACCGACTACAAAGGAGGCTTGACCCAGCAGGAGATTGAGAGGATGATCAAAGAAGCAGAGGAGATGGCAGAGAAAGACAAGACTGCCAAGGCACGTGTGGATGCCATGATCAAGTTGGAGCGTTACATCTATGATGCCAAGAAGGCCATTCTTAGTGGTGATGGGCTGTCGCATCAGGTGGGTGATAAGAAGATAAAGGTGGAGATCTCTTCTGTGGGAGAAGCTTCGTGTTGGCTGGAGAAGAACCAAGGCGCTACCAGAGAGGATTACGTGAAGAAGCTGAACGAGCTGAGAGGCATTTGGGATCCTATTCTAGCTAATGCCAAGAGCAAATCGTGAAATTCTGCTTCTAATTTCTAGCTTAGGTACTCTGCATTTGTTTCTAGTTTACTATCCTTCCTTTTGCAGAGCCACTGACTGAGGCCCTTTGATGTGGTGGTTTTACTTTGTTTTGGACGAACTTTTGCGGGGATCCAGCAGGAACCCAGAAACTGGTGATGGGAAATACGGAGTCTAGATTTAGAAATGCTTACTGGGTTGCTAGTAGATACTGTAAAAATTCAACCTTTGCAATTGGTGAAACCAAAGGAGAAAACAGGGGAAAGGAAGAAACCATTGAGGAGACGATGATTGCTTGCTCGTTTGAAATGCTTTTCCCATGCCTTAGTACCCAGTTATCTGTTCCTCTAGAACGCCGGCGCCGCCAGCTCGGTCGGCGCTTCTCTAATTCGAACTCCGGCAATCGCATCCTCCGGTCAGGACTACGTTACAGCCGGCGGCAAACGTGTTCGCGGGGATTTTCAAACGAATATCAGCAATCGTCAGTCTCAAGCTACCAAACCGATTTCTGTTCATACCGGGCATCCCAAATCTGGGCCAATTAACACTCTGGGCCGTCATCCAAAGCCCACTTCTCAATTTCACCTTCTCCGATCTCCGTCCAAACTTTTCCTGGACCAATTTTTCGTATTGGGTCCCACGACCATTAATATTTTGGTCCATAAAACAGTCACATTTGATTATTAACAGAATAATAATTACTTATTTACATGAATATGAATAATTTGTGCATATTTGAAGCCCAACAAGTTGACTTTAAGTGATATAAACTTAAACCCAATTGCATAAACACAATTACTCCTTAATCACAACAACTGATCACTGGTCAGTAACCCACATGTCCATGTGCAATGCAATGTGTACAGTTAGCTATGTATTAATAATCTAGTTTTGAGATTTGAATTTTGGGTGCGGTCAGCGAGGGCCTATGAATGATTAATGACTTAATCCTAATTGTTATTTGAATTATGGAGGTATGATGAACAAGAAAACTCTTTCATTTTAAAATTATGGATGACAATTCTGTCAACAATTGCAGATATTCGACATAAATTACCTAAGTACGAGGCGAATATAAATAATATCCACAAATAATATAATAACTAATCCATTTCTATTGTTTCACTTTGTCTACTCTACACAATAAATAAAAGTCAAATGAGAAAACTTGAAGCCCTATTTCAAATTTCTTGCATCCAGAATGAAAGTAGGAAGGATCTTTTGTAGCAAGAGATCAAATTTTCAATAACGGGTAGTAATCTAGTACTCATCGTGAAGTCGATACTCTACCTAACCTAGCAAGTTGCAAGAGTGATTAGAATATTGGGCTCGGCCGCCGGCGACCTTGACCTTGATCGATTAAAAGTCAACTACATTAATGAGCGATTAGAATAATTGGATGCAGTAATCAATATATATATATATAGCATGAACATCAGAAGTTGAGTACTCCAATCATCTTAACTTCCCCCGACATGGCCGCCGCCGCCGCTCCTCCCTACGATCGATTCGCCGAGCTGAAGGCATTCGACGAAACAAAAGCCGGCGTGAAAGGGCTGGCGGACGCCGGAATCACCGAGCTGCCACGAATCTTCCACGCGCCGCCGCATCTCCTCCACGACCACCCCACAGCTGCACCCGGCGATCCCAACTTCGTCTTCCCCATCATCGACCTGGCCGGCGGCGCGTGGGCAGAGGATCCCGACAAGCGGAAGCAGATTGTCGCAGAGATCAGAGACGCATCAGCGAACTGGGGATTCTTCCAGGTCGTCAACCATGGCTTCCCGGCGAGTCTCGTATCGGAAATGATCGCCGGTGCCCACAGGTAATTAATATGAATCAGTTGATCATAATAACTGAGTTGTTGGAAGAGATTAAATAGTGAATCATTTACCTCCTTACTAACATAACCAATTAAATAATCTCTAGCTAGCTATATAACCAATTAACCAAAAAAAAAAATGATCATTCTATTTACAGATTCTTCGAACTGGATGTGGACGAAAAGAAGCAATACTACAGCCACGACATGAGGAAGAAAGTCGTCCACCACAGCAACTTGAACATATACACTGTGCAAACAGTAAATTGGAGGGACACCATCATGTTTCAAATGGCGCCAGATCCACCGGAAACAGAGGAGATACCAGCTTGCTGCAGGGACGTTGTAACAGAGTACTCGAGGGAGATACTGAAATTCGGGGAGCTGCTCTTCGAGCTGTTGTCCGAAGCTCTAGGGTTGAGGCCGAATCACTTGAAAGAAATGGGTTGTGCAGAGGGAGTGAACCTGCTGTACAATTACTATCCGGCCTGTCCTCAGCCGGAGATCACTCTGGGGACGACCCAACACGCCGATTTCGGGTTCATTTCCCTGCTCGTGCAGGATCGCATCGGGGGGCTTCAGGTTCTGCATCGGGATCACTGGGTCGATGTGGTTCCCGATTCGGAGGGGATCGTGGTCAACATCGCGAATCTGCTTCAGGTGATGTCGAACGACGAGTTTACGAGCGTGCAGCACAGGGCGGTGGTGAAGAGCGTCGGTCCGAGGGTTTCTGCTACTGCATTTTTTGGGGTGGGGTACACGTCGAATCCGAGAGTTTATGGACCCATAAGAGAGTTGTTGAGCGAAGAGAATCCTCCCAAATACAAGGAGACTACGATTCAGGATTTCGTAACTCAATCGTACAAGCAAGGGCTTAATGGGGTGTCTTTTCTGGATATTCTTAAACTCGCGAAAGATTAGACTCTCTTATATGTGATTGCTATCGTCTTTTGTAAGGATTCTTCTATGCTTGATAGTTATTTCATTTATATGATCAATAAGTACGCTTGATAATTAGAACGTTATTCATGTATGTTTGTAATGTCAAGTTCGAGTACGTATCTTATTTGACGATTTCTAATGCGAATTCTATAAAGTATTTACTATGCCAAACTTCATGCAGTTTTTATTTACACCTAAAACATTTTGGTTTCTTTCTTTTGCATTTATCATATTGGCAAAAAAAATTATAAACACGCAAGCGATCGAAATCATCAAAAAATTTCAATACTTTCTTTCTTACAGTAAAAAAAAAAATCAATACTTTGTGGTGAAGAATTCTGTACTTTATTTGCAATCCCAACCAGATTTTCCAAGTCGCTTGCTTACTTCAAAAAATCTGAAAATCTTGCAATGCAATAGTTTTTTAGTATACTCAACCACTGTCTTTCTCCTTTAATGCTCAACTGGCTCATCAAATAAAAGAATCATTGACCACTTCTTCCTCCCTGGAGTGCCTCCCTCATGGTCTTCCCTTCTGTTTGGTTGTCTCAACCTCAACTTTAACACATGTGTTCGTCCTTCTTAGAAATGTGCTATAAGTTTGATTGTGAAGTTTGTAGATGATCGTCCTCATATGCCAGTCGAGTGTCTGAGTCCGGATCTGGTGACTAAGGGGGTGCTTAGTCACTTGGCTAAGCCCCCCCTCAGCCTTTAGATTAATCTAATGGTCCAGATAAAGTGTTCAATTATTATTAAATGAAAAGGGTAGTTTTGGCATTATCATAAATTCATTAATTCTTAATTTCAGTTTTATTTTATTTTTTTCCTTCCTCTCCAACCGTCTCCTTCTTTCACGTTCACAGAGAGAGAAAGAGGGGATAGAGATGCACGATTTCAACAGCGACGGTGAGAGAAGGGCCGACGGCGCGATGGAGAGAGAAAGAAGATCTCGACGGCGTTGATGGAGAGAGGAAAAGGCGTCGCGACGGAGGCGGTAGCATTGGAGAGAGAGAAAGTAGATCTAGAGAGAGGCGATGGCGGAGAGAGAGAGGCGATGGCGGAGAGAGAGAGGCAGTGGCGGAGAGAGCTTCGACGACGATGGAGGAGAGAGAAGCAGCGCGGTGATGGAGAGAGAGAGGTAACGACGGCTGTAGAGAGAGTCGGCGGCGGCGGCAGCGGCAGTGGCGGTGGAGAGACATCGTATACGTCGTTTGAAGGAAGAACAGTGATTTGTATAGTTTGTATGTTTTGTAACATTAGTTTGTATTGTTAGTATTTTTGTACAAAATGAATACAAAGTATACAAATCATAACATAAAAGTATACAAACTTGAATAACAAAAGTTACAAATTACAATATATACAAAATAGTCATACAAACATTACAAACAATACAAAAGAAACCAACAAACATTACAAAATAACAAACATTACAAACATTACAAACAAACATTACAAACATTACAAACAAATGAATACAAAGTATACAAATCATAACATAAAAAGTACTCACTCTCCTGCTGGGGAAAAATCCCCAGGAAAATGGCTCTCTCTCTCTCTCTCTCTCTCTCTGGCCGCACATATCAATGGACGAGGGGATAAAAATCCACCCCCTCTCCCTGTAGCCACAAATCAATCAATGGATGGGGATTTCCCTAGCGGCGAATGGTGTTCCAGGCGGCGGACCGGCGCAAGGAAAACGGCGGTGGGACCGACAACCACCGTAAGGGAAGTTTCGCCGGTGGGAGAAAATCCCCACGCCATCGCCGAAGAAAATCCCCACGCAATTTGTTGGACCGGCGGAGAATCCCGTCGCGCGCGGAAGGGAGAGGAGCAGCCGAGCAGGTTTGCTTTTTTGATTTTAATTAATAAATTAAATTTTAGAAGAAATTACTATATTGTCCTTCATTAAGTTAGATTAATCTGAGCCATTGGATTTTAATGATGTGGAAGGACTGAGATTTACTTAGTCATGTGACTAAGGCCCTCCCTCTTAGTCACCTGATCTTAGCCCGTTTCGACACTTTGAAATTGCCAACCCATACCTGGTCAAATTGCTCGCTCTATTGGTGATGGTATGTTCTTAATTTGTAACATCAGACTTTGTGGAGTCACATTATAAGAGAATAAAAATAGTGATCTCCTCACTTCTTAGTAGAATAGAGATAGAATAGATGCAATTAGAGGCCTGATGCTTAGAGACTACTTTCATATGATAGTTGCTCTAGCTAGAAATAACTATAAGTTTCATGCCTTTTAAGATTAATATTAAGTTGTCCATAGACCGACAAGAATGTTCTTCTCTCTCTAGTTTAGAGTTTAGCTCGTTTGATTTCATTTCTTTGTGTGGGAAGGGTTTGTAAGATTCAAGGTTGTCAACCCGCGGGTCGACTGCCAGGTCGACCCACTTTGACCTTGAGCCGACGAGAAAAATGGGCCGCACGCACTCGTCGGGTCGACTGCTATAAGGTGTCGGGTTGGAGGTCAAATTGTGTCATTTTTTCTTTGGTTTGTGAAATGCGCCTATTTTCGATTTTTCTTTTTGCCTAACTCAATCTTTGGAATCCTTAGTTGAACATTTGAATATTGATGTTATATAAGTGTGTGTGAATTTTCACTATATGTTGAATCTAAGTACGACATGTTACTTTGGTGTAATGTTATATGTTATTACTCATATGTTAGATGATGTTTGATATAATTTATTAGGATAACTACAATATAATGACTCTTTTCATATTTCCGGGCTGAAACGGGCTAAAATGGGTGACCCATTAACTCTTGACCCATTAGCTCGACCGGGTCCGGGTCAACCTGCGGGTTGACCCCTTAATAAGGTTCAAGTGGTTCAACCGTTTGTGTCGCTATGGGCCTTGTTTGGGAATCCAGATCTGGCTTAATGCATTTTATGGGCCTCAATACTAAGCCCAATCTTGCTCACGTCTCGATTCCCGGTCTCGTTCCCAACGCTTGCAAGTTGCAACCCAACGCTATTGCGAAAGTGCGAAGCTTTTTCCATGCTTAAGCTCTGCAACCTCCTACTCCTTTTTCGAGAAGTTTTGCCCCAATAATCATCTGAAAACTGCGAATTGCCAGCAGGAATTCCCAACTCGTCCTTCGATCTGCCATCCAATTCGCGCCACACTGCATATCAAGTCGACTAGGAGCTTGGAACAGCGATCATGGCGCTCAATCTCCGTCAGAAGCAAACAGGTAAGGGTTTTTCGTTAGTTTCTCCACCTGCCCAGATCTCCTTTCTAGCCATTGTTACTTGAGAACACTTAGTCAATCCGAAATCTGCTCGAAATTCCCGCCCTTTATATCTTGCCAATTCTGGGTTCATGAGGTTTAGCAGAAATCAATCTCGTCAATTTTCTGTGAATCGCTGAGATTTGCCATTCTATTGAATCTGGGATTTCGTTTGTTTGCTACACAGAATGCATAATCAGGATGTTGAATCTGAACCAGCCCGTGAATTCCACGGGCACCGCCAACGAAGAAGTGTACAAGATATTGATCTACGACAAGTTCTGTCAAAACATTCTCTCCCCATTGATCCACGTCAAGGATCTGCGCAAGCACGGGGTGACACTCTACTTCCTCATCGACAAGGATCGAAAGCCGGTCCATGATGTACCAGCCGTGTATTTCGTCCAGCCGAGTCAACCCAACATCCACCGTATCATCACCGACGCCTCTCGTGGCCTCTATGACAGCCTGCACTTGAACTTCTCGTCCTCCATCCCCAGACCACTCCTGGAGGATCTCGCCTCGGGAACCCTAGGCTCGGATTCGATAAACAGAATTGCAAAGGTTCATGATCAGTACTTAGAGTTTGTGACATTGGAGGACACCTTGTTCTCTTTAGCACAGAAGTCTAGTTATGTCCAGTTGAATGATCCTTCAGCTGGGGATAAGGAGATTGAGGAGATCGTGGAGAAGATTGTGAGTGGCTTGTTCTGTGTGCTGGCCACCCTAGCTGTTGTTCCGGTGATTAGATGCCCACGTGGAGGGCCGGCTGAGATGGTAGCTTCAGCTTTGGATCAGAAGCTGAGGGATCACTTGTTGGCTAAGAATAACTTGTTCTCTGAGGGTGGCAACTTCATGAGCTCGTTTCAAAGGCCAATTCTGTGCCTGTTCGATAGGAATTTCGAGCTGGCGGTTGGGATTCAACACGATTTCAGGTACTGTCCACTTGTTCATGATGTGCTGGGGCTAAAGCTCAACAGGCTGACTGTGCAAGGAGAGAAAGGCGGGATGAGATCATATGAATTGGACAGTTCAGATCCATTCTGGCTTACAAATGGATCTATCGAGTTTCCTGGAGTCGCAATGGAAATTGAGACTCAGTTGAACAAGTACAAGAAAGATGTTGACGAGGTGAATCGAAGGACAGGTGGTGCTGATGGACAGTCGGAGTTTGAAGGAACCGACTTGATTGGAAACACAAAGCATTTGATGAATGCAGTCAATTCGCTGCCTGAGTTGACTGAACGAAAGCAGGTGATTGATAAGCACACCAACATTGCAACAGTTTTGCTAGGCGAGATCAAGGAGAGGTCTTTGGATTCCTATGCTAAAATGGAGAACGACATGATGATCAGAGGAGGCATTGATAGAAGCGAACTAATGTCGGTTCTCAAAGGGAAAGGAAGTAAGATGGACAAGCTGAGGTTTGCAATCATCTACCTCATATCTTCAGAGACCATCAACCCACAAGAGGTGGAGCTGGTCGAATCGGCTCTCAGGGAGTCAGAAGTCGACCCTTGTGCATTCCAGTATGTGAAGAAGATCAAGTCTTTGAACGTCCAGCTTGCATCAGCAAATTCTGCAAGCAGAAGTAACATTGTGGATTGGGCCGAGAAGCTGTACGGTCAGTCATTGAGTGCTGTCACTGCTGGTGTGAAGAACTTGCTGTCGAGCGACAGACAACTGGCGTTGACTAGGACCGTGGAAGCCTTGATGGAAGGGAAACCGAATCCTGAGATTGACAACTATCTCGTGTTTGATCCGAGGGCCCCCAAGTCCAGCTCTGGGGGAGGGGGTTTGAAAGGCCCGTTTAAGGAAGCGATTGTGTTCATGGTTGGTGGTGGGAATTATGTGGAGTATGGAGGGTTGCAGGAGCTTGCTCAAAGGCAGCAGCCTGTGAAACATATTGTTTATGGGACGACGGAGATTCTGACTGGTGCAGAGTTCGTCGATCAGTTGACTCTTTTGGGGCAAAAGATGGGGTTGGGGGTTAGTAGTGCTAATCCACCTGCACCTCATGCTCAGTAGAATCCCATACGTTCTTTGTATATGCATATGCATTTGGAAGATGAGGTAGCCGATTTTCTGGCTTGGGAAACTTGAAAGATCTGCTGCTCAGCAGCCATTGTTACTCTCCGGTATGACATAGATCCCTCTGTATGACTCATTGTTTTTTTGTTCATTTGCATCAAATGAGATTAGCTTGAGTTGGATTTTGGGATTTGCACACAATCTATCGACAGTGGACTATATATTTTGTAGGTAATATCTGTTAATGATAAATTTTGGTCAAGTCATGGTTTCACTCTTTCCTCTGTGATTTTAGATCATGTAATCTCTACTGTTAGTTACTGCTGATACACGGGTGTTGACACTGGGACTGTCATTTTGTCATTAGATTTAGAGAAATTTTGCGAACCTGAGTGTTCTATGTTTGTTTAACAGTGCAATAGAATCTATACTGAATTCGTATCTGCAGTATATACTTCAAACCAGTCAGCGTTCTTATGGGGTGGAGGTAGGGATGGCAATGGGTCGGGTCGGGGGCGGATAGTGCATATCCGTTATCCTACCCAATGTAGTTCGGGTTTTACCCATACCCGAACCCACACGAGAAACGGGTAGAAAATCAAAACCATGCCCATACCCGTTCGGGTTTCGGGTATCCACGGTTATCCATGGGTAATAATTTCTCCTTATAATTCCAACCAATATGTTAATATTTACACATAATCTCACATTACGTAAGAGGAAAAGTACGACAATAATTCACTAGAATGACGAAAATTAATTAAAACAACATAATTTCATGAAAATATTATATTTATATGCTAAATATAAAACATTCTAGAGAAACATAATGATTATTTCTAGACAAAATACATATGCATGTGTATAATCGGGCGAGTTCGGGTTGGATAGTGAGATAACCATGCCCACCCATTACCCGCAATATTCGGGTTCGGGTTTTACCCGTACCCACGAAAAATGCTTCGGGTTCGGGTTTTACCCTACCCGATTAGGTCGGATTCGGATGGATATCCACGGTTACGGATATTTTTGCCATCCCTAGGTGGAGGATATAATTGCCATGCGTGTATTTAACAGTTGTGAATTCAACGGTTGTGATTTGCGCGATGCGAGATCCAATGGCATAAAGATTTAGGACGTCCTTAACCCCAAGTCCAAACACTCCCAAGTATCACAGCTAGGGGTGAACAAACACACCCGCAAACCGACCCACCCGTCCAACCCGACCCAACCCACCCGTATTTATCGCTAAAACGAAGGTTTTGGGTTGGGTGAAGGTTTTCTTTTGTACAACCCGCCTCTTTTGGGTTGGGTTTGGATTTTGGATTACACAACCCGTAGAACCCGACCCAACCCGTGTTCCAACTATTAGTATGAGTTCGTATCTAAAAAATATTTATGTCGTATATAGCAATACTTATGAGAAAATTAAGATATTTCGCCATGTTTTTCTATCATGGTCTCCCTAATCTAATGCATTCTTCGACTTAAAGTTTAGACATAAATTGAGTATAGTTATGATTCACGTAATCCTTTTTCTTGTGTACAATTTTAATAGAATAACATATTATGGATGCGTTTGTTTATAACCTTTTTAGCCTATTTCAACAAATATCGTGAAAAAAACTAGACATATGTTGAAGTAAATCTACATTTTATTAAAATTCAAACAACATTTTTGAATTTTGATAGCTTTCACCTCGGTTTATTCGTTTGAAATTTTAATTAGTTATAAAATATTTTTATGATGTATAATAATTATATATTTTTATGTTGGGTTGGGTTTTTACTTAAAATTATTGCCAACCCGACCCAACCCAATTAGAAACAAACCGTAGGGTTTTAATTTTATTGGGTGGGTTTGGGTTTGATAATTTCCAAACCATAGTGCATGGGTCGGGTGATTAAAATGGTTAAACCCGAACCACCCGACCCATGTACACCCCTAATCACAGCCAATAAAGGTCAAGTGCCCAGCCTCGTGATCACAAAAAGGCTACTAACTATAAACAGAAAGTGGGAGAAATGCTAAAGAGTACCCTTTTTACTCCAAATCACAAGATCTCCGCAATAGAAAATTTCTATACACTTGAACATGAACCCAAGGTAACAGAGGCTGGTTCAAGCTTCAATCCCTATGAAAGAGCTCCTGTTTACGATGGAAAACACAGATCATTGTCAATATCATCGTATGTTATTCTTAGTTGGATTGACAGTCGGACTAGCATTTCGAAGGATCGCTCGCTGAACTACTATTGAAAAGACTGCCCGAATCAAATATGCGCACGTCGGTCCTCGATTTGAGTCGGACCAAAAACCGGACGTACTTGATGATCCAAATTGAACCAAATTAAATCTCACTTAATTTTTAAATCTCTAGGATACGGAACATAACAGAAACCAAATAAGATCAAGCATGTTCTCTTTCGGGTTCAAAGGTCGACCGTTTCGTTTTTTTTTTTTCATACACGATCGCGTATACCGACTTCAACCAGACCAAACCATGACAACCCCCCATGTACGAGTGAAGTCTCCGTAACTTCCCCAAACATGTCGAAAAGCGATCTCTCTATCGTGAGGTTGTCGAAAACCGATTGTTATGTCGGTTTAGGAGGTGGTATGGTTCAACCCCACCCCAATACAACCAGTTTATATGTCGGTGTATGTCGACTTTGACCAGTGCTTCGCACTCGTGATCTTCCAGCCAATTTTTGTCTGAATACTGGTTGAACCGCGGGCCGATTGACAACCATGCTCTCTCTATACATGACTCACTCAATTGGCCCAAATAAACATCCAATCCGAATCACCCCCCACTTTTTTCTTCACCATGAGACTCCCATGCAAATCCCCCAATATAAAAACAAACAAAAAAAAAACCAACAAATACCCAAATTTCCTTTCCCCTCGACACAAAGAGAAGAAACCCAAAAAAAAAAAAAACGACAAATCCCTAAGATCCACCCCAGAAAACAATGGCGCGCCGATCCCTCCCCAATCTCATCAAACGCCTCTCATTGACGGCGGCGCCACCGCGCTCCCGCACCATCACCTACATGCCGCGTCCCGGCGACGGGACCCCGCGGGCCGTGACTTTGATCCCGGGGGACGGGATCGGGCCCCTGGTGACGAACGCGGTGGAGCAGGTGATGGAGGCGATGCACGCGCCCGTGTACTTCGAGCGGTACGAGGTGCACGGCAACATGAAGGTTTTCCCGGCGGAGGTGGTGGAGTCGATCAGGAGGAACAAGGTTTGTCTCAAGGGCGGGCTGATCACGCCCGTGGGCGGCGGGGTGAGCTCGCTGAACGTGCACCTGAGGAAGGAGCTGGACCTGTACGCGGCGCTGGTGAACTGCAGGAACATGCCGGGCTTGCCGATCCGGCACGAGAAGGTGGACATCGTGGTGGTGAGGGAGAACACGGAGGGGGAGTACGCCGGGCTCGAGCACGAGGTGGTTCCCGGCGTTGTTGAGAGTCTTAAGGTTCCCTCATAATTTTTAGTCTGTTTTTTTGTTTTGTTGTTTGTCATTTGCTATTGGTTGGATTTGTTTGTGTGTTTTGATTGTGATTTTTGGTGATGATATGTAGGATATATGTGTGTATGTTTGTTCTTTTGAGTTAGGTTAGGCATGGGATATATGTATATGACTATGTAGGGTTTGGGTCTCGAAATTCGTTGAGAGATAATAAAAATGTACGAGATTTGAATTGGTATAGCATGATGTTCATCTTCATATGTATTTTCTTATGAACTTAAAGTTGTCTTTTTTTGTTTGCTTGCTTGCTTTGATCTCCTTATGATGATGATAGTTGCTTTGGGGCTGGGATTATGAATATTCATCTCTATATTCGAACTCGAAAAGGAATGAATGTATAGTTCGGGGATGATATTTTAGCAATCCTATGTTTTTACTCATCACATGTTTTGATTATGGTTTGCAATGTCGAAGTATAGGATATTGTTAACTTTTATTTTGGTGAATTTATGCATTCTTTTTTTTATTCTTATATAGATGATCCTTCTCCCATCCCTTTACCTCATTTGATTTTGATGGGCTTGTGTTGTCCTCAATCGCGCAGGTGATAAGTGAGTTAGGTTAGACATGAGATATTTATATGACTATTTAGGGTTTTTGTATCGAAATTCTTCTTCGAAGAGATACACAAATGTGCGAGATGTTGAATTGGTCTATCATAATGTTCATGATTATTGGAGATTATAGTTTCTTCTGAACTTATAATTCGATATTTTTTTTTTTTTTTTTTTTGTTTTGTTCTCCCTATGATGGTGATAGTTGCGTCGAGAATGTCGAAGTAGAGGATGTCATTAATGTTTTTTTTTTTCTTTCCCTTCTGTTTTCTTATATACTCATTTGCTTTGGATGGGCTTATATGTTGATCATCAATTGCAGGTGATAACGAAGCACTGCTCGGAGCGGATTGCAGAGTACGCCTTCGAGTACGCCTACCTGAACAACAGGAAGAAGGTGACGGCGGTGCACAAGGCCAACATCATGAAGCTCGCCGACGGCCTCTTCCTCGAATCCTGCCGGGAGGTCGCCGAACGGTACCCTGCCATCGCCTACAACGAGATCATCGTCGACAACTGCTGTATGCAGCTCGTCTCCAGGCCCGAGCAGTTCGACGTCATGGTCACTCCGAACCTCTACGGCAACCTCGTCGCCAACACGGCCGCCGGAATCGCTGGAGGCACCGGCTTCATGCCCGGAGGTAACACTTTTTTTTTTTGTCAAACAGTTGAGATCTCTCTAAATAACTCGAGTTATCGGATTAACCGAAAAACGTGGTTCGATTTAATTTTTCTCGCAGGGAACGTGGGAGCGGACTATGCTGTGTTTGAGCAAGGCACATCAGCCGGAAACGTGGGGAACGACAAGATCATAGCGGAGAAGAAGGCGAATCCGGTGGCGCTCCTGCTTTCGTCGGCAATGATGCTCAGGCACCTCCAGTTCCCGTCGTTCGCCGACAGATTGGAGACCGCCGTCGGGAGGGTGATTGCTGAAGGGAAATGCCTGACTAAGGATCTCGGCGGGGACAGCACCACCCAACAGGTCGTCGACGCCGTGATTGCCAACATCGACTGATCAATTTGCTTTGTTTGGAATTTTATTTGATTGATTCAATGGAGAGAAACAGAGCACTCTGCCCTCCCAATTTCCCCGCCCATTTTTGAAATAAACTAATACATAGAGAGAATGACAGATTCTCACATTTTATGCTCTATGATTTCTTGCACCCGATTTTGAATAAACTAATACGATTTCTCCCCAACTGTTTCCTTTGCCCTTGCTTGTTGAATGATATCTTCGATCAACATGGTAACATTTGTGTGAGAAGAGCCTCGATTTTCCACGGCTCGTTTCGCCATTTCGGCAAGCTCCTTTGCTCTCTTCCTTCTCCCTTCTCCTTCCGCTCCTCCATCCATCGCCAGCCTCACCGCTCTCTCCACTTGCTCCTTCTTCACCGGTGCCTGCTCATCTGTCTCCTCCTTCCCGTCCCAGAGCGTGGGGCGCGAAGCTCCAACTTTCACCCCAGTTTTCAGTACCTCGACGATCAGCTTCTCGTTGCAGAACTGATCCAAAAATAAAGGCCACGTCACCAGTGAAACTCCCGAGCTAATCCCTTCCAGGGAAGAGTTCCACCCACAATGCGTCAAGAACCCTCCGATCGCTGGGTGAGACAGGATCAATACCTGAGGCGCCCAACCACGTATCACCATTCCTCTCGAAGAAATTCTCTCCTCAAACTTCTCATCCACCATCCACTCAAAAAGCTCCTTGGTCTTTTCATCCTCCTTAACAGCCCACACAAACGCCTTGTCCGACGCCTCCAGCCCCAGAGCAAGCTCGATGAGCTGTGCCGACGAGAGGTTGCATATAGAGCCCATACAGACGTAAATCACCGATTCTCGTTCCTTGTCATCCAGCCAATTTAGACATTGATAAGCACGAGCCGCAGACGACGAGGAGGAGTTCCCTCTCTGCAAATTATCCAACTCGAATGGATTCGTCAGCGAAACGGGCCCTACGCACCAAACCCTCCCCTGTTTCGCCTCCTTGAATTCCTTCAGGTACTCTGCTTCCAGTTCCTCGAACGAGTTCACAATGACCCCATAAGCCTCCGATTCCGCCTCGAATCCTGCCTTCCCCATATCATCCCCTGCCTTGTTATACTGCAACGGAAGCTGCGCTCTGGTGAGCTCGATTCCTCCCGGGAACCCCGGGAGGACGAAGAACTCGTGGTCGGAGCTCGCGGAGCTGTCGAATTCGTCCTGGTGGAGCATCATGCAGTGGAGACAGAGGAGGCTGAAGCAGCTGAAGCCGTGGAAGCTGATCCTCGGAATGCCGAACTTCTTGGCGATGCTGTTGGTGTAAGCAAGGCAGAAGTCAGAGATGATGCAATTGGGGGGCGGGTTCAGGGTTCCGAAGAGGGATTCAACCTCGGGCTCCATTAATGCAGCAGCGCGGAACATGTCGTCGATGGAGGCCATGGAAGGGAGAAGGTCGAGGCTCTCGCAGCCGTCAGGGAGCCCTGCTTCGGAACAGGGGAAGCGGAGCTGGATCACTGTGATCGGTTGGCGTAGCTCGTTGATTGCGCGGTCGAGCGGGGACTTGAACCTGGCGGCGTTCACCGGAGTTGTCACAATTGTGACGAGGACGCCAGGCCGGGAGGCTAGTAGCTTGGCGATGTCGACCATGGGGATCATGTGGCCTTGTGCCATGAAAGGGAATAGGACGAAGTGAAGTTGTGGTGAAGCCGCCATGGTTGGGATTTGGGATTTTCTTTTCTTCTTGTGAAGGAAACTGAGCAGAGGTTGCCTGAAACAGAGTTGGAGGTGCCATTGATGAGTGATTTCTCAACCGTTATTATGTCCTTCCTTTTCTTAATTCTCTTTTTTTCTTTCTCTAGTTATGATTATCTGCTTCTAGGTGTGGGTCTCGGCGGTGATTTGTATATGTATTTGGCGTGAATTGCATGTGGGTGATTCTATTAATAATATCATTCTGGCCTGGGGTGTTTTCCTAATTCTCTCATGATCCATGATCCAACTCCACTAACACGTGGTCTAAGGAGAATAATTAAGGGACAAATGATCGTTCTTTCTTATCAATCTTCTTATCAATCTTTTTTTCTTTCTCTAATTACTCAAACACATATTAGCGTGTAGTGATTGAAATTCCTTATTGTACCAAATAAGATTTGTTTGTAAAATTTTTTTGAAGTATAGGCATTACAATGCATGGAAAAAATAGAGAAGTACTAAGAGTACTTTTGCAACAAAAGATTATGATCTATTTTAAAAATTTATCAAAGTTCGAGAACTATACGATTTTTTCCTTTTGTTTCATTTGCTCTTGATGTTTGATGATATCTTCAATCAACATGGTGACGTTCTTATGGGAAGACCCTTCATTTTCTGTAGCTAGTTTTGCCATTTCGGCAAGCTTCTTTGCTCTCTTTCTTCTTTCTTCTCCTTCCTCTCCACCATTCATCGCCAGTCTTACTGCTCCCTCCACTTGCTCCCTCGTCACCAACACCTCCTCCGTCTCATCCTTCCCGTTCAAGTACGTAGGACGCCACGCTCCAACTTTCACTCCAGTTTTCAACACCTCGACGATCATTTTTTCGTTGCAAAACTGATCGCCGAATAGAGGCCATGTCACTAGAGGCACCCCACTACTGATCCCTTCCAAGGAAGAATTCCAACCACAATGCGTCAGAAACCCTCCAATCGAATGATGAGATAAGATCAGTACCTGGGGCGCCCACCCTCGTATCACCATGCCTCTCGGAGAAACTCTCTCCTCGAATTTCTCATCTTCCATCCATATGAAAAGCTCATTCGTTTTCTCAATCTCCCTAACGACCCACATGAACGCCTTATCTGACGCCTCAAGACCTAAAGCAAGCTCGATCAGCTGTGCCGACGAGAGGTTGCATATCGAGCCCATACACACATAAATCACTGAACCCTGCTCCTTGTCATCCAACCAACTCAGACATGGATCGACTCGAGCTGGCGACGATGACAAAGAGGACGCGGAGATGGAGCAGTTTCCTCTCTCCAACTTATCCAATTCGAAACGATTCGTCAGCGAAACGGGCCCAACGCACCACACCCTCCCCTGTTTTGCCTCCTTGAGCGCCTCCAAGTACTCTGCCTCCAGTTCCTCGAATGTGTTCATAATGACCCCATAAGCATCCAATTCTGCCTTGCCCATATCAACTTCAGTTCCATTGTTCGTCATCCCATCCCATAGATCCTCGTACCGGATCGGAAGCTGCGCTCTGGTGAGCTCGATTCCTCCTGGGAACCCCGGGAGGACGAAGTAGTCATGGTCGGAGCTCCTCGCGGAGCTCTCGAATTCGTCCCGGTGGAGCTTCATGCAGTAGAGGCAGAGGAGGCTGAAGCAGCTGAAGCCTTGGAAGCTGATCCTTGGGACGTCGAATTTCTTCGCTATCCTGTTGGTGTAAGGAAGGCAGAAGTCGGAGATGATGCAGCTCGGTGGTGGGTTATTCAAGGTTTCGAACAGGGTTTCCACCTCAGGCTCCATTAACGCGGCTGCGACAAAGAAATCGACGAGGGAGGAGAAGGAAGGGAGCAAGTCGGCGTTCTCGCAGTTCTCAGGGAGCCCTACCTCTGAACAGGGGAATCGAAGCTGGACCACTTTGATTGAGAGGCCTAATTCGTTGATTGCACGGTCGATCGGGGACTTGAATCTGGTGGCATTCACCGGAGTTGTCACGAGTGTAACGAAGACGCCCGGCCGGGATGCTAGGAGCTTGGCAATGTCGACCATGGGGATCATGTGGCCCTGCGCCATGAATGGGAACATAACGAAGTGAGCTTGCTGGGTTTTGGTGCCGGTAAGTGAACCCATGTTTGGATTTCAAAGATTCTTATTTTTTTCTATCTTGGGTTGAAAATGGAGAACAACAGGCAACTATCGAGCGGCTAAATAACTCAAGGTAAGTACGGAAGTAGGATGCGGTGACGCAAGGGCAAAGGTAAGCAGATTTCGACGACCGGCCATGATCGAGCTAGGAGATCGTGGTGGAGACGATTGAGATAGGCTGATTGTGTGGCCGTGATATTCACAACGTCTCACAAGAGGCAACGATCTGCTGTCGTCTTGCTCAAGAAGATTGTGGAGGTCTATAGCAAGCTGCACTGGGAAGTAGTGGTCCTTCGTCGTGTATATATGGTGGCAGTTGCTGTTAATCTGTGAATCAATGTACTTATCAGCCATGGCTGCTAGCGTTTGTGGTGTTGGGTTGTTTTCTGGGAAAGCTGTAGCATAAACCAGAATTTCTTCCTTTTTGTGTCTAGGCTGATAGTAGGGTTAGTCTTGAATTCTTTCCTATGAATTTTGTTTCAAATAGGATGGATGTAACTTAGGGTTTCTATATTCAACCAACTATTGCAGTCACTTGGGAAATCTTTGTCTTTGAGCTCTTGAATCTAAGACGAGAACTACAACATCTCTGAAACACCTTATGAATCGGAAGTTGAGGAATCATTCTTGAGTTACTTTGTTCACAAGAAAAGAAGAGTTTTGTGATTATGCTTCTTCATTCTTGTCCATTATATGTATCAATTGCCAAATTATAAATTTTTATGATTGAATGGATCTTGAATCTTCAATTTTTTGCAAAGCATTCATGCCCTCCTTACATTTTCCTTTCCTCTTGTTGTTGAGCGATATCCTCAATCAACATGGTTAGATTCCTATGAGAAGATCCTTCGTTTTTCACGGCTTGTTTCGCTATCTCTGCAAGTTTTCTCGCTCTCTTCCTCCTCCCTTCGCCTTCCTCTCCACCATCCATGGCCAATTTCACTGCTCTCTCCACTTGCTCCTTCGTCACAACTGATTCCGTCACTTCCTTCCCATCAATATAAGTCGGGCGCTCCGCTCCAACTTTCACACCGATTCTCGCCACCTCGACGATCAACTTCTCGTTACTGAACTGATCCGCGAACAAAGGCCACGTAACCAAGGGAATCCCAACACTAATTCCTTCCAACGAAGAATTCCACCCACAGTGCGTCAAGAATCCCCCGACCGATGGGTGGGACAGGATGAAAACCTGAGGCACCCATCCTCGAATCACCATCCCTTTCCCCGAAACCCTTTCTTCAAATCCTTCATCTGTCATCCACTCGAATAGCTCCTTCGTCTTCTCGGTCTCCCTAATCACCCACACGAACTCTTTCTCCGACGCCTCCAATCCCAATGCCAGCTCAATCAGCTGCACAGACGAGAGGTTGCATATCGAACCCAAACAGACATAAATTATCGAATTCTCCTCCTTCTCATCCAACCAACTTATACATTGGTCCACGGTAGCAGTCGACGACGAGGAGTTCCCTCTTTCCAACTTATCCAATTCAAGTCGATTCGTAAGGGAAACGGGCCCAACACACCATACCCTCCCCTGTTTTGCCTCCTTGTAACCCTTCAGGTACTCTGCCTCCAGCTCCTCGAACGTGTTCACAATCACCCCATAGGCATCCGACTCTGCCTTCGTTATATCATCCACAACTACTTCATCCTTCGTTTCCCCACTTCCTCCATTAGCAGGGCGCATAGGAAGTTGCGCCCTCGTGTATTCGATTCCTCCCGGAAAACCCGGGAGGACGAAGTACTCGTCCTCGGAGCCCGCACTAAGCCGATCCACCTCCTCCCCGTGGAGCTTGATGCAGTGGAGGCAGAGGAGGTTGAAGCAGCAGAACCCGTGGAAGCTGATCCTCGGAACGCTGAATTTCTTCGCTACCCTGTTGGTGTAAGCGAGGCAGAAGTCGGAGATGATGCAGCTCGGTGGTGGGTTTAATGTTTCGAAGAGGGATTCCACCTCTGGCTCCATTAAAGCTGCGGCCTTGAAGATTCCAATGGCGGAGTTCAGGGTAGGCAGCATGTCGATGTTCTCGCAATTCTCCGGGAGCCCTGCTTCGGAACAGGGGAAACGGAGCTGGACGAGGTTGATGAGAAGGTGTGATTCGTTGACTGCACGGTCGATTGAGGATTTGATTCGAGCGGCGTTGAGCGGCGTGGTGACGATGGTGACGTGGACTCCGGGGCGGGATGCGAGGAGCTTGGCGATGTCGACCATGGGGATTAGATGGCCTTGCGCCATGAATGGGAATAAGACGAAGTGGGTTACTTGTGGAGTCATGGTTAGGGAACCCATTTTTTGGGATTCAGAGCTTTTGGGTACTGAGGTGACGAAGAGAATGATTGTCGATTGAGCTCATCTTTGGTTGACATCATGAGGTTTATATAAGTTGAAGTTGAGTACTCGAAGATTCGGTCCTCATAGGAGTGTGGTGGGAATTGAGTGTTCGTGTATGAACTTCATTCAATATGTCATGTTTGTGGCTATGATATGTGTTGATTTGGATGGGTTGGTAATTTAGTATCTGGTCCGAACAGGTCGAGTTTTCATTTGAGATAACAGGGAGAACATGTTAAAATTAGGACATAAGAAAGATATGGAAGATATAATTGGAAGTATATTATGAAAATTTAGCATGTCTTTCGTATATTATTAAGAGAACCGAGTGGATATTTAGAAACGTGGAAATATAAACGAAATTTATATTTCATTTTGTATTTTCTTAAGGTAATCTCGAAATGGGTAATATGGAATAGTAAATGTTCTAAATCTCTTTTATTTTTATTTTTTTTGCAATGATGTTGTGTTGCTATTATTTGAGGACAAATTATCTGACGTTGACTGGAAATCACGGATGTCTTGTTGTATGAGCTTATGCATTTGTGTTTAATGTTTTTGGTGATTTGTAACATTTTCTATTCCACGTAGGGTTAGAGTTTGGCCATTTGGAAAATGTAAAATCGGTCTCTCATGCATGTGAATTAGCTAACACATATCGACTTAGTGAACCACATAAATCTATATGTTCTTTCAAATTTTTTTTTTATTGTCGATTTTTTATTATGTTATAACATGTTGATAAGAGTTTTGTGTCCATAAGTTCATTCCCATTTTAGAATGTGGGCAATGATGAATCTTTAACCATAAATAAGTACTCCAATACGAAACCAAAACTCATGCACTATAGAGCAATCTTCAACTCCAGAGCACGCAGCCCACATATTTCAGCCACTGTAGCCACATGGGACGCTTTCGGGAGTGACGTAAGTGCAAAGATAAGCAAGGAGACAGGGCCAGGAAAGATGACAAAGTTCGAGAGACAGAAAACAGAGACAGAGAGCGCTGTCATGGAAATGTCGTAACGAATTTCGATTTGTGTGGTCGGATGGAGATTGGAGGGTTCAAGTCGTTTGGATACAAAATGCAAGAAGTTATTTTAGGTAGGGATGGCGGCCTGGCAGAGCATTGTCGTCTCCCCAAAGTCCAAACGTCGAGCAAAATCGCGGTGGTGCTGCAGACTGCTTGCGAAGATTGGCGACTCAAATTTGATCGGCTGCCTGTAGCAGAAATGGGGTTTGGCGAATGGCCTGGCATTTCTCTAATTGGGCCGACTGATAGGGCTTTTGAGTTTTCAGGGCTTGTTTTGGTTATGGCCTGCGAGTTAAGTGCAAAATTGTACAGGTGGGATTGGGCTAGCCTCAAATCTGGGGCTGTCGGTTCGGTTCCGGTTCGATTAACCGTACCATTAAGCACGAAAAGTTGAAACAGAACTAGGCAATTTCCTCGAATCAAAATCGGGATGATCGTTTTCAATTAACCAAGAATCGATAAGTCATTAACGGTTCATATTTGGTTATAATAAACCGAAAATCCAAAGGCATAGTGTCAGTTTCTTTGTTTTTTATTTGGGTTTTTGCTTTAAATCGAAATGCAAAGGGTTAAGCCCAAACCAATTTTTGGGACCAATACCTTATCAATTTGGTTTTAATTTAACCCTAACTCACACCTCTAGCTTCAACTAACCTCATATTTCTCCTTCAAAATGTTTCCACGTTCAAACAAAGTATGGTTATGAGCAAACTAATTGGCGCTGGTGAATTTTTTCGTTTAAAACAATAAAGACGAGATAGTTTATATCAGCGCGCATCAGTCTTTTTTTTGTTCTTACAGTGAAATTCTCTCGGCTATTTCATTTGAATTCAGTTGTACTAAAAATCAGTTATATATTTAGAAGGGGATTTTACATTTTAGGTCTAATATCTAATTTCTCAAACTTGGCTAACTACAATTAAGCATGTCCTAATCTTAGCTCCAAAGTTACATTATCTATGGACACCAAAGAGTACATTTCCCCCCTTTATGTGCATACATGTTTCTCCTCTTCTTATGATTTCCTTTGCTCTTGTTGTTGAACGATTTCTTCAATCAACATGGTAACGTTTTTATGAGAAGACCCTCCATTATCGGCAGCTCGTTTCGCCACTTCACCAAGCTCCCTCGCCCTCTTCCTCCTCTCCTCTCCTTCCACTCCACCATCCATCACCAAAATCACCGCTCGCTCCACTTGCTCTCTCTTCACGATGACTTCTGTCACTTCCTTCCCATCATAGAAACTGGGACGCTCCGCCCCAACTTTCACTCCAGTTCTCACCACCTCGACAACCAACTTCTCGTTGGAGAACTGATCCGCAAACAAAGGCCAGGTCACTAAGGGGACCCCTGCACTGATTCCTTCGAGACAAGAGTTCCACCCACAATGTGTCAGGAACCCTCCAACCGCAGGACGAGACAGGATCACAACTTGAGGCGCCCATCCTCGAATCACCATCCCTCTCTCCGAAACCCTTTCTTCAAACCCTTCCTCCGCCATCCACTCGAACAGCTCCTTCGTCTTCTCCGTCTCCCTGATCGTCCACACGAACCCCTTGTCCGACGCCTCCAACCCCAGTGCTAGCTCGATCAGCTGCGTCGTCGAGAGGTTGCACAACGAGCCCAGACAGACGTAAATCACCGAATTCGATTCCTCGCCATCCAACCAACTCAGACATTCCTCCACGCGACCCGTCGTCGACGACGGGGATTTCCCCCTCTCCAACCGATCCAACTCGAACCGATTCGTCAGCGAAACGGGCCCGACGCACCATACCCTCCCCTGTTTCGCCTCCTTGTACTCTTTCAAGTACTCTGCCTCCAACTCCTCAAACGAGTTCACAATCACCCCATACGCCTCCAACTCTGCCTCCGTCATGTCATCCCCAACACCTCCACTCTTCGCCTCCCCACCACCTCGAGCAGGGCGTATGGGAAGTTGCGCCCTAGTGAATTCGATTCCCCCGGGAAAACCCGGGAGGACGAAGTACTCGTGATCGGAGCCCGAACTCAGCCGATCCACCTCCTCTTCGTGGAGCTTGATGTAGCGACCGCAGAGGAGGTTGAAGCAGCTGTACCCGTGGAAGCTGATCCTCGGGACATTGAACTTCTTCGCTACCCTGTTGGTGTAAGGAAGGCAGAAGTCGGAGATGATGCAGCTGGGCGGTGGGTTCAGGGTTTCGAACATGGATTCCACCTCTGGCTCCATTAGAGCCGCGGCTTTGAAGATTCCGAATATGGAAGTGATGGAAGGGAGCATGTCGATGTTCTCGCAGTTTTCAGGGAGCCCCGCTTCGGAACAGGGGAATCGGAGCTGGACGAGGTCGATGAGGAGGTTGGATTGGCTGGCTGCACGGTCGATTGAGGATCTGAATCGGGCGGCGTTGAGCGGCGTGGTGACGATGGTGACGTGTACGCCGGGGCGGGATGCTAGGAGCTTGGCGATGTCGACCAAGGGGATCATGTGGCCTTGCGCCATGAATGGGAACATGACGAAGTGAACTACTTGTTCAGTCTTGAGTAGAGTATCCATTTTTGGGATTCTGGGTAACAGAGGCAATAATCGAAAAGAATGATTGAGCTCAATTTGGGTTGCTTCCAGAGGTTTATATGCCTTTCTTCTCACTGTGATGTTGATAAGAGTTCTCTGTTTATACTTTATCTCCTTTTAGACTTTGGGCATTCATTGAATTTTAACCATACAGATTTCATCCATTAGCGGCGCCATGGTCAAGTGTTGTCGACTGGCAGTAGCGGCAACCAGCGTCGTGGTGCTGCTGCTTCCTTGTGGACCTTGGAGGCCTTTTTAAGTTGGCTTAGTGGGCCATCATCTATAGAATTTTAAAGCGGGTACTTGAAGCCCTTTTATTTGCTTTGATGGGCCGGTGGCCCGTACTTGTTTATAGGTAACATTTCAATTTATTTTCTTTGGGAGGATAATTCACAATTCAGTTCTAATTTCTTTTCCCAATTACCAACTAATCATCACATTTCCCTCTTTGATATTTCTTCACATCTTCAATCAGCCTCGTAACATTCTCATAAGAAGATCCGCCGCTCTCCACCGCCCGCCGCGCCATCCCGGCGAGCTCCGCAGCTCTCTTCCTCATCGCTTCACCTTCCTCGCCGCCGTCCACCACTCTCCGCACCGCCCTCACCACATCCTCCCTCTTCACCACCGCCGCAGACGCTTCCACCTCCTCCCAATCCACCATCACCGGCTGCTCCACTCCCAGACTAACCCCGATCCCCAGCACTTCGACGGCCAGCTTCTCGTTCACAAACTGGTCTCCGAGCAACGGCCACGTTATCAGCGGCATTCCGGCGCCGATCCCTTCCATCGTCGCGTTCCACCCGCAGTGCGTCAGAAACCCTCCGACGGCTCGATGAGACAGTATCGCCACCTGCGGGGCCCACCCTCGGACCAGCAATCCCCTCCCGGCGGTCCTCTCTTCGAATCCGCTTCCCGCAATCCAGTTCTGAAGCTCGCCGGAGTTTTCCTTCGAGTTTCCCCTGATTACCCAGATGAAAGGCTGGTTTGACGCTTCCAAACCTAATCCAAGCTCGATCAGCAGATCCGGCTTCGGATTAAACGTAGATCCGAAGCATACATAGATTATTGAATGGGTATCCTTCGAATCAAGCCAATCGATGATTGCCGAATCTCCTACTCTGCTTCCGCCTCTGTCCAATTGGTCGCCGGTGGTTAGTGAAACGGGGCCGACGCACCAGATTTTCCCATTCCCGCCTTCCCCTTTCTTCAATTCCTCGATATACTCTGTCTCCAGCTCTTCAAAGCTATTCATGATCACTCCGTTAGATTCCGATTCCGCTTTTAACATCTGAACCCCGATCCCTCTGTTCTCCTTCCCGATCCGGATGGGTAGCTGATTTCTAGTGAACTTGATTCGATGGAGTCCGGTTAGGGAGAAGTAATCTGAATCTGAGTCGGAGGTGTCGATTTCTTCAGGATGGAGACAGATCAAACGGACGGTCAGGAGGCAGAGGCAGCCGAACCCTTGGAAGCTGAATCGAGGGATCCCGAACTTCGCCGCAAGAGTGGCTGTGTACGGCAGGCTGATATCTGCGACGATGCAGCTCGGAGGCGGGGAGAGGTTTCCGAGGAGGGATTCGGCCTGGGCTTCCATGCGGGCCGAGGCGGCGAAGAAATTGGCGGCAAGGGAGAATGAAGGGAGGAGGTCGAAGGACTCGCAGCCGTCCGGGAGGCCCGATTCGGCGCAGGGGAAGTCTAAGGGATAGAGGTTGATCGGAAGGGCGTTGCGGCGGATTTGGGATTCGAATCTGGCGGCGTTGACCGGGGTCGTGACGACGGAGACGAGGACGCCGCGTTGCGCGAGCACCATAGCGATGTCCATCATCGGGACCATGTGGCCTTGTGCCATGAAAGGGAACAGCACGAAGTGGAGCTTTTGTTGGTTCTGTTTGCCGCCGTCGGCGGCAGCGGTGGTGGGTGGGGAAGCCATGAAGAGTATAGTGTTGACTGTTGAGTAAAGCGTTAACGAAGTTGAAAAGCTTTGATTCTAACCCAAACGTCCTCCATTTTTCTATGGTCGAATGTTCAATATGGGAAATTGTCTCATCAATCAACGTCGGGCTTGAGATAAGGTCGAGGGAAAAGTCGTCGAAGATTTGGACGGAAGGGTCCGGTTGGAACCGGTCGTCTCTTTCCGATGGGTACTTCATGACTCATCAAATTATGAATTTGTAGAACTGGGCCCCAAATCATCCGAAAACAAAGGCCTGATTGTTATGGGCTTGCACTTCCCCAAACTGGGCTCAGCCCATTTAACTTCTTATTATGCTCATTTTCATTCTCTCATTTAGTGGAGTTTACATTGTCTTTTGTTCTTTGTAGTTCAATGATATCCTCAATCAACATGGTAACATTTCTATGAGAAGATCCTTCATTTTCCATCGTTGTTTTCGCCATTTCGGCGAGCTCCTTCGCTCTCTTCCTCCTCTCTTCACCTTCATCTCTACCATCCATCACCGATCTCACTGCCCTCTCAACTTGCTCCCTCTTCACAGCTACCTCCGTCAATTCCTTCCCGTCGTAAAAAATGGGACGTTCCGCCCCAACTTTCACTCCAGTTTTCATGACTTCAACGATCAGCTTCTCGTTGCAGAACTGATCCGCAAACAAGGGCCACGTCACCATGGGAACCCCAGTGCTGATCCCTTCCAGACAGGAATTCCACCCGCAGTGCGTGAGGAACCCTCCGATCGCAGGGTGTGATAGGATCAGAACTTGAGGCGCCCAGCCTCGAACCACCATCCCTCTCCTCGAAACCCTTTCTTCGTACCCTTCCTCTGCCATCCACTCGAACAGCTCCCTGGTCTTCTCCGTCTCCCTAACCGCCCACACAAACCCTTGATCCGACGCCTCTAGCCCCAGCGCCAACTCGATCAACTGCCCCGACGACAGGTTACACAACGAGCCCATACAAACGTAAATCACCGAATTCGATTTCTTTCCATCCAACCAACTTATACATCGATCATTTGACAACGATGCCGAGTTCCCTCTCTCCAACTTATCCGATTCGAAACGATTGACGAGCGAAACGGGCCCCACGGTCCATATCCTCCCCTGTTCCTCTCCCCTGCATTCTTTCAGATACTCTGCCTCCAGCTCCTCGAACGTGTTCATGATCGACCCGTGTGCCTCCGACAAGGCCGTCACCATGTCCGCCCCGATATTATCCTCCACCGTCTCCTCCTGCACCCCATCCCACCGATTCCCGGGCCGCATCGGTAGCTGCGCCCTGGTGAATCGGACCCCTCCCGGGAACCCCGGTAGGACGAAGTACTCGTCCTCAACCCAACGACCCACCTCCTCCGAGTGAATCATGATGCAGCGAATGCAGAGGTGGTTGAAGCAGCTGGACCCGTTGAAGTTGATCCTCGGGATGCCGAACCTCCTCGCGATCCTGTTGGTGTACGGCAGTGTGACGTCGGCGATGATGCAGCTGGGGCGCGGTTGCATCGTTTCGAAGAGGGATTCGACCTCGGGCTCCATCAGCGCGGCGGCCCTGCAGATGTCGAGCATGGAAGAGATGGAAGGCAGCATGTCGCAGTTCTCCGGGACCCCTGCTTCGGTGGCGGGGAAGCGGAGGGGGATCATGGTGATTGGGAGGTGGGATTCGTTGACTGCACGGTCGATTGAGGGTCTGAACCGGGCGGCGTTGATCGGAGTGGTGACGATTGTGACGACGACTCCCGGGCGGGAGGCTAGGAGCTTGGCGATGTCGACCATGGGGATCATGTGGCCCTGCGCCATGAATGGGAACAGGACGAAGTGGACTAGTTGCTGATTCTTGGGTTGTGGTGGCGAATCCATTATGGGATTTCGAGCTATGGAGTTCTGTACTTGAAGAGAGTCTGTCGATATATATATATAGATACGTTTTGTGTGGCTATGAGGTGTTGTTGATTCTTTTGGCTGGTGATTCATGTTTGACCCGTGATTCGCAAGGCAGAAATGTAGAACTTCCATTCCGTTCGCCACAAGAAACAAACAAGTTAACTGGAAAGGAAAGAGAAAGAAGTAAAAGATAGCAGCTAGGCAATATCGTTGAACTCAACCGGTCAACAATGGCAGCCCAGGATCCAGTCACAACGTGTATCATGTCCGATTGTCAGAGGTTGGAGATTGCGTTGAGACAGGATTCGAGCCTTTGGCGTCTGGCAATGCCGCGGGCAACGCCCGTATTGTTTTCCATTCTTTGTGTTTCTCCTTGGATTTCGGTTGAGTTTGTTTCTAATCGATTCAACGTGTTGGCTGATTGGATTGCGAAGAACTCTCATCTCGATCTCCTTCCTCCGAAATGGACTGTCATTGCCGACCTTGTCGATCCATTGTTGTAACTGCAGTGCTTCCCACTTGTTTGGGTTTGGAATGAAATGATGTTGATGTTGTAAAAAAAAAAAAAAACATTGTTGATATGAATTGAAGTTTGTTTATCTGTAGTGACTCGAGGTATATGGGTTTATAGACGTTTGATTTTTTTTTTTTTTGCCGATTGTGTAACATTTTTTTCATCTTAGATTAGGGTTCTCGTTGCATGGAGAAAGTGTTTATATAACACATTCTTAATCCTATGTAATTTGCGGAGCGAAAATCGAATGAAATTGATTTCTCCTGTATGTTGACCAGCTAACACAATATCGACATTTCAAATATGTAAGAGTATCGAGAACTATCATGAAATCCAATTATGTTATTTTTTTACTAGGAGGAGCCTGAACCTAAGTAAAAAAACTTCAAATTTTTTTTGTGTTTTCACCCAATAGGAAGACGAGAGAGAAATGAGAGCTCTAATCGTTGAAATGGAAACTAAGGGCCCGTTTAGTATCATTTTGTTGTTGTTGTGGTTGCAGTGGTGTTGTGTAAACAGATGTACAACCACAACAGGAAAAAAACAGAAAACACAAACCTGTTTAGTTGATAAATCTGAAAATTCATGAAACTGACAACAAGAAACAAAAACGCGTTTAGTTACTACTGTAAGAACTAAAAACAAATATCTCCTCAATATTAAGCGAAGTCTCACAAAATTCAATTTGCCTAACATCTTTCATGTTCCTTACATAAAAAATAATACTAAACATGATTATCACTCCATAACTGGTTAGCAATGGCATCACGCTTCTCGGTCATCTCACGTGTTGCTGCATAGCTGACGTTGAACTCAGTGAGTGGTAGTTCAACCCCAGGAGTCGAACCTTCTTCATCTTCATAATTTTCATATTCATGAAATAGTTTATCATCTTCGGCATGAATCTTGATGAAATTATGTAAGGCGCAACAAGCAATGACAATACTTGTTTGCTTCCTCAAGCTATACGACCGCATGAACTTTAGAATCGGAAACCTTGCCTTTAAAACTCCGAAGCAACGCTCAATTACATTACGCAGACTTGAATGCAAGAAGTTGAATAATTCTTTACGCCCTCTTGGTCCGCCTCTACGCCTTATCTCTTGAAAATGACGGGTAGCTCCTCGAAATGGTGCTAGAAATCCAGGGATATTTTGAAATCCAGAGTCCACAAGATAATATTTACCTAAATGAATATGTTGAAAATAAACTAATAAGATCTCACTATCACTCATATTGTATTAATAAATGAATGAAATGTAGATATCATACCTTTTGGTGGCATTGGAAAATCATTATCTGGATTTGCGATTGTCTCCATTAGTATTCTAGCATCATTCGCAGTGCCTTCCCATCCTGCTATTACATAAGTAAATAGCATATCAAAAGAACAAACACACAAAACATTTTGTGTTGTTTTTGCTTTTCGTCCTCGATAGGGGATTTGCTCATCAGTTGGAACTACAGCATCAACGTGCACTCCATCTATAGCACCAACAGCATCCTGTAGGACAATATACCTATATCAAGATCATCATAATATGAAACATGTGCAATATGAAATAAAGGATAAGAAGTTACCTTAAAATACGGGTAAAATTTTGAGTTATCCATGATCTGCTTTGGAACCACACCCATATCTGGTGGTTTAATGAGCCTTACTGCAATTTTGTTGACTGCTTTCAACACTATGCCAAAGTACTTTGATATAGTAGCTGTGGAATGTTGGAACCTTTCTGCGCCATCTCTAGTGGTCCATGAGTGTCCAACAACTTTCATGAATATTGCAACTTGTTCTTCAACTGTCACGTTCTTTGTTGATTCCAATCCTCCATATTGTTTTAGTTCCTCACATAGAGAAACAAATGTTCTTTTATCCATCCTTAACTGCTCATATATTCGAATTGGATGCCCACGAAGAATCTCTTGCACCCAATCATGTCCTCTTTTATCTGATGTTCTACAAGGAGTTTTAGAAGACAACTTCCTCCTCTCCTCCTCCATCAATGCTAGCATTATTACTACTAATTTATCGTCATCAGAGTCTGATGATGAATCTGAAAAAGTAGCCATTTATCTGTGTATACAAAAGTAAAGTAATGAACATCCATAGAAAAAACATCACAACGCATTCATCATTACACATCATAATAAAATCCAACATTCATACAAATATTCATTACAAACCAACTTCAAACCAAATGATAACACTCCAAAATAGTACAGAACAAGAGAGTTTTAAACATAACAAAACAGCCAAAGCATCCATCACATCCAAAGCTGCAACAAATCACGCCTCCTCTCTTCAGACACATTCAAGAACACATTTTGATATTCTTTAGAATCATGGAGACACTTCACAGCTGATGCAAACAAGGCACCATTAACTTTCATCTCATCCAAAAGCTTGACACACTCCATAAGTTGCCCATCATCACTTGGCTTGGAGGAGACTTCACCTCCTCCCACAGATGAAGAAGCCATCTTTTGTGCCTCACGCTCAACTTTCATTTTCTCTCGCTCAACCATGGATGACAACAATGTTCCTATGGACTCAGCATAGCTAATCTTATCTCGCTTTCTTTTTTTCCCCTTGCCTTTGTTTTTGTTCTTATCCTCCTTTTCAACAACAGGAGTTGCACCAATTTCTTCCTCTTCACCATCAAGATTAGTTACCTCAACACTTTTGCTTGTAGCCAACTCTTCCTCGTTACTACTAGAAGTAGCTTTGGTTGAAGGACGAGCATTATTTCCAGAAGCAGTAGTGTCACCAAATATGTAGCACAACTTGTCATATTCAGGACATCCATGCTTTCGGAATCTAAGATGCAACTTTGAACCCTACACTCATTAATAAAATCATCTCAAGTTAAGTAAAATGAGTTTTTAACATTCATTTTAATTAGTATTATTATTATTATTATTGAAAAGAGATTGATTTATTACCTTGACGACACTTTCCCAAACATGTTCTTCTGCACTAACAAAACCAGTTGAAGCTTCATATCCCACTCCAGTATGACTAAGCAATGTCTTGAAAGATCTGAGTCTACCCCTTAACCCATTAAATTTATTCTTCACTTGAGTCTTAGTATAGTCTCTTTTCAACCGCTCTTTCAAACCAGCAATGAGATTGGCGAATCCAGTTGGTGAAAAGGTTGAAGTAACACGATTTCCCTTTTTAACTTCTTCCACCAAAAGATCAATGAACACAGATTCAGCTTTATCACCCCATATTTTGCTATCATCCCTCTCCCCATTATCATTTTTCTGAATCTCCACACAATCAACATCACCATTTTCAACAATTTTCTCCATAACTGAGGTAAACCATAAAACAAAGAACATAGCAATCAATCCAAATTCACAAATAAATAATCTATCAATCACTAAACACATCTCCTAATTCAATAAATATTCAGAGGCAGTGGAGGGGAAGCCGAAATTACCTGGGAGGCAGGTGGTCGGCGGCCGTCGGAGGCAGGGCGTCGCCGGCGGTAGGGCCGGCGGGTTGGGCGGCTGGCTGGGCGCTGGCGACGGCAGGGACGCGCGGGGAAGGCAGGGACGCGCGGGGAAGGCTGGGCGAGGGCGGCTGGCTGGGCGCTGGCGACGGCAGGGACGCGCGGGGAAGGCTGGGCGAGGGCGGCTGGCTGCGCTGGCGCCGGCAGGGTCGCCGGGCGGAGGCGAGGCGGCAGATGGGTCGCCGGGCGGAGGGAGGCGGCAGATGGGATGGGTCTGTCGAGAAGAAGAATAGAAAATGGAATGGGTTGGGGCGGCTGTTGAATAGGGTTTTGGGGGGTCGGCTGTGTAAAAAAAAAAAAAAAATTTTGCTTCTGTGGGGATTCGAAAACTGGTCTCTTTTAATGAAATCAAGCGTCAAACCAGTAAGAAACCCGTGTGCAACATGTTTACAAATCAGATCCAAAGCTATAAATTGTTGTTTCTCATATTTGGGCCATGTTGTGCAACTCTGATTCACAACAAAAAATAAAAACCCAACTAAACACGTTTTTTTTTCTTGGTTTTCCAAATTTCTTAAAACACAACAGGAAACAAAAACAAGCAACAATACTAAACGGGCCCTAAGGTGCTATTATTTATAATTATTGAAACTCGAAATTACATAGGGGAAGTCAAAATTAATATTTAACATTTTAATAATTGACAAAATTAGAAATGTTCACTATCCCTCTCTTCGCGATGTCTTGCACTAACTTTATTAACCTTTTGTAATGGTATTATCAACATTTATATATTACTGATAAAATACTTTACGTAAGAAAATCTCTCCGAGTTTTTAAGAGACGTTCACGAACAACATCATCATTAACGATTTCGGATAAATTGTTAGTGATCTACATTTTCTTCATCAATGAATAAATATAAAGAAATTATTACAACTATGCCACATGCCCACATCCTCATCAAAAGTTCAAATAACATTATCATCAATTTACATCTTTTTTAGCAATTCACATTTTCACTTTATGTTCATAACTAGCTTATCAAGGGCCTCTTACAATGAATTATATAGCATTATTAACGGTTTGCTAACCATTAGTTTGAGAAGATACAAAACACGAGCCAATCAAACCAACATTCGTGTACAAGATTTATTTTTTTTGTAAAAACAAGTACATTTTTTTTAATACGAATTTCAATATGATAATAGCTAGTAGATCGAGTTAGATTCCCACGATTGTCTATACATGTATTATGTATACGAGAAAAAAAAATACTTTTTATTCATTAATAATTTTAATCAATCCACATGAAAAATGTCGATTAATTAATTATAGTAGAGACAAAAATACAAGATACACGATAGAATCAGAAATACACCAAGCAAGTGTACGTGGGAATCAGGAAAACACGGCGGCCGGCCGGCGGGCAGTTTTCAGATGAAGGCCTGGAGAGCAAGCTTGAGCTTGGCGACCATCTGCTTCACCACCACCAACGCCTTCTCCACCTCCTCCACTCCGGCCTTCAACTTCGCCACTCCCTTCCCAGACACCATCAGCTTCCCGCCGGCCACCTGCTGGAACCTGTCCCACTCCGTCCCGACCGGAGTCGGCACCACGACGCCGTACTTTGACCAGTCGAACAGGTCGTTGAGCCGCCGCACCAAACTCCCCGGCTTCAAGTACATGTCCTTGGCGCCGACGTTGAAGTACATGACCGTGAACCCTTCCCTGTTGATCAGGGCCTGGAGCCTGACGAGCTCGTTGGACAGCTCCACCAGCTTGGCGCCGGTGATCACGACGCCGAACACTTCCAGCTCGCGGTGGGTGCACACGGGTTTGCTCCCGACCCGACCCGCTTGCTTCCACGAGACCATGTCGGTTGTTATGGTCTGGCTGTTGAGGTCCTTCTGGTCCGGTTCGACCACCAGGACGGTGCCGTCGTTGTACGGGAGGAGGAACAGGTTGTTGGAGTCCAGCACCACACGGGAGGACGACATTTTGATCGATAAAACTGAACTTGTAGCTTTAACGTACTAAGCGCTAAGCTAGATCTAGCAGGTTATTTATATTATATCTTGAGACAGAAAGAAAGTGTCGATCGGCTGGCAAATATATGAAATATTATCCTTATGCTCTACGTATAGGCATACTGCTATAATAGAACACAAGTGGGGAAAGAAGTGCATGTATTGTTGGTCCACGTACGTGGAAATGGACGTACAACCACACGTGAAATGTATTGCATGTAATTAGGGGGGTCCTAGATTTGGGATGTAGATTTCTTCTCATACAATTATTGATCAACTAGCCCGACACATTATATCATATGAAAAATCGAGCAATATGGGACCATATATATATATTCTTCCTATCATAAGACATGTCCAAACTGCACTGTTCATTAGTGTCCCATATATATATATATTCTTCCTATCATATATATATACAATAAAAGAGATATAGACTACTGAACGTTAAATCTCCATAATCAATGAGTAGTTGGAACAGTAGATCCATTAGATTTTTTCGAGAAGTGCGTGTGTGGACAAGAATATAGACCATAATTATATTAATTCATTTTTTTTTTCTCCAAAAGCAAACCATGACGGTTTCTGAAAATAAAATAATAATTAAATACTTTTATTATCGAAAACGGGTACAAAGCACCGGCCACTATCTTATAACGTTAATACTACGGGGAAGATGGTTATCCCTGTAACTGGCCTAGGATAGAGTCAGTAACCAATGGTTACTGACCTGTCGGTAATTAAATCCGGACCGTAGATCTAGGGATGGAATTATCATATGGTTGGGCTGCACGAGGAGTGAGGATGGGCATTTTTGTCCGATTTTTTAAATTTGATTTCTTTCATTTTTTTATTCTTCCCAGCATTTGTCTTTTAATGGAGAAAAGAGAAAAGCATACTTCTCTCTTCCTTACTCTCTTCCAAACTCCTTTTTCCAGATCTAAATCTCTTTTCTTCTCTTGTTCTTCATTTTTCTCTCCAACAATCGATGAAGAAATTGCAGCATCCCACCTCAAACCCGGTGATGCTCCAAATCCTTCTTCTCTCAAGCTACTCCTTCCTTCTGTTTTTTTCTTTTCTCAGCCTCAAAATCGATGACGCTCCATATTGTCAAAGAGTGGACAGATCTAGGTGAGTTGAGTTTGCATCTTTTGTGTTTTAGTATTTGCTTGTGAGTTAATTCTGATTTTCTTCCTCTTTTTCTTTCTTTTGCATTTGGTGTTCTTGATTGCGGATGAGTAAATGAGAGGAGACAGAAGGCGAGTTTTTTTTTCTCTTCCTCCTTCTGCTTCTCCTTTTTTGAGAGTATATATTGATATTACCACACTATACCATAAGTAATGTGTGCTAACTAAATGTATTTTTATAGTCACGAGTTTTATCATTGTGGTAGTAGGTGGTAATCGACACCAGTTTCGAGAAAGAAGAGTTAGAAAACAATGAAGGGAGAGAAGAAAGTGAAGAAAGTCGTAATCGTATATATATATATTGATATTACCACACTATACCATATGGTAATGTGTCTATACCATATGGTAATGTGTGGTAACGAAATGTATTTTTATGAATATCATGTTTTTAATATGATCGTAGAAGGTTGTAATTAGATTTACATGGTTTTACCTTCTCATACCATGTGGTATTATATGGTAATTATAATTAATTTGTGGTCCTTTGATTTACCATGTTCTACTATGGTGGTATTGTATGCTAGTTAGATTTATAAATTTCTGTAGTGTGGTTTATCAAGTTATACTATGTGGTGGTAGTTTGATTTGTAATTTTATTTTATTATGTTATACCATATGGTATGGTAATTAGATTTGTAAATTTTTGTAGCATGTTTTACCACGTTATATCATATGGTATTGTATGGTAGTTAGATTTTTAATTTTCTTCAACGTATTTTACCATGTTTTACCACGTTTTACTATGTGGTATTGTATGGTAGTTAGAATTGTAATTTTCTTCAACATATTTTACCATGTTTTACCATGATAGTAGAAAGTGATAATCATATTTATACTTGTAATTAGTGCCTTTAACACTGTATTATTTAACGAAAAAATCATCATTCAATTTGAGCTGGAATTAGTTTAGAGATAGTTCGGATGGTTAGATTCATCTTTGTTGTAGATGGGAGAGAAAAAATAATGTATTTTTTTCTTTTAATAATAACATAAAATAAAGAGTGAGAGAGAGGGGAACCTAGATTTGGGATGTAGATTTCTTCTCATACAATTATTGATCAACTAGCCCGACACATTATATCATATGAAAAATCGAGCAATATGGGACCATATATATATAATAAAAGAGATATAGACTACTGAACGTTAAATCTCCATAATCAATTAGTTGGAACAGTAGATCCATTAGATTTTTCGAGAAGTGCTTGTGTGGACAAGAATATAGACCATAATTATATTCATTCATTTTTTTTTCAAAAGCAAACAATGACGGTTTTTTAAAATAAAATAATAATTAAATATTTTTATTATCGAAAACAGGTACAAAGCACCAGCCAAAGGTTAATAACATCATTGCAAGTAACAATGTACTAATAGTTCCTTGATTTTGTTTAAGTGATGGTTGAATCTTTGCCTTAGAATAATTGAAATAAAATGGATTAATATTGGTGTGAGTTGAACCATTATCAGAGAAAAATTCGGAACCTCGGGGATCATTCCTTTTTTGCTAATATATGAAATATGTGATTTCAATAAGCGGATTTTGAGGAAATTACAAATCAGACCTTTTATACGTATCTTAATGCCGGAAAGCTGGATAGGGTGGCCTTTACGTAAGGATTATATTGCCCCCAATTTTTATGAAATACAAGATGCTCATTGAAATTAGTCCCATAGGTTTGATCCTGTAGAATCTGGCTCATTTTCTCATTGAGCGAAGGGTACGAAAGAAATCAGATTTATTTTTCGATCAAAAGTACTATGTGAAATCTTCGGTTTTTTCCTCTTTCGCTATCCCTTCCTATAGGTACAGCGTTTGAATCAATAGAGAACCTTTTCTTCTATATCTGTATGAATTGATATTATTACATTCCAATTCCTTCCTCCCGTCTCGAAGGTATCGAGGGAGAGAGTGGACATTTCTTATTTCGAATTTCCATTCTTTAAAATGTTAAATATTAATTTCAATTTCTTATTTTTAATTTCAATAATTTCAGATAATAATACCTTGGTTTTCTTTGATCAAATTCAGGATCCTCCTTGGTATCGAACTTTAATTACTATATAGATTAAGGTTTAGCTCTAGCTAGTCACACAAATATATATATGATTAGGACATTCCGTTAATTATCTCAAAATATCGTTACAATGTGGATGGATCTTTATCCTTATGAAGGAAATAATGTTAACAAGAAAGGGTAGACAAAAGAAGTAAAAGCTAGTGACAATGGCAACATGCTTTGAAGAATTAAATAAGAAGATGGAGGGGAAGATATGAGTGGCTATCAGTTGAGGTGGAATAATAAATTGGGTGATATGGAGAGTATTTATAAAATTTATTAAAATTGGATTCAAACCTTTTTTCTTTTTCTTGCATTGGTGAACATATCATTTTATTTTAAAAAATCGTCGTTGATTTTTTTGAGAAAGTTAATGAAATTGTCTACTTTGTTAATTGAAATTTTATTTTGTTACTATTTTATTTTTGTCAACGGACCCACTTCTAAAAAAAAAAAAATTGGATCTACTATTCCACCTACTGATTTATTTATTGTGGAGATTTAATGTCCAATAGTCTATATCACTTTTATTGGATACGGTCCCATATTGCTCGATTTTTCCCACGATATGTGTCGGGCTAGTCATTAGCCAATACATTTCACGTGTGGTTGTACGTTCCTTTCAAACTACGTGGACCAACATGCATGCACCTCTTCCCATCTACGTCCCTCTCCCACTTGTGCTCTCTATTATGACAGTATACATAAGCTTACGCAGAAGAGATAAGGATCTTTTTTTTTTCTCAGCCGACACTTCCTTTCTCAACGTATATAACCGTGCTAGCTAGATCGAGCTCGGTGTGCTGATCAGTACACGTTAAAGTTACAAGTTCAGTTCGACTTCACGATACAAAAAATGTCGACGACCCCGTCACGCCTGGTGCTGGAATCCAACAACCAGTTCCTGATCGCACTCAGCAGCGGTGCGTTCCTCGTGGTCGAACCGGAGGCCTACGAGCTCAACACCACGACCATACCCACCAACGTGTTCTCCTGGAAGCAGGCCGGCATCGTCGGGCCGGGCCCCGGCTCCACCCACGAGGAAATGGAGGTGTTCGGGACGGTGCTCACCGGCGCCAAGGTGGCGGAGGCCTCCCGGGACATCATCAACCTCCAGGCGCTGGTCAACAGGGAAGGGTTCACGGTCATGTACTTCAACGTCGGCGCCGGGGACATGTACCTGAGGGACGCCAGCCTGATGCGCCGCCACAACGACCTCTTTGACTGGTCCAAGTACGGCGTCACGGTCCCGAAACCGGTCCAGACCGTGTGGGACCGGTTCCAGCAGGCGGCCGGCGGGGAGAAGATGGTCTCCGGGGAGGGAGTGGGGCCGCTGAAGAACGACGTGGAGGAGATCGAGAGGGCGGTGGAGATGTTGGAGGTGCAGGTTGGTGTACTCAAGGATGAACTCCAAGTCTTCGTCTGAACCCTGAAAACTTCCCCGCCGGCGTGCTGCGCGCTTCCTTTGCCTTTTATGTACGTCGGCTTGGTGTATTTTCTATCATGTATCTTGTATTCTTGTCTTTACTAATTAATGAATCGGCATGCCGATTGATTAATTATTAATGAATAAACCGTGGTCCACATACTCCGCTTCACTCCAAAAAGTACATATAACGTTTTTTACTTATTAATCATTGATCTCTTCCGTGTTTTATAAATGTGAAATTCGTATAAGGTGTAACATACCTTTTTTATAAAAAGTTGTGTGTGCTTTATAGAAAAAATTTGTACCCATTGTCCCGAAATAATATATACAAGGTGTACGTACAGAGAAAAACCTGTACAAACTGGTACATGTACGTGGTCGTGTTGTCTAAAAAAAATATCAAAATGTACGTTATCTTGCCGATAATAGTAAAAGAAAATTATTTGCAAAATATTTAATGTAATTAGTAAAATTAAGGGGAGACATTCTGTTAATTAAAAAATTAAAAGGCGAAATGTGAATTTGTGTTCTTTGACTTTTTCCTAATTGGGGTGGGCACGCGGGTGGTTAATCCGCGAATTGATATCGATCCACCCGCAAATAACCCGACCCGCACGTAATGGGTGATTGATGTGGGTGGATTGTGGATTGTTAAAGCTCCCACCCGCACTTATGTGGGTGGATTACGGGTCACCCTTATGACCTGCGTCCTATTTTTACATGGAAAAATGTTGTTTCTTATAGTATCAAATATTTATCATATTTTTGAACTATACTACAGTTTGACCATATACTTCAAAAGGTGGAGAATAAAAGAACAGTTTTGACTACTATTATTGGTTATTGTGTTGTGCAATATCCACTAAATATTGGATATTGATATGCAAATTATTGTTAATATCTATTAAATATTGGGATACATACTATAAATTATTAATTATATAAAAATCACAAATTATTGATACAATTGCATTAGAATAAATTGGCCAAAATATGTTTGGATAGACTTCAAATTTGATTAAATATAGCATTCAAAATACCAAAATCTATGATTGATATTCTTCAAAATTCATGAATAATAACATTCAAAAAAATTGGCCAAAATTTTTCATGGATAGTTTTCAAAATCAATTAATAATACTATTAAATCGATGCTTAATAGACTTAATCATCTGTGAAGAATAGACTCAGGGAAAATCCATAATATGTAGACTTCAAAATCGAATGAAAATGGCTTTTCAAAAAAAAGCCCAAAAATTTATGAAAATGACCTCCTAAAAACGTTCACCCAAATCAGTGAATAATCGATTTCATCATCAATTAAAAATAGCAACCTCAGGCCTAATTAATGAACTGTAGTCTTCAAAAAAATTGGCCAAAATTTGACATGGATAGTATCCAAAATAAATTAATAATACTATTAAATCAGTGCTTAATGGACTTAATCATCGGTAGAAATATGATCAATAGACTTCATTATCGGTGTAGAATAGCCTCGGCTGAATCCGTGATTTGTAGCCTTCAAAATCGAAAGGAAATGGTATTTCAGGAAAATCGTGTGAAATTTGTGATGGTACCCCTTTGGAGTCTATCAAAAATGGACCAGGAAGAAATCCGCCCAAATCGATGCTTAATGGACTTAATCATCGTTGAAGAATAGCCTCAGGCTGAATCCGTGATCTGTAGCCTTCAAAATACAAGGAAAATGGCCTTTCGAAAAAAATCGCACAAAAATTTAAGAAAATGTCATCCGAAAATGAATTTGCTCAAATCGGCGCTTAATGGATTTAATCATCGATAGAGAGTAGGATCAATAGACTTCATTATCGGTGGAGAATAGCCTTGGGCTGAATCCTTGATCTATAGCATTCAAAATAGAAAGAAAATGGCATTTCGAGAAAATCGCATAAAATCTGTGATGGTACACCCCTTTGGAGTCTGCCAAAATGGACCCGGAAGAAATCCGCTCAAATCGGTGCTTAATGGACTTAATCATCATTGAATAATAGCCTCAGGCTGAATCCATGACCTATTGCCTTCAAAATCCAAGGGAAATGCCCTTTAGAAAAAAAATCGCACAAATAATTACAAAAATGTCATCCGAAAATGAATTTGCCCAAATTGGTACTTAATAGACTTAATCGTCGGTGGAGAATAGGATAAATAGACTTCATTATCGGTGGAGAATAGAGTTGGGCTAAATCCATGATCTTTAGCCTTCGAAATAGAAAGAAAATGGCACTTCGGGAAAATCAAACGAAATCTGTGATGGTACCCCTTTGGAGTCTGCCAAAAATGGACCCGCAAGAAATCCGGCCAAATCGTTGCTTAATGGATATAATCATCATTGAAGAATATCCTCAGGGCGTATCCGTGATCTGTAGCCTTCAAAATCCAAGGGAAATTACCTCTCGGAAAAATAGCCCAAAAAGTTAGGAAAATGTCATCCGAAAATGAATTTTCCCAAATCGGTGCTTAAAGGATTTAATCATCAGTGGAGAATAGGATCAATAGACTTCATGATCGGTGGAAAATAGTCTCGGGCTGAATCTGTGATCTGTAGCCTCCAGAATCGAAAGAAAATGGCATTTTGGAAAAATCTCCCGAAATCTGTGGTGGTACCCCTTTGGAATCTGCAAAAAAATTGACCCTGAATAAATCCGCCCATATCTGTGCTTAACGGACTTAATCATCGCTCGAAGAATAGCCTCAGGGCGAATCCGTGATATGAAGCCTTCAAAATCCAAAGAAAATTGCCTTTCGAAACCCAAAAAATACTGAAATGCCACCCGAAAATAAATTGGCTCAAATCGGTGCTTAACGTACTTATCATCTGCGGAGAGTAGGATTAATAGACTTCATTATCCGTGGAGAATAGGCTCAGTCTGAATCCGTGATATGTAGCCTCCATAACCGAAAGAATATGACATTTAGGAAAAATCGCCCGAAATCTGTGATGGTACCCCTTTAGAATCTACCAAAAATTGACCCGGAATAAATCCACCCAAATCGCTGCTTAACGAACTTAATCATCACTGAAGAATAGCCTCACGGAGAATCCGTGATCTGTAGCCTTCAAAACCCAAAGAAAATTGCCTTCCGTCGCTCAACAAATTACGAAAATGCTATGCGAAAATAAATTGGCCCAAATCGGTGCTTAATGGACTTATAATCCGCGGAGAGTAGGATCAATAGACTTCATTATCCGTGGAGAATAGTCTCGGCCGGAATCCGTGATCTGTAGCCTTTAGATTCGAAAGAAAATAGCATTTCAGAAAAATCAACCGAAATCGATGATGGGTACCCCATCGGAATCTTCCAAAAATTGACCCGGAATAAATCCTCTCAAATCGGTGCTTAACGAACTTAATCATCGCCGAAGAATAGTTTCACGCCGAATCCGTGATATATAACCTTCAAAATCAAAAGCAAATGGCCTTCTCACGCCCAAAAAATTACGAAAATGTCATCCAAAAATAAATTGGCCCAAATTGATGCTTAACTTCCCAAAGGAGTACCATCACCGATTTTGGGCAATTTTTCTGAAATGCCATTTTATTTCGATTCTCGAGGCTACAAATCACGGATTCTGGCCTAGGTTTTTCTCCACGGATAATAAAGTCTGTTGATCCTACTCTCCGCGGATAATAATTTCGTTAAACACAAATTTGGGCCAATTTGTTTGCAGATGACATTTTCATAATTTTTTGGGCGTCAGAAGGCCATTTTCTTTGGATTTTGAAGGCTACATATCACGGATTCGGCCTGAGGATATTCTTCAGCAATGGTTAAGTTAGTTAAGCACCAATTTGCACGGATTTATCTCGGGTCAATTTTTGGCAGATTCCAAAGGGGCACCATCACACATTTTGGGCGATTTATTCGAAATGCCATTTTCTTTCGATTCTGGAGGCCACAGGTCACGGATTCAGGCCGAGGCTATTATCCACGGATAATAAAGTCTGTTGATCTTACACTCCGCTAATGATAATTCCGTTAAGCACTGATTTGGGCCTATTTATTTTCGGATGGCATTTTCGTAATTTTTTGAGCGTCGGAAGGCGATTTTTTATTTATTTTGAAGGCTGCAGATCACGTATTGGCACTGAGGACATTCTTCAGCAATGATTAAGTTCGTTAAGTACCGATATGCACGGATTTATTCCTGGTCGATTTTTAGCAGATTCCAAAGGGGAAACATCACAGATTTTAGGAGATTTTTCCGCAATGCCATTTTCTTTCGATTCTTAAGGCCACAGATCACGGATTCAGGCCGAGGCTATTCTCCACGGATAATGAAGTCTATTCATCCTACTCTCTGCGGATGATAACTCCGTTAAGCACCGATTTGGACCAATTTATTTTCGGATGACACTTTAGTAATTTTTTGTGCGTCGGATGTCCATTTTCTTTTGATTTTGAAGGATACAGATCACAGATTCCACCTGAGTCTATTCTTTAGCAGTGATTAAGTTCGCTAACCACCAATTTGGGCGGATTTTTTCTGGGTCAATTTTTGGCAGATTCCCAAAGGGGTACTATCACCGATTTCTGACAATTTTTCGAAATGCCATTTTTCTTTCGATCTGGAGGCTACAAATCAAGGATTCAGGACGAGGCTATTCTCCACGGATAATGAAGTCTATTCATCCTACTCTCCGCGGATGATAACTCCGTTAAGCACGGATTTGAGCCAATTTATTTTCGGATGCCATTTTTGTAAATTTTGGTGTGTCTGATGTCCATTTTCTTTGGATTTTGAAGGATACAGATCACGAATTCGGCCTGAGGCTATTCTTTATCGAAGATTAAGTTCGCTAACCACCGATTTTGACTAATTTATTCCGGGTCTATTTTTGCCAGATTCTCAAAGGGGTACCATCACCGATTTTGGCGATTTTTCCGAAACGCCATTTTTTTTTATTCTGGAGGCTACAGATCACATATTCGGGCCGAGGCTATTCTCCACAGATAATGAAGTCAATTCATGCTACTCTCCCCGGATGGTAAGTCCGTTAAGCATAGATTTGGGCAAATTTATTTTCGAATGGCATTTTCGTTATTTTTTGTGCGTCGGATGCCCATTTTCTTTAGATTTTGAAGGATACAGATCACGGATTCAGCCTGAGGCTATTCTTCAGCGATGATTAAGTCTGTTAACCACCGATTTTGGTGGATTATTCCGGGTCAATTTTTGGCAGATTCCCACTCTCCGCGGATTTCGGGTCATTTTTTCCGAAATTTCATTTTTTTCGATTCTTGAGGCTACAAATCACGAATTCAAGCCGAAGCTATTCTCCACGGATAATGAAGCCGATTCATCCTACTCTCCGCGAGTGATAAGTCCGTTAAGTACCGATTTGGGCCTATTTATTTTCGGATGACATTTTTCTAATTTTTTGGGCGTCGGAAGGCGATTTTCTTTGGGTTTTGAAGGATATAGATCACGGATTTGGCCTGAGGCTATTCTTCAACGAAGATTAAGTCTGTTAAGCACCGATTTAGAAGGATTTATTCCTGTTCAATTTTTGGCAGATTCCCAAAGGGGTTCCATCACTTATTTCGAGCGATTTTTCCGAAATGCCATTTTCTTTCAATTCTGGAAGCTACAGATCACAGATTCCAACTAAGGCTATTCTCCACGGATAATGAAGTCTATTTATCCTACTCCCCGCGGATGATAAGTCTGTTAAGCACCGATTTGAGCAAATTTATTTTTGAATGACATTTTCGTAATTTTTTGTGGTTCAGATGTCCATTTTACTTGGATTTTAAAGGATACAGATCACGGATGCGGCCTGATGCTATTCTTCAGCGTTGATTAATTCCGTTAATGACTGATTTGGGCGGATTTATTCTGGGTCAATTTTTGGCAGATTCCCAAAGGGGTGCCATCAGCCCAGCACAGATTTCGGGGAAAACTCCGGCGAGCTTCAGAACTGGATTGCGGGAAGCGGATTCGAAGAGAGGACCGCCGGGAGGGGATTGCTGGTCCGAGGGTGGGCCCCGCAGGTGGCGATACTGTCTCATCGAGCCGTCGGAGGGTTTCTGAAGCACTGCGGGTGGAACGCGACGATGGAAGGGATCGGCGCCGGAGTGCCGCTGATAACGTGGCCGTTGCTCGGAGACCAGTTTGTGAACGAGAAGCTGGCCGTCGAAGTGCTGGGGATCGGGGTTAGTCTGGGAGTGGAGCAGCCGGTGATGGTGGATTGGGAGGAGGTGGAAGCGTCTGCGGCGGTGGTGAAGAGGGAGGATGTGGTGAGGGTGGTGGAGAGAGTGGTGGGCGGCGGCGAGGAAGGTGAAGCGATATTGCCCGGATGGCGCGGCGGGCGGTGGAGAGCGGCGGATCTTCTTATGAGAATGTTACGAGGCTGATTGAAGATGTGAAGAAATATCAAAGAGGGAAATGTGATGATTAGTTGGTAATTGGGAAAAGAAATTAGAACTCAATTGTGAATTATCCTCCCAAAGAAAATAAATTGAAATGTTACCTATAAACAAGTACGGGCCACCGGCCCAACAAAGCAAATAAAAGGGCTTCAAGTACCCGCTTTAAAATTCTATAGATGATGGCACACTAAGCCAACTTAAAAAGGCCTCCAAGGTCCACAAGGAAGCAGCAGCCACATGATCCCCATGGTCGACATCGCCAAGCTCCTATCATCCCGCCCCGGCGTCCACGTCACCACGCCGCCCGATTCAGATCCTCAATCGACCGTGCAGCCAGCCAATGGCACATGCTTTGAAGAATTAAATAAGAAGATATGAGTGGCTATCAGTTGAGGTGGAATAATAAATTGGGTGATATGGAGAGTATTTATAAAATTTATCAAAATTGGATTCAACACCTCAAATTTGTAAGAACATATCTACAACTATCAACAACAACAACAAAAAATTGCTAAAAGAGGGGGTGCAAGACACCTTTACTATTTAAACATTATCAGAAACGAACGAGAAATTTGCCAACAGAGTCATACAAAAATCAAGAAGAAATCATAAGATCTGACGATAAAAGAAAGTAGGATCCAGGCTCCAAATCACGACCCTTGTGAGCGAGCGAGTCCATCAACTAGGAAATTAGCTTCTCGAAAGATACGAACCACTCGAGTTTCTCCGTCTCTAGCTCGTAGCTCTCGAAGGGCAAGCACAATACTTGTGTGTTGAGAACTATTAACAAATTTTAAGTGTTAAATACCAACTTTCCCACAAATCACTTTACTTCATTAAAATAACCTTTTTTTTCCCTTGCATTGGCGAACATATCATTTTATCTTAAAAAAATCGTCGTTGATTTTTTTGAGAAAGTTAATGAAATTGTCTACTTTGTTAATTGAAATTTCATTTTGTTACTATTTTATTTTTGTCAACAGACCCACTTCTAAAAAAAAAAAAATTGGAGCTACTATTCCACCTACTGATTTATTGTGGAGATTTAACGTCCAATAGTCTATATCACTTTTATTGGGTACGGTCCCATATTGCTCGATTTCATACTTGTGCTCTCTATTATGAGTTATGACAGTATACATAAGCCTACGCAGAAGAGATAAGGATCTTTTTTTTCTCAGCCGACACTTCCTTTCTCAACGTATATAACCGTGCTAGCTAGATCGAGCTCGGTGTGCTGATCAGTACACGTTAAAGTTACAAGTTCAGTTCGACTTCACGAGACAAAAATGTCGACGACCCCGTCACGCCTGGTGCTGGAATCCAACAACCAGTTCCTGATCGCAACCAGCAGCGGTGCGTTCCTCGTGGTCGAACCGGAGGCCTACGAGCTCAACACCACGACCATACCCACCAACGTGTCCTCCTGGAAGCGGGCCGGCATCGTCGGGCCGGCCTCCTCCTCCACCCACGAGGAAATGGAGGTGTTCGGGACGGTGCTCACCGGCGCCAAGGTGGCGGAGGCCTCCCGAGACATCATCAACCTCCAGGCGCTGGTCAACAGGGAAGGCTTCACGGTCATGTACTTCAACGTCGGCGCCGGGGACATGTACCTGAGGGACGCCAGCCTGATGCGCCGCCACAACGACCTCTTTGACTGGTCAAAGTACGGCGTCACGGTCCCGAAACCGGTCCAGACCGTGTGGGACCGGTTCCAGCAGGCGGCCGGCGGGGAGAAGATGGTCTCCGGGGAGGGCGTGGGACCGCTGAAGAACGACGTGGAGGAGATCGAGAGGGCGGTGGAGATGTTGGAGGTGCAGGTTGGTGTACTCAAGGATGAACTCCAAGTCTTCGTCTGAACCCTGAAAACTTCCCCGCCGGCTTGCTGCGCGCTTCCTTTGCCTTTTATGTACGTCGATCGGCTTGGTGTATTTTCTATCATGTATCTTGTATTCTTGTCTTAACTAATTAATGAATAAACCGTGGTCCACATACTCCATTTCACTCCAAAAAGTGCATATTACAGATCTCTTCCATTTTTTATAAATGTTAAATTCGTATAAGGTGTAACATACCTCTTTTATAGAAAATTGTGTATGCTTTATAGAAAATTTTTGTACCTATCGTCCCGAAATAATATATACAAGGTGTACATACAGAGAAAAACCTGTACAAACTGGTACATGTACGTGGTTGTTTTGTCTAAAAAAAATATCAAAATGTACGTTATCTTGCCGATAATAATAAAAGAAAATTATTTGCAAAATATTTAATCTAGTTAGTAAATTTAAGGGGAGACATTCTGTTAATTAAAAAATTAAAAGGTGAAATGTGAATTTGTGTTCTTTGACTTCCTCCTAATTGGGGTGGGCACGCGGGTGGTTAATCCGCGGATTGATATCGATCCACCCGTAAATAACCCAACCCGCACGTAATGGGTGATTGATGTGGGTGGATTGCGGATTGTTAAATCTCACACCCACACTTATGTAGGTGGATTGCGGGTCAACCTTATGACCCGCGTCCTATTTTTACATGGAAACATGTTGTTTCTTATAGTGTCAAATATTTATAATATTTTTGAACTACACTACAGTTTGACCATATACTTCAAAAGGTGGAGAATAAAGAATAGTTTTGACTACTATTATTGGTTACTATGTTGTGCAATATCCACTGAATATTGGATATTGATATGCAAATTATTGTTAATAGCCATTAAATATTGGGATTGGGAATCTGCCAAAAATTGACCCGGAATAAATCCGCCCAAATCGGTCATTAACGGAATTAATCACCGCTGAAGAATAGCCTCAGGCCACATCCGTGATCTGTATCCTTTAAAATCCAAATAAAATGGACATCTGACGCACAAAAAATTACGAAAATGTCATTCAAAAATAAATTTGCCCAAATCGGTGCTTGACAGACTTATCATCCGCGGAGAGTAGGATGAATAGACTTCATTATCCGTGGAGAATATCCTCAGCCGGAATCTGTGATCTGTAGCTTCCAGAATCGAAAGAAAATGGAATTTCAGAAAAATCGCCTGAAATCGGTGATGGTACCCCTTTGGGAATCTGCCAAAAATTGAACAGGAATAAATCCTTCTAAATCGGTGCTTAACAGACTTAATCTTCATTGAAGAATAGCCTCAGGCCAAATCCATGATCTATATCCTTCAAAACCCAAAGAAAATCGCCTTCCGACGCCCAAAAAATTACGAACATACCATCCGAAAATAAATTGGCCCAAATCGGTACTTAACGGACTTATCACCCGCGGAGAGTAAGATGAATCGACTTCATTATCCGTGGAGAATATCCTCGGCTTGAATTCGTAATATGTAGCCTCAAGAATCGAAAGAAAATGACATTTCGGAAAAATGACCCGAAATCCGCGGAGAGTGGGAATCTACCAAAAATTGACCCGGAATAAATCCACCAAAATCGGTGGTTAACAGACTTAATCATCGCTGAAGAATAGCCTCATGCCGAATCCGTGATCTGTATCCTTCAAAATCTAAAGAAAATGGGCATCCGACGCACAAAAAATAACGAAAATGCCATTCGAAAATAAATTTGCCCAAATCTATGCTTAACGGACTTATCATCTGCGGAGAGTAGCATGAATAGACTTCATTATCCGTGGAGAATAGCCTTGGCCTGAATATGTGATCTGTAGCCTCCAGAATCGAAAAAAAATGGTGTTTCAGAAAAATTGCCAAAAATCGGTGATGGTACCCCCTTTGGGAATCTGCCAAAAATTGACCCAGAAAAAATCCGCCCAAATTGGTGGTTAGCGAACTTAATCACCGCTAAAGAATAGCCTCAGGTCGAATCCGTGATCTGTATCCTTCAAAATCAAAAGAAAATGGACATCCGACGCACAAAAAATTACTAAAGTGTCATCTGAAAATAAATTGGTCCAAATCGGTGCTTAACAGAGTTATCATCCGCAGGGAGTAGGATTAATAGACTTCATTATCCGTGGAGAATAGCCTCGGCCTGAATCCGTGATTTGTAGCCTCCAGATTCGAAAGAAAAGGGCATTTCCGAAAAATCGCCAGAAATCGGTGATGGTACCCCTTAGGGAATCTGCCAAAAATTAACACAGAATAAATCCGCCTAGATCGGTGCTTATTGGACCTAATCTTCGCCGAAGAATAGCCTATTACCGAATCGGTGACCTGTAGCTTTCAAAATCCATAGAAAATGGCCTTCCAACGCCCAAAAAATTATGAAAATAACATACGAAAAATAAATTGGCCCAAATCGGTGCTTAACAGAATTATCATCCGCGGAGAGTAGGATCAATAGACTTCATTATCCGAGGAGAATTGCCTCGGCCTGAATTCGTGATCTGTAACCTCCAGAATCGACAGAAAATGGCATTAAAAAAAATCGCTCGAAATCGGTGATGGTACCCCATTGGGAATCTGCCAAAAATTGACCCGGAATAAATCCGCACAAATCGGTGGTTAGCAAACTTAATCACCGCTAAAGAATAGCCTAAGGTCGAATCTGTGATCTGTATCCTTCAAAATCCAAAGAAAATGGACATCCGACACACAAAAAATTACGAAAATGTCATCCGAAAATATAAATTGACCTAAATTGATGCTTAACGGAGTTATCATCCGCGGAGAGCAGGATGAATAGACTTCATGATCCGTGGAAAATAGCCTCGGCCTGAATTCGTGATTTGTAACCTTCAGAATCGAAAGAAAATGGCATTTCGGAAAAATTGCCAGAAATCGGTGATGGTACCCCTTTGGGAGTCTGCCAAAAATTAACCCAGAATAAATCCGCCTAAATCGGTGCTTAACAGACTTAATCTTCGTTGAAGGATAGCCTCAGGCCGAATCCGTGATCTGTATCCTTCAAAATCCAAAGAAAATCGCCTTACGACGCCCACAAAATTATGAAAATCCCATCCGAAAATAAATAGGCCAAAATCGGTGCTTAACGGAATTATAATCTGCGGAGAGTAGGATCAACAAACTTCATTGTCCGTGGAGAATAGCCTCGGCATGAGTCTGTAATCTGTTGCCTCCAAAATCGAAAGAAAATGACATTTCGGAAAAATCGCTTGAAAATTGTGATTGTACCCCTTTGGAATCTGCCAAAAATTGACAAGGAATAAATCCGTGCAAATCAGTGTTTAACGAACTTAATCATTGCTGAAGAATATCCTCAGGCCGAATCCGTGATTTGTAGCCTTCAAAATCCTTAGAAAATGGCCTTCTGCGCCCAAAAAATTGAGAAAATGTCATCCGAATATATATTTGCCGAAATCGGTGCTTAACGGAATTATTATCCGCGGAGAGTAGAATCAATAGACTTCATTATTCGTGGATAATAGTCTCAGCCTAAATCCGTGATCTGTAGCCTCTAGAATCGAAAGCAAATGACATTTTGGAAAAATCGCCCGAAATCGGTGATAGTATCCCTTTGGGATTCTGCCAAAAATTGACCCGGAATAAATCCGCCTAAATCGGTTCTTAACAGACTTAATATTCGTTGAAGAATAGCTTCATGCCGAATCCGTGATCTGTAGCCTTCAAAATCCAAAGAAAATGGCCTTCTGACACGCAAAATATTTCGAAAATGCCATCCGAAAATAAATATGCCCAAATTGGTGCTTAACGAAATTATCATCCGTAGAGAGTAGGATCAACAGTCTTCATTATCGGTGGAGAATAGCCTCGGCGTGAATCCGTGACCTGTGGCCTCCAGAACCGAAAGAAAATGACATTTCGGAAAATCGACCAAAATCTGTGATGGTACCCCTTTGGAATATGCACAAAACTGACCTAGAATAAATCCATGCAAATCAGTGCTTAACGAACATAATCATTGCTGAAGAATATCCTTCGGACGAATCCGTGATCTGTAGCTTTCAAAATCCAAAGAAAATGGCCTTCCGACGCCCAAAAAATTAAGAAAATGTTATCCGAAAATAAATGGGCACAAATCGGTGCTTAACAGAATTATTATCTGCGGAGAGTAGGATCAATAGACTTCATTATATGTGGAGAATAGCCTCGGCCTAAATTCGTGAATTATAGACTCGAGAATCAAAAGAAAATGGTATTTCGGAAAAATCACACGAAATCGGCGATGAAACCCCTTTGGGAATCTGCCAAAAATTGACCAGGAATAAATCCTCCCAAATTGGTGCTTAATGGATTTAATCATCGCTGAAGAAAAGCCTTAGACCCAATCCGTGATCTGTAGCCTTCAAAATCAAAAGAAAATGGACATCCGGCGCACAAAAAATTATGAAAATGTCATCCGAAAATAAATTTGCCCAAATCGATGCTTAACAGACTGATCATCCTCGGAGAAAAGGATGAATAGACTTCATTATCCGTGGAGAATAGCCTCGGCCTGAATCCGTAATCTGTAGCCTCCAGAATCGAAAGAAAATGGCATTTCGGAAAAATTGCCTGAAATCGTTGATGGTACCCCTTTGGGAATCGGCCAAAAATTGACCCTAAATAAATCCGCCCAAATCGGTGCTTAACGGACTTAATCTTCGCTGAAGAATAGCATTAGGCCGATTCCGTGATCTGTAGCCTTCAAAATTAAAAGATAATGGCCTTCTGATGCCCAAAAAATTACGAAAATGCCATCCGAAAAATTATTGGCCCAAATCGGTGCTTAACAGACTTATCATCCGCGGAGAGTATGACCAATTGACTTCATTATCCATGGAGAATAGCATTGGCATGAATCCGTGATCTGTAGCCTCCAAAATAGGAAGAAAATCACTTTCGGAAAAATCACTCGAAATCAGTGATGGAACCCCTTTGGGAATGTGCCAAAAATTGACCCGGAATAAATCCGCCCAAATCGGTGCTTAACGGACTTAATCTTTGCTGAAGAATATCCTCAAGCCGAATCCGTGACCCGTAGCTTTCAAAATCCAAAGAAAATGGTCTTCCGACGTCCATAAAATTACGAAGTTGCCATCAAAAAATAAATTGGCCCATATCGGTGCTTAACGTACTTATCTTCCGCAGAGAGTAGGATGAATGGACTTCATTATTCGTGGAGAATAGTCTCAACCTGAATCCGTGATCTGTAGCCTCCATAATCGAAAGAAAATGGCATTTTGGAAAAATCGGCCAAAATCGGTGATGGTACCCCTTTGAGAATCTGCCAAAAATTGATCCGGAATAAATACACCAAAATTAGTGGTTAGCAAACTTAATCACCGCTAAAAAATAACCTCTGGCCGAATCAGTGATCTGTTTCCTTCAAAATCCAAAGAAAATGAACATCCGATGCACAAAAAATTACGAAAATGTCATCCGAAAATAAATTGGCACAAATTTGTGCTTAACGGAATTATCATCAGCGAAGAGTAGGATGAATGGACTTCATTATCCGTGGAGAATAGCCTCGGCCTGAATCCGTGATATGTGGCCTCCAGAATCGAAAGAAAATGGCATTTCGGAAAAATCGCCTGAAATCGGTGATGGTAGGAATCTGCAATTAATTGAATTGGAATAAATCCTCCCAAATAGGTGCTTAACGGACTTAATCACCGCTGTAGAATAGTCTCTGGCCGATCCGTGATCTGTATCCTTCAAAATCCAAACCAAATGGACATCCGACGCACAAAAAATTACGAAAATGTCATCCGAAAATAAATCGGTCCAAATCGGTGCTTAACGGACTTATTATTCGTGGATAGTATGGCGAATAGACTTTATTATCCGTGGAGAATAGCCTCGGTATGAATTCGTTATATGTAGCCTCCAGAATCAAAAGAAAATGACATTTCGAAAAAATCGTCCGAAATCGGTGATGGTACCCCCTTTGAGAATCCGCCAAAAATTGACCCGGAATAAATCCGCATAAATCGGTGCTTAATAGACTAAATCTTCACTGAATAATAGCCTCAGACCGAATCCGTGATCGGTAGCCTTCAAAATCCAAAGAAAATTGCCTTCCGATGCTCAAAAAATTACAAAAATGACATCCGAAAATAAATAGGCCCAAATCGGTGCTTAACGGAATTATCATCCGCGGAGAGTAGGATCAACAGACTTCATTATCCGTGGATAATAGCCTCGGCCTGAATCTGTGATAAGTGGACTCCAGAATCTAAAGAAAATGGCAATGCGGAAAAATCTCCCAAAATCTGTGATGGTACCCTTTTGGAATCTGCCAAAAATTGACCCGATATAAATCCGTGCAAATTGGTGCTTCACGAACTTAATCTTTGCTTAAGAATATCCTCAGGACGAATCCGTGATCTGTAGCCTTCAAAAACCAAAGAAAACTGCCTTCTGACGCACAAGAAATTACGAAAATGTCATCCAAAAATAAATTGGCCCAAATGAGTGCTTAACGGAATTATTATCCGCAGAGAGTAGGATCAACATACTTCATCATCCTTGGAGAACAGCCTCGTCTTGAATCCGTGATCTGTAGCCTCGAGAATCGAAAGAAAATGGCATTGCGGAAAATTCACCCGAAATCTGTGATGGTACCCCTTTGGAATCTTCCAAAAATTGACCCGGAATAAATCCGTGCAAATCGGTGCTTAACGAAATTAATCATTGCAGAAGAATATCCTCCGGCCGAATCTGTGATCTGTAGCCTTCAAAATCTAAAGAAAATGGCCTTCTGACGCCGAAAAAATTATGAAAAGGTTATCCGAAAATAAATTGGTCCAAATTTGTGCTTAACGGAATTATTATCCGCGCAAAGTAGGATCAATAGACTTCATTATCCGTGGAGAACAACCTATGCCTGAATCTGTGATATGTAGTCTCGAGAATCGAAAGAAAATGGCATTTCGCAAAAATTGCCTGAAATCGGTGATGATACCCCTTTGGGAATCTGCCAAAAATTGATTCGGAATAAATCCGCCTAAATCAGTGCTTAACAAACTTAATCTTTGGTTACGAATAGCCTCAGGCCGAATCCGTGATCTGTAGCGTTCAAAATCAAAAGAAAATCGCCTTTCGGCGCTCAAAAAATTACGAAAATGCCATCCGAAAATAAATAGACCCAAATCGGTGCTTAACGGAATTATCATCCGCGGAGAGTATGATCAACAGACTTCATTATCCGTGGAGAATAGCCTCGGCCTGAATCCGTGATCTGTGGCCTCCAGAATCGAAAAAATGGCATTTCGGATAAATCGACCAAAATATGTGATGGTACCCCTTTGGAATCTGCCAAAAGTTGACCCGGAATAAATCCGTGCAAATTAGTACTTAACGAACTTAACCATTGCTGAAGAATATCCTCAGGTCGAATTCGTAATCAGTAGCCTTCAAAATCCAGAAAAATGGCCTTCTGATGCCCAAAATATTACGAAAATGTCATCCGAAAATAAATTGGCCCAAATTTGTGCTTAATGGAATTATTATTCGCGGAGAGTAGGATCAACAGGCTTTATTATCCGTGGAGAACAGCCTAGGCCAGAATCCGTGATCTGTAGCTTCGAGAATCGAAAGAAAATGGCATTCCGGAAAAATTGCCCGAAATCAGTGATAGTACCCCTTTCGGAATCTGCCAAAAATTGACCTGGAATAAAATCTCTTAAATTGGTGCTTAACGGAATTAATCACCGTTTAAGAATAGCCCCAGGCCGAATTCGTGATCTGTAGCCTTCAAAATCTAAAGAAAATGGACATCCGATGCCCATAAAATTACGAAAATGCCATCAAAAAATAAATTGGCCACAATCGATGCTTAACGGACATATCATCCGCGGAGAGTAGGATGAATAGACTTCATTGTTCGTGTAGAATAGTCTCAACCTGAATCTGTGATATGTAGCCTCCAGAATCGAAAGAAAATGGCATTCAAGAAAATCGCCCAAAATTGGTGACCCTTTAGGAATCTGCCAAAAATTGACCCGGAATAAATTTGCCCAAATTTGAAGTTAGCGAACTTAATCACCGCTAAAGAATAGCCTCAGGTCTAATCCGTGATCTGTATCCTTCAAAATCCAAAGAAAATGGACATCCGACGCTAAAAAAATACGAAAATTCCATCCAAAAATAAATTGCCCCAAATCGGTGCTTAACGGAGTTATCATCCGCGGAGAGTAGGATGAAAAGACTTCATTATCCGTGGAGAATAGCCTCGACCTAAATCCGTGATTTGTAGCCTCCAGAATCGAAAGAAAATTGCATTTTGGATAATACCTAGAAATTGGTGATGGTACCCCAACGGGAATATGCCAAAAATTGACCCGGAATAAATCCACCTAAATCGGCTATTAACAAACTTAATATTCGTTGAAGAATAGCCTCGGGCCGAATCCGTGATCTGTAGCCTTCAAAATGCAAAGAAAATTGCCTTCCGACGCACAAAAAATTATGAAAATGCCTTCCGAAAATAAATTGGCCCAAATCGGTGCTTAACGGAATTATCATCCGCGGAGAGTAGAATCAACAGACTTCATTATCAGTGGAGAGAAGCCTAGGCCTGAATCCGTGATCTGTTGCCTCAAGAATCGAACGAAAATGGCATTGCGGAAAAATCTCACAAAATCTGTAATGGTACCCCTTTGGAATCTGCCAAAAATTTACTCGAAATAAATCCGTGCAAATTGGTGCTTAATGAACTTAATCATTGCTGAAGAATATAGTCAGGCCGAAATCTGTGATCTGTAGCCTTCAAAATCCAAATAAAATGTCATTCTAGCCCAAATTTGTGTTTAACGGAATTATTTTCCGTGGAGAGTAGGATCAACAGACTTCATTATCCGTGGAGAACAGCCTCATCCTGAATCCCTGATTTGTAGCCTCGAGAATCGAAAGAAAATGATATTTCGGAAAAATCGCCCGAAATCTGTGATGGCACCCCTTTGGAATCTTCCAAAAATTGACCCTAAATAAATCCGTGCAAATCGGTGCTTAACGAACTTAATTATTGCAAAAAAATATCCTCCGGCCGAATCTGTGATCTGTAGCCTTCAAAATCCAAAGAAAATGGCCTTCTGATGCCCAAAAAATTATGAAAAGGTTATCCGAAAATAAATTGGCCCAAATATGTGCTTAACGGAATTATTATCGGTGGAGAGTAGGATCAACAGACTTCATTATCCGTGGAGAACAGCCTAGGCCTGAATCCGTGATCTGTAGCCTCAAGAAATTAAAGAAAATGGCATTTCGGAAAAATTGCCTGAAATCGGTGATGATACCCCATTGGGAATTTGCCAAAAATTGACTCGAAATAAATCCGCCTAAATCGGTGCTTAACAGATTTAATCTTCGTTGAAGAATAGCCACAGGCCGAATCCGTGATCTGTAGCCTTCAAAATCCAAAGAAATCGCCTTCCGATGCTCAAAAAATTACGAAAATATCATCCGAAAATAAATAGGCCCAAATCGGTGCTTTACGAAATTATCATCCGCAGAGAGTAGGATCAACAGACTTCATTATCCGTAGAGAATAGCCTCGGCTTGACTCCGTGATCTGTGGCCTCCAGAATCAAAAGAAAATAGCATTTCGGATAAATTGACTGATATCTGTGATGGTACCCCTTTGAATCAGCCAAAAATTGACTCGAAATAAATCTGTGCAAATTAGTGCTTAACGAACTTAACCATTGCTGAAGAATATCCTCAGGTCGAATTCGTGATCTGTAGCCTTCATAATCCAAAGTAAATGGCCTTCTGACGGCCAAAAAATTATGAAAATGTCATTCTAAAATAAATTGGACCAAATTTGTGCTTAACGGAATTATTATCCGCGGAGAGTAGGATCAACAGACTTTATTATCCGTGGAGAAAAGCCTAGGCCTGAATATGTGATATGTAGCCTCGAGAATCGAAAGAAAATGGCATTTCAGAAAAATTGCCCGAAATCGGTGATGGTACACCTTTGGGAATCTGCCAAAAATTGACCCGGAATAAATTCGCTTAATTTGGTGCTTAACGAAATTAATCATCGTTGAAGAATAGCCTCAGGCCGAAGCTGTGATCTGTAGCCTTCAAAATCCAAAGAAAATGGATATCCGACGCACAAAAAATTATGAAAATGCCATCTGAATATAATTGGGCCCAAATCAGTGCTTAACAGACTTATCACCCGCGAAGAGTAGGATGAATAGGTTTCATTATCCGTGGATAATAGCCTCGGTCTGAATCCGTGATCTGTAGCCTCCAGAATCGAGAGAGAAAAGGAATTTCGGAAAAATTGCCCAAAATCGGTGATGGTACCCCTTTGGGAATCTGCCAAAAATTGATCCGGAATAAATCCGCTCAAATCGGTGCCTAACGAACTTAATCTTCGCTGAAGAATAGCCTCAGCGGAGAGTAGGATGAATAGACTTCATTGCTCATGGAGAATAGTCTCAGAACGAATCTGTGATTTGTAGCATCTAGAATCGAAAAAATGGCATTTCGAAAAAATTGCCGAAAATTACCGCTAAAGAATAGCCTAGGGTCTAATCCATAATTTTTATCCTTCAAAATCCAAAGAAAATGGCCTTCTGACGCCCAAGAAATTACGAAAATGTCATCCGAAAATAAATTGGCCCAAATGTGTGCTTAACGGAATTATTTTCCGCGGAGAGTAGGATCAACTGACTTCATTATCCGTGGACAACAGCCGCATCCTGAATCCGTGATCTGTAACCTCGAGAATCGAAAGAAAATGACATTTTGGAAAAATCGCACGAAAACTGTGAATGTACCCCTTTGGAATCTGCCAAAAATTGACCAGGAATAAATCCGTGCAAATCGGTGCTTAACAAACTTAACCATTGCTGAAGAATATCCTCAGGTCGAATTCGTGATCCGTAGCCTTCAAAATCCAAAGAAAATGGCCTTCTGACGTCCAAAAAATTACGAAAATGTCATACGAAAATAAATTGGCACAAATTTGTGTTTAACGGAATTATTATCCGCAGAGAGTAGGATCAACAGGCTTTATTATCCGTGGAGACTAGCCTAGGCCAGAATCCGTGATCTGTAGCCTCGAGAAGCGAAAGAAAATGGCATTTCGGAAAATTGCCCGAAATCGGTGATAGTACCCCTTTGGGAATCTGCCAAAAATTGACCTGGAATAAATTTGCTAAAATTGCTGCTTAACGGAATTAATCACCGATTAAGAATAGCCTCAGGCCGAATCCGTGATCTGTAGCCTTCAAAATCCAAAGAAATTGGACATCCGACACACAAAAAATTACGAAAATATCATCCGAAAATAAATTGCTAAAATTGATGCTTAACGGAGTTATCATCCGCGGAGAGTAGGATGAATAGACTTCATTATCCGTGGAGAATAGCCTCGGCCTGAATCCGTGATTTGTAGCCTCTAGAATCGAAAGAATATGGCATTTAGGAAAAATTGCCAGAAATCGGGCCCTTTGGGAATCTGCCAAAAATTAACCCAGAATAAATCGGCCTAAAACGGTGCTTAACGGACTTAATCTTTGTTGAAGAATAGCCTAAGGCAGAATCCGTTATATGTATCCTTCAAAATTCAAAGAAAATAGCCTTACGACGCCCAAAAAATTACGAAAAATGCAATCCGAAAATAAATAGGCCAAAATAGGTGCATAACGGAATTATCATCCGCAGAGAGTAGGATCAACAGACTTCATTGTCCGTGGAGAATAGCCTCGGTCTGAGTCTGTGATCTGTGGCCTCCAAAATCGAAACAAAATGGCATTTCGGAAAAATCGCACGAAAATTGTGAATCTACCCCTTGGGAATCTGCCAAAAGTTTACCAGGAATAAATACGTGGAAATCGGTGCTTAACGAACTTAATCATTGCTGAAGAATAACCTCATTGCTTAAGAAAATGCCATTCGAAAATAAATTGGCACAAATCGGTGCTTAACGGAATTATTATCCGCGGAGAGTGGGATTAATAGAATTCATTATTCGTGGAGAATAGTCTCAGCCTGAATCCGTGATCTGTAGCCTCTAGAATCGAAAGAAAATGACATTTTGGAAAAATCGCCCGAAATCGGTGATAGTACCCCTTTGGGATTGTGCCAAAAATTGACCCGGAATAAATTTGTCTAAATCGGTGCTTAGTAGACTTAATATTCGTTGAAGAATAGCCACATGCCAAATCTGTGATCTGTAGTCTTCAAAATCCAAAGAAAATGGCCTTCTGACACCCAAAAATATGCCCAAATCGGTGTTTAACGGAATTATCATCCGCAGAGAATAGAATCAACAGTATTCATTATCCGTGGAGAATAGCCTCGACCTGAATCAATGATTTGTGCCTCTAGAATCGAAAGAAAATGACATTTCGAAAAATCGACCGAAATCTGTGATGGTACCTCTTTGGAATCTGCCAAAAACTTACCCGGAATAAATTCGCCCAAATTGGTGCTTAACGGAATTAATCTTCGCTAAAGAATAGCCTTAGGCCGAATCCGTGATCAGTATCCTTCAAAATCTAAAGAAAATGGCCTTCTGACGCCCAAAATTACGAAAAATGCCATCGGAAAGATTATTTGCACAAATCGGTGCTTAATAGACTTATCATCCGCGGAGAGTAGGATCAATAGACTTCATTATCCATGGAGAAGAGCCTCGGCATGAATCCGTGATCTGTAGCCTCTAGAATAGGAAGAAAATCGCATTTAGGAAAAATCACTGGAAATCGGTGATTGTACCCCTTTGGGAATCTGCCAAAAATTGACCCGGAATAATTCCGCCCAAATAGGTGCTTAACGACTTAACCTTCGCTAAATAACAGCCTCAAACCGAATCTGTGACCTGTAGCTTTCAAAATCCAAAGAAAATGGTCTTCCGATGTCCATAAAATTATGAAAATGCCATCAACAAAATAAATTGGCCCAAATCAGTGCTTAACAGACTTATCATCCGCGGAGAGAAGGATGAATGTACTTCATTATTCGTGGAGAATAGTATCAGCCTAAATCCGTGATCTCTAGCCTCCAGAATTGAAGAAAATGCCATTTCGGAAAAATCGCCCAAAATCGGTGATGGTACCCACTTAAGAATCTCGCAAAAATTGACCCGGAATAAATACGCCCAAATCGGTGGTTAGCAAAGTTAATCACCGCTAAATAATAGCCTCTGGCCGAATCTGTGATCTGTATCCTTCAAAATCCAAAGAAAATGGACATCCGACGAACAAAAATTACGAAAATGTCATCAAAAAATAAATTGGCCCAAATCGGTGCTTAACGGACTTATCATCCGCGGAGAGTAGGATGAATAGACTTCATTATCCGTGGAGTATAGCCTTGGCCTGAATTCGTGATTTGTAGCCTCAAAAATCGAAAGAAAATGGCATTTCGGAAAAATCGCCGAAATCGGTGATAGTAGCCCTTTGGGAATCTGCCAAAAATTGACTCGGAATAAATCCGCAAAAATCGGTGCTTAACTGACTTAATCTTTGTTAAGAATAGCCTCAGACTGAATCCGTGATCTGTAGCCTTCAAAATTCAAAGTAATCGTCTTCCGACGCTCAAAAAATTACGAAAATGCCATCCGAAAATAATTAGGCCCAAATTGGTGCTTAACGGAATTATCATTCGCGGAAAGTAGGATCATCAGACTTCATTATCCGTGGAGAATAGTCTCGACCTGAATCCGTGATCTGTGGCCTTAAGAATCGAAAGAAAATGGCATTGTGGAAAAATCTCCTAAAATCTGTGATGGTTCCCCTTTGGAATCTGCCAAAAATTGACTCTGAATAAATCCGCCCAAATCGTTTCTTAACGGACTTAATCATCGCTGAAAAATAGCCTCAGGAAGAATCCGTGATCTGTGGCCTTCAAAATCCAAAGTAAATGGACATTCGATGCACAAAAAATTAGGAAAATGTCATCCGAAAATAAATTGACCCAAATTGATGCTTAACGGAGTTATCATCCGCGGAGAGTAGGATGAATAGACTTTATTATCAGTGGAGAATAGCCTCGGCCTGAATCCGTGATTTGTAGCCTCCAGAATCGAAAGAAAATGACATTTCGTAAAAATTGCCAGAAATCAGTGATGGTACCCCTTTGTGAATCTGCAAAAAATTAACCCAGAATAAATCCGCCTAAATTGGTGCTTAACGGACTTAATCTTCGTTGAAGAATAGCCTCAGGCCGAATCCGTGATCTGTATCATTCAAAATCCAAAGAAAATCGCCTTACGACGCAGAAAAAATTACGAAAATGTCATCCGAAAATAAATATGCCAAAATAGGTGCTTAACGGAATTATCATCCGCGGAGAGTAGGATCAACAGACTTCATTGTCCGTGGAGAATAGCCTGGCCTGAGTCCGTGATCTGTGGCCTTCAAAATCAAAAGAAAATGGCATTTCGGAAAAATCGCCGGAAAACTGTGAATGTACCACTTTGGAATCTGCCAAAAATTAGCCAATAATAAATCCGTGCAAATCGGTGCTTAACAAACTTAATCATTGCTGAAGAATATCCACAAGCCGAATCTGTGATCTGTAGTCTTCAAAATTCAAAGAAAATGGCTATCTCGCGCCCAAAAAATAAAGAAAATGCCATCCGAAAATAAATTGGCCCAAATTGGTGTTTAACGGAATTATTATCCGCGGAGAGTAGGATCAATAGACTTCATTGTCCGGGGAGAATAGCCTATAGGCCTAAATCCGTGATTTTAAGCCTCGAGAAACGAAAGAAAATGGTATTTCGGAAAAATCGCCTGAAATCGGTGATGAAACCCCTTTGGGAATCTGCCAAAAATTGACCCGGAATAAATCCTCAAAATTCGGTGCTTAACCGAACTAATCATCGTTGAAGAAAAGCCTCAGGCCGGATACGTGATCTGTAGCCTTCAAAATCCAAAGAAAATGGACATCCGACGCATAAAAAATTACGAAAATGTCATCAAAAAATCATTTGCCCAAATCGGAGATTAATAGACTTTCCATCCACGGGGAGTAGGATGAATAGAGTTCATTATCCGTGGAGAATATCCTTGGCCTGAATCCGTGATCTGTAGCCTCCAGAATCGAAAGAAAATGGGATTTCGGAAAAAATGCCCGAAATCCGTGATGGTACCCCTTTGGAAATGTGCCAAAAATTGACCCGGAATAAATCCGCCCAAATCGGTGCTTAACGGACTTAAGCTTCGCTGAAGAATAGCCTTAGGCCGAATCCGTAATGTGTATCCTTCAAAATCCAAAGATTCTGGCCTTCTGACGCCCAAAAAATTACGAAAATGCCATCCATAAAATTATTGGCCCAAATCGGTGCTTAATAGATTATCATCCGCTGAGAGTAGGATCAATAGACTTCATTATCCATGGAGAATAGCCTCGGCATGAATCCGTGATCTGTAGCCTCTAGAATAGGAAGAAAATCGCATTTCGGAAAAATCACTCGAAATCCCCCTTTGGGAATCAGCCAAAAATTGATCCGAAATAAATCCGCCAAAATCGCTGCTTGACGACTTAATCTTCGCTAAAGAATAGCCTCAAACTAAATCCATGACCTGTAGTTTTCAAAATCCAAAGAAAATGGTCTTCCGACGTCCATAAAATTACGAAAATGCCATCAAAAAATAAATTGGTCCAAATAGGTGCTTAACAGACTTATCATCCGCGGAGAGTAGGATGAATGGACTTCATTATTCGTGAAGAATAGTCTCAACCTAAATTCGTGATCTGTAGCTTCCAGATTCGAAAGAAAATGACATTTCGGAAAAATCGCCCAAAATCGGTGATGGTACCCTTTTGAGAATCTGCCAAAAATTGACCCAGAATAAATCCGCCCAAATCGGAGGTTAGCAAACAAAATCACCACTAAAGAATAGCCTCTGGCCGAATCCGTGATTTGTATCCTTCATAATCCAAAGAAAATGGACATCCGACGCACAAAAAATTACGAAAATAAATTGGCCCAAATCGGTGCTTAACAGACTTATCATCCGCGGAGAATAGGATGAATAGACTTCATTATCCGTGGAGAATAGCCTTGGCGTGAATTCGTGATTTGTAGCCTCCAAAATCGAAAGAAAATGGCATTTCAAAAAAATCGCCCGAAATCGGTGATGGTACCCCTTTGGGAATCTGCCAAAAATTAACTTGGAATAAATTTGCCTAAATCGGTGCTTAACAGACTTAATCTTCGTTGAAGAATAGTCTCAGGTAGAATCCGTGATTTGTAGCCTTCAAAATCCAAAGAAAATCGCCTTCCGGCGCTAAAAAAATTACGAAAATGCTATCCGAAAATAAATAGGCCAAAATAGGTGCTTAACGGAATTATCATCCGCGAAGAGTAGGATCAACAGACTTCATTATCTGTGGAGAACAGCCTCGGTTTGAATCCGTGATCTGTGGCCTCCAGAATCTAAAGAAAATGGCATTTCAGAAAATTCGCCCGAAATCTGTGATGGTACCCTTCGGAATCTGCCAAAAATTGACCTGGAACAAACTCGTGAAAATCGGTGCTTAACAAACTTAATCATTGCTGAAGAATATCCTCAGGCTGAATTTGTGATTTGTAGCCTTCAAAATCCAAAGAAAATGGTCTTTTGACGCCCAAAAAATTACGAAAATGTCGTTCGAAAATAAATTGGCCCAAATTTGTGCTTAACTGAATTATTATCCGCGGAGAGTAGGATCAACAGCTTTCATTATCCGTGGAGAACAGCATCGGCCTGAATCCATGACCTGTAGCCTCGAGAATCGAAAGAAAACGACATTTTGAAAAAATTGCCTGGAATCGGTGATGGTACCCCTTTGGAAATCAGCCAAAAATTGACCCCGAATAATTCCGCCCGAATCGGTGCTTAACAGACTTAATCTTCGATGAAGAATAGGCTCAGGCCGAATCCGTGACCTATAGCTTTCTAAATTCGAAGAAAATAGCCTTCTGACGCCCATAAATTACGAAAATGCCATAAAAAAATAAATTGGTCCCAATCGGTGCATAACAGACTTATCATCCGTGGAGAGTAGGATGAATAGACTTCATTATTTGTGGAGAATAGTCTCAGCCTGAATCCGTGATATGTAGCCTCCAGAATCCAAAGAAATTTGTATTTCGGAAAAATCGCCCAAAATCGGTGATGGTACCCCCTTTCGGATTCTTCCAAAAATTGACCCGGAATAAATCCTCCCAAATCGGTGGTTAGCGAACTAAATCACCGCTAAAGAATAGCCTCAGGCTGAATCAGTGATCTGTAGCGTTCAAAATCCAAAGAAAATGGCCATCTGACGCCCAAAAAATTACGAAAATGCCATCCTAAAATAAATTGGCCCAAATCAGTGTTTAAAGGACTTATCATCCGCGGAGAGTAGGATGAATGGACTTCATTATCAGTGGAGAATAGCCTTGCCCCTCGGCCTGAATTCGTGATTTGTAGTCTGTAGAATGGAAAGAAAATAGCATTTCAGAAAAATCGCCCGAAATAGGTGATGGTACCCCTTTGCGAATCTACCAAAAATTGAATTGGAATAAATCGGCCCAAATTGGTGCTTAACATACTTAATCACCGGTGAAGAATAGCCTATGGCCGAATCCGTGATCTGTATCTTTCAAAATCCAAAGAAAATGGACATCCGACGTACAAAAAGTTACGAAAATGTCATCCGAAAATAAATTGGCCCAAATCGGTGCTTAACGGACTTATAATCCGCGGAGAGTATTATGAATAGACTTCATTATCCGTGGAGAATAGCCTTGATATGAATTCGTGATCTGTAGCCTCCAGAATCGAAAGAATATAGCATTTCGAAAAAATCGCCCGAAATCGGTGATGGTACCCCTTTGAGAATCCGTCAAAAATTGAACCGAAATAAATCCACCTAAATCAGTGCTTAATAGACTAAATCTTCATTGAAAAATATCCTCTGGCTGAATCCGTGATTTGTAGCCTTCAAAATCCAAAAAAAATCGCCTTCCGACGCTCAAAAAATTACGAAAATGTCATCCGAAAATAAATACACCCAAATCGGTGCTTAACGGAATTATCATCCGCGGAGAGTTGGATCAACAGACTTCATTATCCGTAGAGAATAGCCTCGGCCTAAATCCGTGATTTGTGGCCTCCTGGATCGAAAGAAATTGGCATTTCATAAAAATCGCCCGAAATCAGTGATGGTACCCTTTGGAATCTGCCAAAAATTGACCTGGAATAAATCCGTGCAAATCGGTGGTTAACGAACTTAATCATTGCTGAAGAATATCCTCAGGCCGAATCCGTGATCTGTAGCCTTCAAAATCCAAAGAAAATGGTCTTTTACGACCAAAAAATTACGTAAATGTCATCCGAAAATAAATTGGCCCAAATTTGTGCTTAACGGAATTATTATCCATGGATAGTAGGATCAACAGGCTTCATTATCCGTGGAGAACAGCCTCAGCCTGAATCCATGATCTGTAGCCTCGAGAATCGAAAAAATGGCATTTTGGAAAAATTGCCTGAAATCGGTGATAGTACCCCTTTGGGAATCTGCCAAAAATTGACCCCGAATAATCCCGCCCGAGTCGGTGTTTAACGGACTTAATCTTCGATGAAGAATAGGCTCAGGCCGAATCCGTGACCTGTATCCTTTAGAATCCAAAGAAAATGCACATCTGACACACAAAAAATTACGAAAATGCCATCCGAAAATAAATTGGCCGAAATCGGTGCTTAACGGACTTATCATCCACGGAGAGTAGGATCAATATACTTCATTATCCGTGGAGGATAGACTCAGCTTGAATTCGTGATATGTAGCCTCAGAAATCGAAAGAAAGAGGTATTTCGGAAAAATCGCCCACAATCTGTGATGGTACCCCTTTGGGGATCTGTCAAAAATTAACCTGGAATAAATCCGCCCAAATCGGTGCTTAACGGACTTAAAAGTCGCTGAAGAATAGCCTCAGGCCAAATCCGTTATCTGTAGCCTTCAAAATCCAAAGAAAATAGGCATCTGACGCACAAAAAATTACAAAAATGCTATCCGAAAATAAATTGCCCCTAATAGGTGCTTAACGGATTTATCATCCGCGGAGAGTAGGATGAATAGACTCCGTTATTCGTGTTGAATAGCCTCAACCTGAATCCGTGATCTTTAGCCACCAGAATCGAAAGAAAATGACATTTCGGAAAAATCGGCCGAAATCGGAGATGGTAGCCCTTTGGGAATCTGCCAAAAATTGACCAAAAATAAAAATGCCCAAATCGGTGCTTCACGGACTTAATCTTCATTGAACAATAGCCTCAGGCCGTATCCGTGACCTGTAACTTTCAAAATTCAAAGAAAATGGCCTTCCGACGCACATAAAATGAAGAACATGTCATCCAAAAAATAAAATGGCCCAAATCGGTTCTTAACGGACTTATCATATGTGGCGTGTAGGATGAATAGACTTCATTATCCGTGAAGAATAGCATTGGCCTGAATTCGTGATTTGTATCCTCGAGAATTGAAACAAAAAGTCAATTCGGAAAAATCGCCTGATATCGGTGATGGTACCCCTTTGGGAATCTGCCAAAAATTGACCCGGGATAAATCCGCCCAAATCGGCGCTTAAAGGACTTAATCAATAATCATCGCTGAAGAATAGCCTTAGGACGAATCTGTGATATGAAACCTTAAAAATCCAAAAAATGGTATTTTGACGCCCAAAAAATTATGAAAATGTCATCCGAAAATAAATTTGCCCAAATCGGTGCTTAACGTAATTATTTTCCGCGAAGTGTAGGATCAATAGACTTCATTATCCGTGGATAATAGCCTCGGCATGAATCCGTGATCTGTAGCCTCGAGAATCGAAAGAAAATGGCTTTTCTGAAAAATCGTCTGAAATCGGTAATGGTACTCCTTTGGGAATTTTTCAAAATTTACCCAAAATAAATCTGCGAAATCGGTGCTTAACGGACTTAATCATCGCAGAAGAATAGCCTCAGGCCGAATCTGTTATCTGTAGCATTCAAAATCCAAAGAAAATGGACATCCGACGCACAAAGAATTACGAAAATGCCATACGGAAATAAATTGCCCTAAATTGGTGCTTAACGGACTTATCATACGCGGAGAGTAGGATGAATAAACTTCATTATCCGTGGTGAATAGCCTCGGCCTGAATCCATGATCTGTAGCTTCCAGAATCGAAAGAAAATTGCATTTCGGAAAAATCGCACGAAATCGGTGATGGCACCCCATTGAGAATCTGCCAAAAATTGACCCTAAATAAATCTACCCAAGTCGGTGCTTAACAAACTTAATTATCGTTGAAGAATAGCCTCAGGCCGAATCCGTAATTTGTATCCTTCAAAATACATAGAAAATGGACGTCCGACGCACAAAAAATTACAAAAATCCCATCCAAAAATAATTAAGTTTGGCCAGATTCGGTACTTAACGGACATATCATCCGCAGAGAGTGTGATGAATAGACTTCATTATCCGTGGAGAATAGCCTCGAACTGAATTCGAGATATGTGGCCTCCAGAATAGAAAGAAAATGTCATTTCGCAAAAATCGCCAATATTTGTGATGGTACCCCTATGGAATCTACCAAAAATTGACCCAGAATAAATCCACCTAAATCATGCTTAATTATCTAAATCAATGCGGAAGAATATCCTCAGGCCAAATCCGTGATCTCTAGCGTCCAAAATCCAAAGAAAATGGTCATCCAAAAATAAATTGGCTCAAATCGCTTCTTAACTGAATTATTATCCGCGAAGAGTAGGATCAATAGACTTCATTATCCATGGAGAATATTCTCGGCATGAATCCTTGATCTGTAGCCTCTAGAATCGAAAGAAAATTGCATTTCGGAAAAATTGCCCGAAATCTGTGATGGTACCCCTTAGGAAATCTTCCAAAAATTGACCCGGAATAAATCCGCCCAAATCGGTGCTTAAAGTACTTAATCAATGGTGAAGAATAGCCTCAGGACTATTCCCTTATCTGTAGCTTTCAAAATCAAAGAAAATGGCCTTCTGGCGCCCAAAAAATTACGAAAATGTCATCGGAAAATAAATTGGCCTAAATCGGTGCTTAACAGAATTATTACCGGCGAAGAGTAAGATCAATAGACTACATTATCCGTGGATAATAGCTTCGGCTTGAATCCGAGTTCTGTAGACTCGAGAATCAAAAGAAAATGTCATTTCGAAAAAATCCCCCGAAATCGATGATGGAACACCTTTGGGAATCTGCCAAAAATTGACACGGAATAAATTTGCCCAAATCAGTGATTAACAAACTTAATCATCGCTGAAGAATATCCTCAGGCCGAATCCGTGATCTGTAGCCTTCAAAATCCAAAGAAAATGGACATCCGACAGACAAAAAATTACGAAAATATCATCCGAAAATAATTTACCCAACTCGGTGCTTAACGGACTTATCGTCTGTGGAGAGTAAGATGAATATACTTCATTATCCGTGGAGAATAGTCTCAGCCTGAATCCCTGATCAGTAGCCTCCATAATCTTAAGAAAATGGCATTTCGGAAAAATCTCATGAAATCGGTGATGGTACCCCCTTTGGGAATCTGCCAAAAATTGACCTGGAATAAATCTGCCTAAATCGGTGCTTAACAGACTTAATTTTCGTTGAAGAACAACCTCAGGCCGAATCTGTGATCTGTATCAGTCAAAATCCAAAGAAAATCGCCTTCTGACGCATGAATAATTACGAAAATGCCAGCCGAAAATAAGTAGACTCAAATCGGTGCTTAACGGAATTATCATCCGCGGAGAGTTGGATACCAGACTTCATTATCCGTGAAGAATAGTCTCGGCCTGAATCCAAGATCTGTGGCCTCCAGAAATGAAAGAAAATTGCATTTCTGAAAAAACGCATGAAATCTGTCATGGTACCCCTTTTAAATCTGCCAAAAATTGACCTGGAATAAATCCACCCAAATCGGTGCTTAACGGACTTAATCGTCGCTGAAGAATATCCCCAGGCCGAATCTGTTATCTGTAGTTTTCAAATTCCAAAGAAAATGGTCATCCGACGCCCAAAATATTACGAAGATGTCATCCAAAAATAAATTGCCCCAAGACATGATTAACGGACGTATCATCCGCAGAGAGAAGGATGAATAGACTTCTTTATCCATGGAGAATAGCCTAAGTCTGAATTCGTGACCTGTAGCCTCGAGAATAAAAAAAATGGCATTTCAGAAAAATCACATGAAATCGGTGATACTACCCCTTAGGCCGAATGCGTGATCTGTTGCCTTCAAGATGCAAAGAAAATGGCCTTCTGAAGCCCAAAAAATTACAAAAATGTCATCCGAAAATAAATTGTCCTAAATCAGTGCTTAACGTACTTATCATCCGCAGAGAGTAGGATCAATAGACTTCAATATCCGTGGAGAATATCCTCGGCCTGAATCCGTGTTCTATAGCCTCCAGAATTGAAAGGAAATGGCATTTCGAAAAAATCGCCTGAAATCGGTGATGGTACCCCTTTGGGAATCTGCCAAAAATTGACCCGGAATAAATCCGCCTAAATTGAGGCTTAACTGACTTAATCTTCGTTGAATATTAGCCTCAGGCTGAATCCATGATCTGTTGCCTTCAAAATTCAAAGATAATGGCCTTCTGATGCCTAAAAAATTACAAAAATGTCATTCGAAAAAATTTGTCCCAACTCGGTGCTTAACGGACTTATCATCCGCGGATAGTAGGATGAATAGACTACATTATCCGTGGAGAATAGCCCCAACTTGAATCCGTGATATGTATCCTCTAAAATTGAAAGAAAAAGGCATTTCGAAAAAATCGCTCGAAATCAGTGATGCTACCCCTTTGGGAATCTGCCAAAAATTGAACCGGAATAAATCCACCCAAATCGATGCTTAACGGAGTTAATCATCGCTGAAGAATAGCCTCAGGACGAATCCATGATCTATATACTTCAAAAGCCAATGAAAATGGCCTTCTAACGCCCAAAAAATTACGAAAAAGCCATCCGAAAATAAATTGGCCCAAATCGATGCAAACAGACTTACCATCCCCGAAGAGTAGGATCAATAGACTTCTTTATCCTTGGAGAATAGTCTTGGCCTGAATCAGTGATCTGTAGCCTCCATAATCGAAAGAAAATGACATTTCGAAAAAATTGCTAGAAATCGGTGATGGTACCCCTTTGGGATCTGCCAAAAATTGACCCGGAAAAATCCGCCCAAATTTGTGCTTAAAGTACTTAATCATCGGTGAAGAATAGCCTCAGGACGAATACGTGATCTGTAGCCTTCAAAATCCAATGAAAATGGGCTTCTGACGCCCAAAAAATTACGAAAATGTCATCTGAAAATAAATTGGCCCAAATCGGTGCTTAACAGACTTATCATCCGCGGAGAGTAGGATCAATAGACTTCATTATCCGTGGAGATTAGCCTCAGCCTGAATCCGTGATATGTAGCCTCCAAAATTGGAAAGAAAAAGGCATTTCAGAAAAATCGCCGAAATATTTGATGGCCCCTTTGGAATCTGCCAAAAATTGACCCGGAATAAATCCACCCTAATATGTGCTTAACGGACATAATCATCGCTGAAGAATAGCCACAGGCCGAATCCGGTATCTGTAGCCTTCAAAATCCAAAGGAAATGGCCAACCAATGCCCAAAAGATTACGAAAATGTCATCCCAAAATAAATTGGCCCAAATCGGTGCTTAACGGACTTTTCATCCGCGAAGAGTAGGATGAATATACTTCATTATCCGTGGAGAATAGTCTCGGCATGAATCCGGGATCTACATCCTCCAGAATCGAAAGAAAATGGCATTTTGAAACAAGCACTCGAAATCGGTGATGTTAACCCATAGGGAATCTGCCAAAAATTGACCCGAAATAAATCTGCCCATACCGGTGCTTAATAGACTTAATCATCGCTGAAGAATAGCCTCACCACGAATCCGTGATTTGTAGCCTTCAAAATCCAATGAAAATGGCCTTCTAACACTAAAAAAATTACGAAAAATGTCATCCGAAAATGAATTCGCCCAAATCAGTGCTTAACGGACTTATCATCCGCGGAGAGTAGGATTAATAGTCTTCATTATCTGTGGAGAATAGCCTCAGCTTGAATCCGTGATATGTAGCCTTCAAAATTGTAAGAAAAAAGCATTTCAGAAAAATTGCCCGAAATCTATGATGGTACCCCTTTGGAATCTGCCAAAAATTGACCCGGAATAAATCCACGCTAATCAGTTCTTAATGGACTTTATCATCGTTGAAGAATATCCTCAG